TGCACCGGTGGCCAGGCGATGCTTGCGGCATGCTACTTGGCCGGCCGCTTGGGCAAAACTTAACCGTCATCTATTGGTTTCCAACTAATTGAGATAATTGGCATAGTTGTGGGTGCAGAACAGTGAACAGGGCAGGCACGCGTGTGAGACGTTGTAGCAAACAAACTCACCTTTGTCGCTAGGCGAAATGGATGCGGGTGGGGGCTGTACTGGCGAATAGGAGCGGTACGGCAGTGGTGGCTGGCTCCGCACGCCGCTGGCGCCCCGCTCCTGCGTCGGAGGCCGTCGCAGATCCGTGTGCCGGCCCCCCAGAACTGCGGGGGGGGGAGAGAAGGGGAGAAGGAGCGAGGAAGGGGGGGAGAAAAGATCCCTCTACGTCTTCATGCAGCAAACTAATCCCACATTTATGCAGCCAATCCCCAACTTACCGGTACACGGAGTGTATTGTTCTTGGGACATGCTCGTTGTCGCACAGCTTGCGTAGCGCCTGCACAGAAAGCAAAGAAAGGAGTCGGATCACCACCAACTGTCAGTAGCAGGCCGTACCTTACTCGGACGAAGCGCAGGAGCCAGGATCGGAGGCTCATGTGGAGATCGAGGTGGGGGCAAGGAGGGGGGGGGAAGGGAATGGGTTGGTGGCGATGAGAGAACGGGTGGGACACTAGAGCAATGCATGTTTATTTAGAAGCAGGCAGCGAGCTAGCCGGAGACACTCCAGCCCCATGCAACGGGCCCTCAGAGCAACATGCTGTGCCCACGCAGCCGGCCAAATAGACACGCCACATGCACCGGTGGCCAGGCGATGCTTGCGGCATGCTACTTGGCCGGCCGCTTGGGCAAAACTTAACCCTCATCTATTGGTTTCCAACTAATTGAGATAATTGGCATAGTTGTGGGTGCAGAACAGTGAACAGGGCAGGCACGCGTGTGAGACGTTGTAGCAAACAAACTCACCTTTGTCGCTAGGCGAAATGGATGCGGGTGGGGGCTGTACTGGCGAATAGGAGCGGTACGGCAGTGGTGGCTGGCTCCGCACGCCGCTGGCGCCCCGCTCCTGCGTCGGAGGCCGTCGCAGATCCGTGTGCCGGCCCCCCAGAACTGCGGGGGGGGGGGAGAGAAGGGGAGAAGGAGCGAGGAAGGGGGGGAGAAAAGATCCCTCTACGTCTTCATGCAGCAAACTAATCCCACATTTATGCAGCCAATCCCCAACTTACCGGTACACGGAGTGTATTGCCCTTGGGACATGCTCGCCGTCGCACAGCTTGCGTAGCGCCTGCACAGAAAGCAAAGAAAGGAGTCGGATCACCACCAACTGTCAGTAGCAGGCCGTACCTTACTCGGACGAAGCGCAGGAGCCAGGATCGGAGGATCATGCGGAGATCGAGGTGGGGGCAAGGAGGGGGGGGGGGAGGGAATGGGTTGGTGGCGATGAGAGAACGGGTGGGACACTAGAGCAATGCATGTTTATTTAGAAGCAGGCAGCGAGCTAGCCGGAGACACTCCAGCCCCATGCAACGGGCCCTCAGAGCAACATGCTGTGCCCACGCAGCCGGCCAAATAGACACGCCACATGCACCGGTGGCCAGGCGATGCTTGCGGCATGCTACTTGGCCGGCCGCTTGGGCAAAACTTAACCGTCATCTATTGGTTTCCAACTAATTGAGATAAGTGGCATAGTTGTGGGTGCAGAACAGTGAACAGGGCAGGCACGCGTGTGAGACGTTGTAGCAAACAAACTCACCTTTGTCGCTAGGCGAAATGGATGCGGGTGGGGGCTGTACTGGCGAATAGCAGCGGTACGGCAGTGGTGGCTGGCTCCGCACGCCGCTGGCGCCCCGCTCCTGCGTCGGAGGCCGTCGCAGATCCGTGTGCCGGCCCCCCAGAACTGCGGGGGGGGGGAGAGAAGGGGAGAAGGAGCGAGGAAGGGGGTGAGAAAGGATCCCTCTACGTCTTCATGCAGCAAACTAATCCCACATTTATGCAGCCAATCCCCAACTTACCGGTACACGGAGTGTATTGTTCTTGGGACATGCTCGTTGTCGCACAGCTTGCGTAGCGCCTGCACAGAAAGCAAAGAAAGGAGTCGGATCACCACCAACTGTCAGTAGCAGGCCGTACCTTACTCGGACGAAGCGCAGGAGCCAGGATCGGAGGATCATGCGGAGATCGAGGTGGGGGCAAGGAGGGGGGGGGGAGGGAATGGGTTGGTGGCGATGAGAGAACGGGTGGGACACTAGAGCAATGCATGTTTATTTAGAAGCAGGCAGCGAGCTAGCCAGAGACTCTCCAGCCCCATGCAACGGGCCCTCAGAGCAACATGCTATGCCCACGCAGCCGGCCAAATAGACACGCCACATGCACCGGTGGCCAGGCGATGCTTGCGGCATGCTACTTGGCCGGCCGCTTGGGCAAAACTTAACCGTCATCTATTGGTTTCCAACTAATTGAGATAAGTGGCATAGTGGGTGCAGAACAGTGAACAGGGCAGGCACGCGTGTGAGACGTTGTAGCAAACAAACTCACCTTTGTCGCTAGGCGAAATGGATGCGGGTGGGGGCTGTACTGGCGAATAGCAGCGGTACGGCAGTGGTGGCTGGCTCCGCTCGCCGCTGGCGCCCCGCTCCTGCGTCGGAGGCCGTCGCCGATCCTTGTGCGGGCCCCCCAGAACTGCGGGGGGGGGGGCGAGAAGGGGAGAAGGAGCGAGGAAGGGGGGGAAAAAGGATCCCTCTACGTCTTCATGCAGCAAACTAATCCCACATTTATGCAGCCAATCCCCAAATTACCGGTACACGGAGTGTATTGCCCTTGGGACATGCTCGCCGTCGCACATCTTGCGTCGTGCCTGCACAGAAAGCAAAGAAAGGAGTCGGATCAGCACCAACTGTCAGTAGCAGGCCGTACCTTACTCGGACGAATAGCAGCGGTACGGCAGCGGCGGCAGCTTGATGTACCGGCGGCGGTGGCAGCGAGGCACCCCTGTCGGCCGCCACGGAGGTACTGTCGTCGTAGGTAGCACGACATGGCCTCGGCCCCCGCGTCTCGCAAAGAGGTACATGCGTAGGAAGAAAGGCATTGGGGGCGTTGGGTTAGGCTACCGGTATGCTATACGCATATAAGTACCGGCAAGGAAAAGGAAGTGAAGCAAGACACGTGTGTTCGACCTTGGAAAGCTGTCGACTCAGCTGACCCCACTGCTGCTGGGCTGATATATCTGCTGCTGTAACTGCTTCTGGCTGTTCTGAGCTGACTGAGGGTGGCACTGGCTGCCGCTGCTGCTGCTGTTTGGCTGTTAAGACTGCTGAATTCTGTTCTGAGCTGACTGAGGGTGGCACTGGCTGCCGCTGGGGGTACCTCGGATGCAGGTGAGCGTCATCCAGCTCTCGGAGGCGAAGTAGACACGTGCCACGAACTCGGCCGCTATCCCAATGCAACATGCACACCGCTAGCCAGCTCACCCTCACCCACCTGGTGGCGGAGACGGAGGTCTGTGCGGAGTAGGAGGCCAATGGGAGAATGTGGGTGGCCACACCTCTGCGACAGAAAGCAGGAAAGGGGCGCAATTGTAACAACAATGACATCCATTGGTTGTTGACCGCACTACCGGTACCACGCCAGTACTCTATGGGTAACCCGCACAAAAGTAGTTTTTAGACATAGGATAGCGCTTGCTAGAGGTGCTGTTTGCTCTACTAAGCGCAACTGGAACAAGCAACAGGTAAGAGGGACCGTCGATCCTACATGGGAACAGTCACCTTTTGGCATGGGCCTGAGCAAACGGAAGCTATTAACACATTGAAGAGAAGCCGGTAAGGCCTGCAAGGCATGGAGCGCGAGACAAGTTTTCTTAACCGCCATGGAGGCATTGAAAAGCGAAGAGCACGCAATCCCACAATACAGCATACAGTTGCAACATATCTTGCATACAAATTATTTTATATGTCGCCCATACCGGTAGCGACGTGGTTGCCAGCAACCAGGAGCAACTGTAAAGGACGACAGATTCCATCTACACCACATGCTTTATGACGTTATTCAATTGTAAGGAATAAGAGAAACGCGGAAATAGTTCGGCCCTTTTTATACTAATTAGGTAGACCTTTGTACGGCGGTAGCAGCAGTAGCGGCATGGGAATCGTGCAGAACAACGAGAAAGATATCAACTTGTATATGTATGTACTAGAGCAACCAGCGGTCGTAACGGGGAATACAGGACGACAAATCGCGGTTGCGGCCTTGCTAGGATGAGCAAAAACGCTAGCAAGCCCTTTACATGATATGGTAGTCCAGCAATGCAACGTTTTGTTCGTCCCTAGCGAAACAACAACGCTTGCAACCGAAACGGGCGACGGGCTTATAGGGCATGGTTGTCCATGTGCGATACTCCTCATCGACAGCTCCGCCCTTGGCATTGCTATGGCATTGAACAAAAAGTCGATGTCGAACAGGCTTGGCTGACTACTGGATGGGTTTTGTAAGCGAATGTCGGACCTATGGCCTCTAATCACAGCATCGGCAAATGGAAACCAATAGGTTGGCCTTTCTACAGGACGGCGCCCATATTCTTCGGCTTTCGAGAAGGCACATAACGGAACTCGATCGCACCACCGTGATCGCGATACAGCCACAAGCCTAAACGCTCCAAGCGCACATGCGGCCGCACGCAGCATGATACGTTTTCTATTCCCACCCCCGCCCCATCCGCACCCTGACCTCATGTTCTTCTCTCCTCCCCGCTCACGAGAGCCTCGTGAATGAATGAATGATCGTTACAATGGTGCCCTAAAAGGGAACACGGGTGATGAACCCAACCCTACATTGCAAAAGAAACGGAACAAACCGTAGAGACAGCACCACAACAGGCCAACAAGATGGGAGACATAGCCCTAAAAGAAACCTCAGGAGGGAAACAAGAGGGTAGAAGCCAAGAAAAGGCCCCTCAGCAAACCTCGACAAACTTCATCTAGGGCACAAGACAACCCAAACCGGAAGCCACGAACACACCACCCCAAAGGCATCAGGGCCAAAAAACAGGACGCTCAACGGCCCACAGAAAACCGCCCGCCAACAATACGTAAGAAAGGATGAGAAGGGCCAACCCCAGCCCATCCCCGACGGGGAACACCCAAACAAGCAAAACCCCGAAGCTGACCCCAGAACCAGGAAACAGCAGACAGGGCCACCACAGCAGCAAGCCCAGGCACAACACCCGCAGAACCAGACTCACGTACACGAGCCCGTAACAACCGCCGACCCTCCTCCATAGCGGACAAAGCAGCCAAAACAACAACATCCCAAACGCACTGCTGCACGCCCGAAGGAGGCAACGCCAACCACAAGGCAGCCCGAGGAACCGCAATACCCAGCGTGACCTCAAGCTGCTCAACCACAGCACGAGCAACAGGACAAGCCCAGAAAAAATGCAACCGCGGAGACACCCCCAAGACAACGGACCCACAACCACAACATTCCGGACGAGCCCTAGACATATGAGAATTCCCCAGCAAGGGAACCCCATCAATAGAAAGACGCCAAAACGCTTCCTTGAAACCATTCTCCCAACGAATCGACCAAAGACGCTGGAAAGAATCACGAAGGCCATCCAAGACACCCTCAGGAAGCTGCTGGGTAGCAGGTAACCCCAGGGCCTCCCGAATAAAAGCCGCATGCAACACAGCACGTTCCTCAAACACACCCCCAAGCTGAAGAACGGTAGCCATTCGAACCGACAGATTCCTCAAAGGAACGGCGCCAACATGAGGCAACTGCCACCCCAAACGTGGAACCAAAACCTGCCAGGCATCAACCTCAGAAGCCGGCAGAGGTTGGGGCGGCAAGGCATCAACAAGAAAAGCCTCAGCAGCCTCCACCCAAGCCACAGGCACCGCACCCAACAACGACTCAAGAGCCGTCAAAAGATCACGACACCTAGGCAACGAACAAAGAGCACAGGCATCCGGGGACGCCGGGTCCAAAAACCGACGTACAAGAGCGGACCAGCACCTCTCCATCACCCTGCCCTCAGCAACCCCCGACACACCGTTCAACAACGCTGAATCCCACGTGTCCTCAAAACAACGAAGTTGAGCCAGGGCAGCCACACACATACCCAATGAACTCAGGGCATGGCAATGAACGAGCACCGGATAGTGGTGTTCCAAACCCAACACACCAGGTTGGCCCGGCAGCCCAACCGGCAAGATAGGGTTACCCCACAACGGAACACCCCAACACCAGCTACCCGGTACCAAAGGCTCCGACCCAATGTCAGTAACTGGCGGTAAAATTGCCATAGAAGTCACAACCCGACGAATATCCTCAGGCAAACCATCCACACCCAACCAAGGCCCCCTCCTGGACGCTGTCAACAATGATAGGGGACCAAAAGCCGGATGCAACCTTCGAAGGTACAGAAGCAAAGCACGCTGCCAGGGATGTAAGGAATCCCTTGGCATCACGGCGGAACAAACTAAACGGGCACCCCAACAAGCAAAACGGGCCCGGATATGCTCAATCAAAGGCAAGGCACCAAAACCCCCTGCCCTGGGGTGACCTGCTAACAGCCTACCCGGAACACCCGTGGCACGACGCTCCCTATCCTGCGGACCCTGGTGCCGATCAATAAACTTAGCCACCAACCTCCCCAGGTTGTCCAACTGATCACCCGGAGGCAAACCGGAATGCTCCATGTGCCAAGTTACCGTATGCAAAGCATAAGCAGCTGCGCCGGTAGCCCTACCAAAAATGGAAAGCGGAAGGCGAGCCAACTTCTGTAAGCGGTGCTCCGCTTCCTGAAACCGTTTGCTCCAGTCAAGACCCGGAACCGTGTCCGAGTTAGTAAAAGGCACATTAAGCGCCACTGCCGTACGAGCTACCGACACTCCATGAAGAACCTGCTGCCCCTCAGTACCCGTCTGAACCCCTATTGGCAAGAGCTCTACCTTGTCCAAATTCAAGCGTTGACCCGACGCCTTCGCAAACGTCTCCATGTGCTGGAGGAAATCCCCCACCGCATCAGGCCCTCGCAACACCACTTCAGTGTCATCAGCAAACTGAACAGCTGTGGTAAGGGAGGAATCCAACGGATCAAGCGCCACACCAACCTGGCAGTGCTGTAACCAACACAAAAGGGCTTGCGCAGCAAACAAGTACAGCAAAGGCGCCAAAGGACACCCTTGTCGTACACCTGCTTCCATACACACCCGTTGCGACCTGTAGCCGTTAACAACCGCAACAGCACACGTGTCACTGAGCAGAAGCTTAGCCCACTTCAACAGGCCTGCCCCAGCCCCCATTGCATCCATGACCGAGAACAGAAAAGCCCGATCCAAGGTATCATACGCCTTAGCAAAATCCAAGAAAGCTACCATGCCGGAGCGCCCCTGGTGAGTAAGCAAATGCGGAAGTGTACGCAAAAAAAGCACATTGGCACCAATTAATCTACCAGGAAGGAACGCCGACTGCTCTAAAGTAATCACGTCACCTAGAGCCAGCCCAACGCGTGATGCAAGTACCTTCGCAAGAAGGCGATAATCTGTACACAACAGAGTAATAGGACGGTAGTTACCAGCTAGTGTACGGTCACCCCTACCTTTCCACAACACCGTAATGACCCCATCTAGAAAGCCAACCGGTAACAAGCCTGTCTCCCCTATGGCGGAGAAAACTCTGGCTAAAATCGAGGCCAACTGCCCCTTGAAAACCTTATAGATAGCAGTAGGGAGCCCATCCCACCCCGGGGCCTTACCCAGCGGCGTTGCTTTAAGAGCCGTGGTTTAAAAGAGGGGGAAGGGAAGGGGAGGAGGAGTGGGAAGGGAAAGGCACAGGGGACGAAGTATGCAGAAAACGATAGCAATGGCATGCATGTCAGGCCGCTAGTACCGTATATGGACATGGCAGGGGTGCGGAGTCCAGGAACCGCCCGCGCCGCTCCAAGCCCGCTTCCTTCCTGCCCCTGTCGCGCTGAGCGCGTATATGCTGTCACATTCCCCCCCCCCCCCTCATCCCGCAACTATGTATCTTCCCAGCCCCACCAACCCAGAGCGAGGGGTACCTGGCACACTGCTGACGCCCTCTTGCCCAACACCTTTTCCATCCCTCCACCACACACTAGCCGTGAGCCCCCCAGGCCCCAGCCCACCCCCGCAGAACCTCACATGACATGCTGCAGTGCTTGCTGGCTGCAGCTGTCCTCTTTGCTGCTGCCTGGGCGCCCCCTGCGGAACCACGGGTCGCCTGCCCTAGCTGCAGCACCCCGCTCTGAGGAGCGAGTGGACTGCTGCGCGCGCTCCTAACCGCTTGTTTCCTATATGCACCATTCTCCTCTGGGTATATACCAGTACAGCTGCCATGTCAGCAGTCGGCAAAAGCAGCCTCAAGCAGCCGCAAACAGCTATATCGCGCTCGGAAAGGTGTTGCTTTTGTAAATGTGCAGATCAGAACCTGTACAATTGTGACTTGTAGACAGTAGTAATTTTGCTCACTGCTGTGGGTTGCGACCAATAAGCATTGCTAGCTAGGTACGGCAAACAGGGGTTCCGGCAGCTGGCAGGCTGGCAGGGACAGCTTTTTCCAGCAGAGCTGACTTCCCTTTTCTGTTCATCTTGACACGCGAAGCTTGAGATCTAAATGACCCAGCTGAGCAGCCCACCGTCAGGACAACATCGATGCGGGCAGGCAGGACGAACCTCCGAAACGAGCTGGCTTTGCTACTACAAAGACACCGCTTCGGCCCGCATGGACAGGCTTCCGCATGATATCACAACAGGCATGTGCCTCCATCCGTCAGCGCCTGTAGCCTGCCCCAAACCAAGGCGGCGGCTGCTAGCTAGGCCGCGGCTCACCCTCTAACTGCGATTCCTGCAGCATCACCATCTTTCCTCCCTTTCCAGACTCCCTTTCCCCCTTCCACGCCGCGCCTTAACAGGAATCGGAGTCAAGAGTCGGGTGTGTGTCATCCTAAGCTACAGCAGAAAGGAACCCTGTCCCAAACCTCCCAACACTCCGCCCAGTACAGGGTCCAATTCAAATTCACCCTTGGACAAACTCCTAATGGGCCCCGGCAAAAAGCCTTACCAGGCCCCAAATAAGAACAACACATTGTGGTTGGTGTCAGGGCTACTGATGCTCTGATGTGACGGTAATGTGTATGGAAGGGCCACTCAAGGGTCAAACTACACCCAAACTTCCTTCGCCCCGCTGCGCATGGTAGGAATGCAAAACCTGCAGGCCAACGGCTCTACGTACGGCATTTGGACATAAGTAGCGTTCCTGATTCCCGCAAAGGCCCGGGAAACCAAAAGACGTTGCAGCAACCTGCAATGTGAGCAAAATGATGGTTAGGACGGCATCCATACCAATCCCCGTACTGCTTTTTGTCCCGCCTCCACCGCTTCGGTCGCCTCCTGAGCCCAGGAACTACCCTCGCTCACAGCACCCAGGCAGCACGACACGCCGTACACGTGGAGAGCGTCTACTACCGATTGCTTGTTTGGGGAACCTCCGGAGCAACGCAACGACCCGTCTCAACTTAATGCCTGATAAAGCCTCTCTGTACTAGCGCACGTTCTCCTCCCGTCTTCAAGCAACTATGCTTCTCCAGCCGAAAGCAAGGATGGAACAAGGGCACAGGGTCCCTGGCTTTAGCAAGCTGTACGCGTGCCGTACCGTGACATGATACAGCATGAAACTGGTTTCCAACCTGACCCCCCTTCCCGTCCTCTTCTACCGCCCAGACCGCCGGTCAGGTGAATTCCCACCCCGCACGTTTCGCCGCACTCACTGGTTTGACGGATATGCTGTACGCGGGATTGCTGTACGTATTGTCGTACGATATGGGGTACGTGGCTTCTCCCGTAGCGGGTGCATCCGTGTTGTAATGGTCAATGTAGTACGCCCGACTGTAGTGCCTGTTTAAGCAACAGATCCGCCCAACGGAGACGAAAAGCATGCGCATCATTAATTTATGGCAATACGGTAGCGTATCGGCGTATACGAGCGCAACCGCGAATCGTGAGTAACAATGGGATGTCGGTTCGGCGTGAACGGTTTTCACAGCGTGAGTGATTTACACGGGTGGTTTTGGTGGTACTTTATTGTGTTCGTGGCAGCACGGGTATTTATTATGTACGGCGGGTGCCGTCGTGCTCGTCGCTTGTCATTGCAATGCCAAGAAGGCGCAAGAGAGATGTCACGACAACCTCCTTTCCTCTGCCTCCTCCTCAACCATCCACTTCCAGTTTCCAAGCCACGCCACCGTTCCGCGCCTGCCCCCCTCCATAGCTTATTTCACCTCCGTTCTTCCCCCCAGCCTATCCTTCCTCTCCAGTCCCCTCACTTCCCCTCCCCCTCCGGCCCCGCCTTCTCCCCGCCCGGCCCCCCCTCCTGCGGCGGCGCCACCAGCGTGAGGCAGCCCCCGCAGCGCAGCCCGCCGCTGTTGTCCGCCAGGAACAGCTCCACAGCCGCCGACAGCGCCGCGAACCCCACCGACGCCCAGAAGCACGCCGCGAATCCCTGCACCACATTGTCCCCCGCGTAGGAGTAGAGCGCGCCGGAGACCAGGGTGCCTGTGGTGGCAAGGAGGGGAGAGGGGAAGTTATACGTAAGTGCAAGTCCCAATGCAGTCCCAAAAGGGAGGGAAGGAGGGGGAAGGGAAGGGAGGGGAAGGGAGGGAGGGAGGGAGGGAGATTGGGGTGAGGCAAAGGGGTGGAGCGAGAGAGGGCTGCGGATAGTGAGCGGGCATAGGCGTGAGAATTGGGGTATAAGGAGGTTGTGGACAGGCAAGTTGAGACCGTGTCAGAAGGATGGAGCCCCAGAGGTGCTGCCGGTACAAGCGGACACCGCCGCCGACACTCCCGTCATGTGCGAGCCTGGAGGGGGTGGCACGTACCATGGAGAGCATGCGCCAGGTGTGTGTAGTTGAGCAGAAACAAGAGCAAGCAGGTATGTGCGCTGAACTCCCGACCCTCCAGCTACCTCCCTCACCTTCCGCCGCCCCTTTACACGCTCCAAGTCCACTCCAAATGTATATTCCAAACGTACGGCAACCCCCACCCCCCTGTCACCCCCCGCCAACCCTTTACCCCCTCCGGGATGGGTTCAACAAGCAACCCATGGTGAAGCCGCGTCACGCAGATCGTCAGTTTCCTTATCTTTACCCCCTGCCCCCACCCCACCTGTCAGCCGACCCAGCGCGTTAGCGCAGTAGTAGAAGCCCACGTTCATGGCCACCTTGTCTCCCTGCGCGTACCGCACGATGAGGTAGGAGTGGATGGAGCTGTTCACCGCGAACACCAGACAGAAGGCGCCCAGCCCGCCGATCATGATGCCCGTCATGCCACCCAGGTGGTGGGACTGAGGGGGGAGGGAGGGAGGGAGGGAGGGGGAGGGGAGGGAGCGGGGAGGGGACGAGGAAGGGAAGAACTTAGAAAGGAGAGTAGGGGGAGAGAATAAAGAGATGAGGGGATGAAGGGAGAGGCTGGGGTGGAAACGGCATGAGGGGAAATGGCACTCGCGGCCAGTTTTCTTAGCACACGTGTCGCCCGCCCCCCAGCCGCACCCTGAACAGGTCGCTGGCCTGCAGCATGAGCCCCATGAACAGCGGGGTTGCCACCAGGGCGGCGTTCCATGCCACCGCCACGTACTTGTTGGCGGGCATCTGGCGCAGCGGGGTGAGCACCAGCTGCGGGGTCCAGGACTGGAACTGCGGGGGTGGGAGGTGAGGGGGCATGGGGAGGCTGGCCGCACATGACATACCACCAATCGCCTGCAGTGCTGCCGTCTCTTTGCCTCTCCGAGCTACCGTCACGCACGCGGGAGCCCTTGTAATCCACACAGCCCCCGACCCAGCCGCAAAGCCGGGCTCATGCCCCTCTGATGGCACCCGTTCTGCTATGCGGCAATCCCTGGTCACTACCCCCCCTGCCTTGCCTTGCCGTACACCCCCTAGCTGTCCGTACACCCCCTACTAGCCCGTAAAACCCCCCCTGCCGTACACCCCCTACCTGTCCGTACACGATGATCCACACCGCCAGGAACAGCCCCGTGAGCGGCCTGCTCCAGCCCAGTCCGTACGTGGCGTTGCGCAGGAAGAAGGGCAGCGGCACCTCGAACCACATGTCGCGACTGCCGAACAGGAAGTAGCTGGGGGGATGGAGATGGGGCCGCTGAGAGGTGAACAGTAGGAGGTAAAGCACCGGCAGGTACGTTACAGAAAGCGCACAAGAACGTCTGTTAGAGTGGGGGCGCCATCCAGCGCAATCAGCTCACCACGAGGTGCAGCCGCTCCGCCCCGCTCCCTCCCTGCCCTCTGGGCCCCCTACCTACCGTGACACGCTCAGTACGTTGATGTTGTACGGCTGCCGGAAGATCTGGCCCAGCGTGAGGTTCTCCTTGCGCGCGCGGCCCAGCTGCGATGTGAGGCCCAGCGCCGCCCAGGGCATGGCCGCCAGGATGAGCGCCAGCAGCACCCCCAGCGCGAACTGGTAGTTGAAGGCCAGGCAGGCGGCACCCAGGAAGTAGCCGGCGCCTGGGTGAGGGGTGGGGGGTGAGGTGTGATTGTGAGGGCGGACCACGAGGGGGCCGGGTGGAGGGCCTCGAAACACACACGCGGCGGGGCACGGCAGGGTTTCTAGGTACCAAGGGGCCAGCCTCCAACCTAACCAATCAGCCCCCACCTGCAGCCCCCCCCGGCAGCCCCCCCCCTGCAGCCCCACCCTTGAGCGAGTTCTTCATGCCGGTGATGAAGGACACCAGCTTGAACAGGCTGCTCTGCTTCTCGTCCGGGGTGACCAGCTTGGTGACCGTCTTGCCGCCCAGCTTGGTCAGGTCCTTGGCGATGCCGCACAGCATCTGCGGAGGGGCAGGGAGGGGGGCAGCGACCAGACAAACCACCCATGGGTAGCACACCATGCAAGACCACCATACTCCTACCATTTTCATCCAACACATTGGGTATCCTTTTTTCACCCCTCGGCTTGTGATCAAACCGCAATAACATCAAGCCAGCTGCGTGTTCAAAGGCGATCCTATCACAAAGTCTAGCATCCTGCGCTCCATGCTCAGCCGTCAAACCAAGAGAGCTGCCAAGAGAAGCTCATCAAGCCCCGGGGCAGCTGCGGCCTCTTGGTCCTATCCCAACAGCCTTCACCCCGACTCCCCCCGCCCCCCACCTGCGCGCACGTGACGAACAGGATGCCCTTCCAGCGGTTCTCCGGCACCGACCAGCCGTCCTGCCAGCCGTACAGTACGGATATGCCCGCCAGCTGCAACGTCAGCCCGGACAGCAGCGTCCACTTGATGCCCCAGCGCGCCCCCAGCATGCCTGGGGAGGAGCACAGGCACAGGAGCAGAAGGGTCGAGCCGACGGCCAACGGACCACTACTGGCGGCACCCGTTCCTGCGCACCTGCTGCCAGGTTCGTCACCACCCCTGCCATCTCGTAGAGTGAGAACATGATGGCTACCTGAGGGGGAAGGGGAAAGCCGGATTGGGGTCTCAAAACCCGGATTCAGTTTCCTTTTGTCGCTTGTTTGCCCCTTCTCAGACGTACGCTGGCACAGAAACCCCGCCTCCATGGCTCCCCTCGACCCCCCCCACCTCCTCTCCGCCGCTACCTGCCAAGCGCTGAAGCCCGAGCGGTACGCGTGCAGCAGCACGATCATGCGCACCGCGCCGTCGGTGGTGGTGAAGAGCAGGTAGGAGAGCGAGATGATGACGAAGGGCTTGAGCGCGGAGTACTTGCGCTGCATGGCCTCCTGCCGAGGACAGGGTGGTAGTGGTGGTGACGGGTGAGCACAGCATGGGGGCAGCATGGGTACCGAACTAACGAACTACCAAACCTTTCACTTCCCATTTACATTGGTTTCCAAAGTCGCCAGCCGGCGCTGTTTGCTGTGAGGAGGCGCCACGCACCACCAAGCAACCTGCCGTCTGACACCGGCCAGTCTGGCTGGCTGGTGCTGCGGAAGGGAGGCTGCCTTGCAGCAGGCGGCCCTCAACCCTCAACCGCCCTCACCTTGCGCGTTTCCGCCGGTTTTGAACCGGGCTCCGTCGCTGGCTGCAGCTGCCCTGCCTTGCTGCCGTTGTCGCCGACCTCCCCGCGGCTGGCCGCCAGCATGTCCGGCGCATGGTTGGCACCGCTGGCTGCGGCGAGGGCGGCCGCGGTGTCTTGTGAGCCCGGGGCCTTCAGAGACCTGCGGGTGGAGGAAATGTGTGTGAGTCGGGACGGGAATTTTGAGTCTATTGTAAAACTCAATGGATAAGAAGATAGAAGTTTTGCGAGTTTGTTACCAAACCATGCGTCGGAGCAGAGGTCCGTTGTGCGGCTTCACGGCCTCGCACCCTAGGCGCATCCCCTCTCCCGCGCCAAGCCCCCCTCCGGCCCCCTCCGGAGCCCCCCCTCCTGCCTCCTGCAGCAGCCGTCCCACCTCAGGAGGTGCACCTGCTCCAGGGACAGCGTCTCCTCCGCCAACACGTTGTCGTGGTGCAGCACCTTGACCGGGACACCGGTGCTGAGCTCCACGTCGGTGTTGAGCGCCTGCATGCAGCAGGGGGGGAGAGTGGCGGTCGAAATCAGACCAACAACACCATCCTCTTTTGGTATGGCATTCACATATGACATGCACCCCTACGCCTCCATCCCGTCCTATTGGAAAACCGCTACTATCTAGTAGCGGGGGTTTTGTACGATGGAAGGAGTAGGGTGATACTGGGCAGGATGCTGACTACAGGCGGCCATTACGCCTCGAGTTGCTGTCACCGCCAAGCTGGGCTCTGAGCAACCAGTCTGGGGCTCACCTCTGGCGCCGGCACACAGCAGGTGACCTGGCCTCCGTCCTCCGCGCGTGCTGGAACTTCTACATTCCCCCAGCGACACCTTAAACCGCTCGTAGCAGGCGCGGTCGTGCCGCAGCAAACCACACGAGCCTCGTCGCCGTTCGTTGATGGAAAAGGTGCGAGCGGCATACTTCACAGGAACTATAATAAGTTGTCTTTTAAAGTGACCAGGCGGTAGTTATGTTTGCTATCATACGGTGTTAAGATGTGTTTGGATTGACTCAAAGTCCCTGTCCGACTGATGCGAGCGCTTGCAAAACACTGATGGGATACCTGCGACTATAGCAAGCAGGTTCATGGCTGACAACCGTCTAAGGCTAACATGTGCAAGCAACCCTCACACGGAAGTCGGTATAATGAACGAAAAAGATTCCGCTATGCTCCGAAGCCAGATTCGTCATGTCCACCAACGCCTTGCCAGGGGCCTGCAGCCGTTCGCCAAATGTTACAGAAATTTATTGTAACTAGTGCCAGGCACAGGCATGCCAAAAGCAAGCAGCAACTGCAGCTTTCCAAAGTCGCGGGCTCGCGACCATGCAGCTGCCGACTGAACTGGTATATAGCAGCATGCATGTATGGAGGGCTTTTGAGCTGGCTCGGATTAATGAGGTGCAATGGCAAGGAGCACAGGCTGCATTGCGCAGGAAGACAGCGTGTGCGTTGTTCGCTCGGTTGTTCCTCCGGCGTGTCACCACGCAAAACGTATTGCAGAGATGCGTGACATGTGCATGTGGTATAATGGCTTATTTGGGTCGGGGTATTGGTGGTCGAACTCACGAGCTCTCCAGTACTCACCTGGGCTTGGGTTTATTGTTCGCATTGGTCTGTGTAGGCAGGGAAACAAAACCTTCTTTGAACGGCCGCAGGCAGCAGCTGGCACGACTGAGATGTTGTTTGCGCCTGTACGATGCTGGCTTCTTTGGTGGTTGGCTTGGTCTGGTGTTTAAACCCCGAGGCCACAGTTAAGGGAGCGGCGGGTCTTGGCTAGGGCGTATCTCGATTGTCAAGGACCGAGGCATGAGTGAAAGCAGTAGGAATTTTCCCGTCCTTTGTGGCATACTACAGGTGTATCGTACGGTGCAGGTCAATGCCGTACCGCTTGTTGATTGTGCTGTTTGTGCGCGCCCGGCCAGATTTATGATGGTATTGGAGACATCAAATCCTTTGTAAAGACATCATCTCAGGTCTTTGCGAAGAGGTGCTTTGCCGGCTTTAGCCGGCTTGCATCGGCGGCCTTAACCATCATCGCTTTGCAAAGGCTGCCTTGATTACAAGACGCTGTATAGTACACGTTTACATTACCTCTAGATAGCCGCGTTTAAGGAAACCTTTCTTCTGTCGGAATGCAGCGGCCACATCCATCGGCCATTTGGCCGCAGTTGCTGCCGGAGCTTGCGGAGCACATCATCAGCTTCCTTCCACCCAACGAGGTCGTCTGCACCGTACGCCTCATAAACAAAGCCGCAGCTGCACAGTTTAACGGCCCTCGCTATGCTGTTGTGCGGTTGTCTGCACCTGTACCACCGTATGCCTACAAGCAGCGCTGGGGCCTCCCTGGCGCAATGCACGGCCTAACGCACGGGAAGCGGCGCGAACTACTGTGCCTGACTGCCAGCAGTGGCAGCGTCCCAAACTTGGAGCTAGCGGTTGCAACCAGTGGACTGGTGCCAATAGGTTCCACCAGAACCCTGCTTGCTGAGGCAGCGGCTGCTGCAGGACACCTGGAGGTGTGTCAGTGGCTCTGGCAGCAGGGCTGTCCCTTGGACGGAATCATGGAGGCTGCTGCAGCAGCAGGGCAGCGGACCATTTGCGAGTGGGCAGTGGCTACCGGCTGGTCCTGGAATCCCGACGCAGTGTATGCAGCTATTCGTGGGGGGCACATGCATCTAATGGAGTGGCTGCTGCAGCTGCGCCCTAAAGCGGTGAAAGGCCTGCTGCTGGATGCCGCCCTAGCCTCGGCAGCAAGGGGCTGTGACCTGGCAGGTCTGCAGCAGCTGTACGAGAGGTGGCTGCTGGGCAGCCAGCAGCGGCGGCAGAACCGGCGGCGCCAGCTTCTGGATGAGGCGGACAAGGGTGCGGTCCTGGAGGCCGCCACGACCAGCGCTACACCCGACTGGCAGGAAAAGGTGGCATGGCTGGAGGAGCAGGGCTTTCCAAAATCGCAGGTTGTGTGCGAGGATGCCGCTGCATGCCCAGATGGACTGGAGCGTGTGAGGTGGCTAAGAGCAAGGGGCTACAGGTTGGGCATGAACGCGGCTTTCCAAGCAGCACGGCAGGGCAACTGTGACATGATAACCTACCTGCTAACGCTGCAGGATGTACGGCCTGAAGACCAGGTTACCAATGAGGCTGCGGAGTGTGGCCACCTGGCTGTCCTGAGGCTGCTGCATGCCCATGGCTGGCCCCTGGGGAGGTCCACCGTGCATGCTGCGGCGCGGGGCGGGCAGCTGCATGTGCTGACCTGGCTGCTGGAGGCACTGGGGGATGCGGTGCGGCTGGATGCGGTCGTCTTCCGGTCCGCTGCGGAGTCGGGCAACCTGGAGCTGCTGAGGTGGCTGCTGCAGGAGAGGGGCTGCCCTGTGGACGCCCAGGCATCCTCCGGAGCTGCTAAGTCGGGTTGTGGAGAAGCACTGGAGTGGCTGGTGCAGCAGGGCTGCCCCATGCAGGTGGGTGCTGGAGGCTGGCTAACAGATGCCAAAGTGTGTACTTTTGAACTGTCCTGGCTGCTGCTGCTGTGTGTGGGGGAATGTAGCTCTATCAGGCCGTGGTGTGGTTCCAGGAGGTAGGCATCCCCCCCGTACACCAGCTTTTACTCATAACTTCCCATGTCCCGCACAAGTGCAACCCTTTTTCCCTGTCCATCCCTTCCCCTTACACGCTTCACCACCCTCCCCACCAGGCTGATGGCCTCCCCTATCTGGAGGCTGCCTGCAACGGCGACCTGGCCATGCTGCGCTGCCTGCGGAGGCTGGGCTGCCCCTGGGGCCGGCAGGGGGAGCTGTTCGTGGCGTGCGTCCACAGGCTGTGTGACCCGCGGCTGCTGAGCTGGCTGCTGCAGGAGGGCTGCTCGGTGGACTGGCAGGGAGCGGTGGCGGCGTTGGAGGATGTGAAGGACACAGCTGGGTATGAGGCAGATGAGGAGCCGGTGAAGGGCATATGGCAGTGGATGCAGGCAAACAGTGGTGGCCTGATCCGGGAAGAATTGTAGGAAGGTGGCTGGCAAACCTCCTTTTACCCTGTGATTGCTAGCTTAAGGACGTAGGGAGTGGGTGACTGCAGCATGTCAAGAGGTGGCGATTAAGCCAGTAGCCTTGCTTGCATGCTTGTGTACATGGCTGGATGTATGCCGTGAGTGATGGCCAGCATCTCGGCCGGCTCGTTTCTTGACGGCCGCATGACGTACCAGGGTTCCCAATACTACAACCTCAATTCCTTGGGTAAGGCCTTGCTCAAGGTTGATCGTGCAAAGCCCCACCATACATTGTTGTGCCCTTGGATGAAGGGGCAAACGAGATGGTGTATGACAAGAACATACACTTGCGTGGCACTTCCTTACGCCGGCTGGTGACATTATGTAAAACTCGGCTACGCCACGCACATGCGTGTAGCAAGTGATGTGAACACCTGGCCTATCCAGCAAACCAATAACCCTGTCAATGCTCACTTGAACGCCACTAGAAAGCTGTCCCGGAGGTTTAGGTTTCCAGCACGAACATGTTGGCCTTATCATGGGTCTAGTGTGTATCAGTAAGCGATTGTATCGAATTCGCATCGAGATGCCTATCCACGCGACGCAGTGACGTTCGCCATTTATTGGACAGCATTCATCCACAAAACAGCCACCCTATAACAGCTTCTTTACCCTGATCTTTGACCCCCAAAGCACATTAAAAATTACGTCCCATGGCAGCGAACAAAATTACATACTTTGTAACACAGCTTAAGAATCGGCACGTGGTCCTACCATTAGCCAAGCCAGGCTCAACCCCTTGTCTTCGAAACTGTCGATTTAGACAGCTCGACCAACGTCTGCTTTCCTCCCCCTCACTCCTACTGCTGCTTCATCCCCGCTGCCTCCCGCACCGCCAGTGCCAGTGCCGACCAGTCCTTGTCCGCCAGCCCCCCGGCCTTGGCGGCCAGAAGGTGGTTGAACGCCACGTCAGCCTGGGCGGGCGGACGGGATGGCGGGTGGTGGTGGGGCAAAAATTATATAAGAAATGCAAACATGCGGGTGGGGGCGGGTGGGATAGTACGAGGGGGGGCGGGCGGGGGGGTTACGAGGGAATGGGTGTTCCGACAGAGCGGGGTTGTGATGGTGGTGGTGGGGGGCGGATGGAGTGATAGTACGGCATTCGGGGTTGTGCGTCCAGGACTGGAGTTGAGGGTGCACCCCCCCAGCCGTACCGGGAAATGCCACGAATTGGCAGTATACAGCCGGTTGCAAATGGGCGTTGGCAATCAGGTAATTCAATCCTTTTCCGTACACCCCCTAAGCATGCTCCCTCTTTTACTCACCAGGGGCAGGGGCGCCTCGCTGCGCTCAGCCAGCTGGCGCATCAGGTTGACATCCTGGAAGGGCGTGAGTGGAGAGAGAGGGGGGGGGAGGGAAGAGGTTACGAAGATAGAGGTGAGTTAGAGCTGGAGGAAGAGGTTGACAAACGAGTAACTATAGGGTTGCAAGATGCAGTGTCTGTCAGGATGCGCTGAACGCACGGAAGATACCCAATGTGATGTGCGTGCGTGGCGGGAGGGGAGGCAGCATGCAGGGTTACGACATAGTTGGTTTCCTCCGAAAACAGGGTTTAGCAGCAATGGCGGTGCGGTGCGGCGGGTTACAACGCGATTGGCGGTTGGCGGTTGTCACTCCCTGGCTCACCTTGAGTCCCAACGTGACCGTGAAGCCCTGACCCGCCTGGAAGGCATCCGCCGCCATGCGGCCGCAGTAGCCGGTCACGATGGGGGCGGGCAGCATCTCCGAGATGAAGGAGGAGTAGAGGTCGCTGTGTGGGGGGGCGAGGGGGGTACGACGGCAGAAAAGGGGGGAAGGAGGGGGAGAAAGCAAAGGGGAGGGACAAACAGAGAATGTGAAAGGAAGGAGAAAGGGGGAGCGGGCGGTCAACGCCGAAGAACCGTAACGGCGAGGGAACTATGCATGCATGGCCAGCATGGAACCCGCGTAAACGCAAACACATGTCGTACAAACACACGCAGTCTCCCACGCACTCCCAGTGACTCACCGTGAGATGCCGTTCTTCTCCGCCAGTGTCATTCCCTCCGCCAGCAGCTCAATGAGCGACACTGCATGGGGCAAACGCATGCATGCATGCACCCGGGGGGGAGTGAGAGGAGTGAAGCAACCGGACTTCCATGTGCCCATGCAGTGGGGGGCCGTGTGATGAGAGTGTGCGGCGGAGGTGCGTAGCTTTGCAATCTGCCATCGCAGGGGAGGCAGGCAGGCAGTGGTATGCATGTGGCAAGGCAGAGTAACCCTATGGACGCTTTACCCCCCCCCCCCCCGCCCCTCTGCACGTCCCAACCCACCCAGATGGAAGTTGGCAAGCAGCTTCATGATGTTGGCCTTGGGGGCCTCATCGCTCAGATCCAACACCTTGCGACCCAGGGAACTGCAGTGCAGTACGGCAAGTACGTCAGGTTTTAAGACAACTAGGATGCGGTACCCAAAACCGTACGGCAGCTAAAGGAGTGATCCATGACTGTACAACAATGTTGGTGTGTGGAACTGCGCAAAGGGCCGTACAGGCAGGACAACTGTTGTCGCCCACTGCTGTACCTGCCTATGTTGCAAGTTTGCAACTGCCGTACACGATGTTGTACCCACCTGATGTACGGCATTGCGACCTCCTTGGCGGCGGAGGGTCCTGCGCAGAAGAGCAGCAGCTTCGCGGCGGCAGCGGCATCGGGCCTGAGGAGGAAGAGGTTTGAGTTTCGGAGGGCCGGGCAATACTGTAAGATAGAGGAGAAGAGGCTACGGTGGTATTGGGCGGTAAGGGTCCCAACATTCCAAGGGAGGCAAACAAAGCGGGAAGTCCAACGGAGAGGGAGGACAGGGAAAAGCGAGGATAGCTACGGATGTGGGGATGCCCTTGGTGGTTTCGTAGAGGATGTCCTTATCATAGTTTCGCAGATGCATGGTTCCATAGAAGCATGGCTACCGCAGGCTAAGTACAATCGCCTGCCTTGTCCCGTGATAGCAGCCTACACCCGCCCTTTCTCCCCATCATCCTCACCTTCCAAGCACAGGGCAAGCAATGTACAGCGCCCCCGCGGCCTCAGCAGCGGCGCTCATCTCCCGGGTAGTGTCCGGGCTGACCGTGCTGCAGTCTACGAAAACGCGCGGCTGCTGCTGATGCCCATCATCGGCAGCATTTGCCGACTTCAAGAACTCCACGACCTTGCCCATGACGTCCTTCACCGCTGCATCATGAGCTAGCATTGTAAAGATGACGTTGCAGTTCTTTGCAATGTCCTCTAGCCCGCTGGCTGCGCGGAAGTTCGCAGATTCTGGGCCCGATAGCAAGGATTCCGTCTTCGAAGGATCGCGGTTGTACACGTAGAGTACTTGACCTTTTGTGCTAAGGAAGCGTGCGAGGCAGGGTGCCATGGCACTACCCATGGCACCCAGGCCAACGAACCCCACTTGGATGGAAGCAGAAGCTTGCTCTGTTGCCATTTTTGCCTTTCAATGGGATGAAGTAAGGCGGATGTTGTCTGCTTACCTTTTAGTTTCGATAATCGATACATGGTTACCGAGGCTCCGAGACCGTTATCAATGGGGCACTGTGTTAGTCAGAATCGTCCTTTCCATGCAAGGACCATGGGTGACCTATCTTGAGCAGCTCTAGTGTGTTGGGCATGATGGCGGCACGAAACGGTTTTGTTGTAACATGCCCGGGTAATGCGGCCACGCTCAGTATGGACAACGCCGATTTGCGCGCTAGGAACGCAGAGCTAGAACGCGAAGTGTCAGCGTTGAAGGAGCAGGTGCTAGCGCTTCAGGCGGAGTTGACTGGGCGCGCAGCCGTTGGCGTCGATGCTGCTGCCATGGATGGCTCTCCTATCCAGCAGGTGCGCTAGTCCCCCATCGGCATTTCTTCAACGTTTTGTCGCAAAAAGAGCACGGGTTACTTGAACTTTTTGCGTTGCTTTATCTTTGAACCTCACCCACCACATCCTGCCTTCAACGATGGACCCCCTTCACGAACTCTTCACCCACTCCCTACACCTTTCACTCCCATGCCTCCTCTTCTTCTTCCCCTCCTCCCCATGCCCACCGCCCTTATCATACCATCAACTCGGACCACCACCATCGCCTTCTCTTCCTCTTCCAGCAGCCCGCGCCCCAGCAGCACCCCCAGCCCGGCGCTCCCCCTCCCCCTCGCGCCCCGCCCCGCCACTCCCTCTCCCGCCCCCAATGCGAGCGCTACAGCCGCCACCTGCTGCTGCCCTCCTTCGGCGTGGCGGCGCAGCAGCGGGTGTGCGGCGGCTCGGTGCTGCTGGTGGGGTGCGGCGGGCTGGGCGCGCCGGCAGCCATGTACCTGGCGGCGGCGGGAGTGGGTGAGAGTGGGGGGAGGGGGGGGGAGGGGAGTCAACATAGGCCAGACCATAGGAAAGCAGAGGAGAGGGGAGGCGGGAAGGGGGGAAAGGGGACCCTGACGGGAGGGGTGCTTGAGGAGCCGGGCACCCGGGGGTCTCAGGGGATGCAGTCGTGGCTGCGTGTGTTTGGAGGGAGCAGGGCGGGGGCGGGGCGGGGCAAGGCGTTCATATAAACCCACCCTCACCGCCATGAACGGGACGTGGGATGGGGCTGCAGCTGGGCTGGGCTAGGCTGGAGGGAGCTGGGTGTGCAAAAGGGTTGTGCTCGCCTCATCCCTTTTTACTATCGCCGGCTCGACTTGCGTGCCGCTAGTCAGCTGCCCGCCTCACCTGCCTTCATTGCCTCCTCCCCACCCGCTCCCACCTGCTCCCCCCCCTCCAGGCCGGCTGGGGTTGGTGGACAAGGACACGGTGGAGGTGACCAACCTGCATCGCCAGGTGGGGGCGGGAGGGAGGGAGGGGGCCGGAGGGAGGGGGAGGGAGGGAGGGAGGGAGCGGGAGGGGGAAAGGAGGGAGGGACAGGTAATGACATGTGGTGAGATGCCACCATGGGTTGTGTGGAGGCGGGTGGCGGCCATTCCAACTCCCCAGGGCGGGAGGCTGAGGTTGAGGGATGGGGGAAATGAGGGAGGGAGGAAAGGAGGAAGGAAGGGAAGGGGGCTAGAGCAGGGATGTGTGGTGAGATTGTCTGGGATGTAGAGCTCTTCGCCTCTCTTCCACCAACCCACGCCTCCCCTCTCCCACCCAGCTCGTCAGTTGCATCGTCAGCGTCTCATTATATTTTTTACCTCCCACCTCCCAGATCATCCACACCACGGGGCGGGTGGGCATGCACAAGGCCCTCTCCGCCCGCCTCACCTGCATCGCCATCAACCCCACCATCCAGGTGAGGTGCGGGGTGGTAGGGTGAGGGGTCAAAGACCATACCAAACCAGGAGGGTGGGAGTGGCAGTGAGGGGTGTCGGGGATGTCGCCCCGCCGCCACGCCCTGCTACCCCTCCTGCCCCTCCCGCACTGCCGCGTTACCACCACCTCCACCTCCCTACTGCCCCCTTTCTGCTCTCCTGCCCCCCTGCACCACCCCCTCTGCCCGCCCCCCCCCCCTGGGGCCCCCCTGCCCCCTCCCCCCTCCCCCCAGGTCGAGCCCCACCTGAGCGGCCTGACCCCCTCCACCGCGGTGCAGCTGGTGGGGCGGTACGACCTGGTGCTGGACTGCTCAGACAACCCCGCCACACGATACCTGGTCAGGTGAGGGGGGGGAGGAGGGGGGGAGGAGGGGGGGAGGAGGGGGGGAAGGGAGGGGAAGGGCGGCGGGCGAAACGCTTCCGCAACAGCATCCATATGTCACCCTCTTCTCTCGTTGAATCAAACTGGTTTCCCTTCCTTCCCCTTCCCACCCCTCCCTCCCTTCCTCCCGCCCCCCAGTGACGCCTGTGTGGTGGTCGGCCGGCCGCTGGTGTCCGCTGCGGCGGTGGGCACCGACGGACAGCTTACCGTGTACCACTACGGGGAGGATGGTGGGGGGGGGTGGGCGGGCTGGGGGGGGGGAATGTGTGTGTATTGCGGGGTAACACGCAATGGAATTGAGGGCGGGGAGGGGAGAGTAAGAAGTGAAGCAATCGGGGAGGGCATATGGGGAGGGCGACGGGTGGAAGAGCATAGAAGAGGAGTGGATTGGTCGGGGCATGGAAGAGCGGTGGCAGGAGGGGACCGGCTCTGATTTTCCGGCAAGGCTGCTGCATGCTTCTCGCAACAGAGGCTGGCAGCTACCACATCGTGTCAATGACGCCCACCTCCTCCCCCTCTCGTTAAAGGGATACCTCCTGCCGCGTACCACCCACCCACCCACCCACACAGCCTTACGCCTCCTCCTCCCCCCTCCCACTCCCCTCCCCTCCACAGGCCCCTGCTACCGCTGCCTGTTCCCCGAGTCGCCCGCCCCCGAGAACTGCAGCCGCTGCGGGGAGGCGGGGGTGCTGGGGGTGGTGCCGGGGGTCATGGGGTGCCTGCAGGTGGGGGGTGCTGGGGGTGGTGCTGGGGTGGCGGGGCCTAGGAGGGGAGAAGGTAGAAGGCGAAGAACCACCGTGGGGAGTGCGGAGTTGGGGTTGGGGAAGAGCACAGACGTGCGGCTGCTTCTTAACCTTCGGTAACCCCACACAACAACTCCTCCTGTCCCCCCGCCTCCTGCCTCCCCTCATCCTGCAAGGCTCTGGAGGCGCTCAAGATCCTGAGTGGGGTGGGGCAGGTGGCCAGCAAGCGGCTGACCATATTCGATGCGCTCGCAGGTGAGGGGTTGGGCACTGGGGAGGCAGGCTCTGGGGAGTGCTGTACGGGGTTCTGGCATCCGAAGCTCGGGGTTGGGATGTGGTGGAGGGTGGGGAATTGGCTATGGTGCGTGAGGAGAGTGGGTAGGCAGTGGAGAGCTGCAGTGGCACGGGATGGGTGGTGTCGATGTGGGTGTTTGATCCTCAAGAGCCCTCACACACAATCTTTTGCTCCACCACCTTCACCGCCAGCTGCTCCTCCGCTGCCCCCGCCCCCTTGCTCACCAGGTCGCTTCACCACCGTGCGCCTGCGTGGTCGCAACCCCGCTTGCGTCGCCTGCGGCTCCTCGCCTTCCATCACCGCCGCCTCCCTGCCTTCCTACGACTACACAGCTTTCACCGGCCAGCCGGCGGACGACGGACCGCCACCAGAGCTGCGACTCATTGACCCACGGGTCAGGCTGCAGCCAGCGGACGTCGCCAGGCTGCTTGCTGCAAGCGACGACAAGAAGGAGGAGACGGAGAAGGAGAAGAACATAAAGAAGGGAAAAGAGGACGAAAGCGAGTGCATGGGACGGGAGACGGAGGAGATACGACAGAAGGAGGAGGCCTCCTCCACCTCCACCTCCGCCCCCGCCTGTAGGCCGTTATTCCTGGACGTACGGCCGCAAGCGCAGTACGACGTCATGGCACTACCCGGTGTCGTACACGTGCCGTACGAACGGTTGGACGAGCGGCTACCGGAGATTCTGGCGCTGTGCGGGGGCGGCAGTGGCAGCAGCAGCGAGGGAATTGCGGGAGCCAGCGGGGCGGCTGACGTGACCGCTGCTACTACAGCTGCTAATACTACTGCCACTACTTGTACGGCATGTGATGCTGCCGTACCCCCGCATGCGGAGGAGTCCATGTCGCCCCGCAACCCTACATCCACAACATCATTACCCGCCTCGGCAGCTGGTGATGGGGAGGTGGCGGGAGGTCCCGACCCCGCCCCCGCTGCTCCTCCCCACCCACCCCAACCCCTGCCGCGGGTGGTGGTGCTGTGCCGCCGCGGCAACAACTCCCAGCGTGTGGCGGCCAGGCTGGCGGCACTGGGGGTGGCGGGGGTGACGGACATGCGGGGGGGCTACCAGGCCTGGGCGCGGGAGGTGGACCCGGACATGCCGCTGCTGTAGGGGAGGAGGGGTGGTTGCGGTGGTGGGATGGGGGTGTGGGGGTGGGCGGTGTGTGGGGTGCCAGCTGTGGGTTGATGCTGCCCATGCTGCAGGATCTAGTTGGTAATGTGGATGCTGCTGCGGGTGTTGTTGTGGGATGGGTTGTTGCTGGTGGTACTGTTGTGCTTACTTGCCGCAGCTGATACTGCCAGTAATGGTGTGTTTGGAAGCAGTGCTACTTTGAGTTAAGCGACCTCCCGGGATAGGGAGAGGATGGGAGGTGGCGGGCAGGCGGGGGTGCATGTGATGTGATGGGCAGCATGCCGGTTGTGGGTTACCGGTACATGTTGCGGGGTTGGCGGGTTTGCTGTTTGGCACTATTAAGGACTGGAACTGGCGCAGCACTGCTACCGCTGCTTGGCGGTTGTTCGGAGACTGCTGTAAGCCATTCGTGGTCGTAACACTCGGTCATTCACTCTGCTTTATATGCGACATGAATGTCTGAATGGGGTACATGTGAATCAGGTGTGTAGATACTGCTGGGAAGGATGCGTGGGGAATGTACGTCACTCTACACGACACACATGTTACATTTGCCGTATCAAAGAACAACACAACGTATGCAACACCATATGCACCGCTTTTTAAGACGCGGGGACAGTTGCAGACACCGCTCTTAAGCCAAGGGAGATGTCACATCTTGGTTGGTACGACACAACCATGATGGCACGTCTGCAACCCTGCTACCAATAACAACAATCATTGAGCAAGGACATTTATTGCTCATCATGCCATCATGTGCATGCGACCCTCACCCGCAGCCACCCGTCATTCGTATCAGAGGACACTCGTCACGCTTTGCACGTTTAGGCTTTAATAACGGCTTCAACTCCATACTTACGAAGCGTTCACCGTAACCTGTAGCTGTAACCCCACGCTCGTATCTTTGCCACTCCACTGCACTTCAGTAAGTGCCACTTATGCTTACTTTGCCCCACCCTGCTGCATTGGTTGAATGGCTGCACAGGAGGGTGTCCATCCGGATGCACCGTGTTGACGCGGCCTCCTTATCAGGCAACACTGTCGTCTTCCGCCAGCAGGCGACGGCGGCCCACGCACCCGCCGCCACCCCAACCGCCCCAACCGCCACCGCCGCAGCCGCCGCCATTGCCGCTGTGAAGACATGATGGGGTGTACACGATGCATGTCAGCGTATAAACGAATAGCAGGCGTACGTATGCATGGGGTTCATGTGTGTGGGATCCTCGTACAACCACCGGTAAGCCCGACCTTTGTTGCAACCGCTTCAGTTTTACCTAACAACAGAAGCCCACCCAACAGCCAGCAGGCATACAGACAACAAGGCGTGGGATGTCCTCCTACAAAGGCGAGATTGATCCCAGCATGCATCGCCCATACGTACCCGTAACCAAAACCGTAGCCGCCACCACCGCCACCACCTCCACCGCCGCTGCCACGATTGCCCGTAAGGCGACGGCCAAGATTCCTGCGGGGCAGGCGCACGGGACGGGAGGGAATGGGGTCGGGAAGTCATGATCCAACATAATGAAATTGGCTAGAGTGTGCGTCGTCAATGCGTGCATTTGTCTAGTATGGCGGCTGTGCCAACAGCAGTGCAGCGGGATGACTCCTGCAGCGCTACTCGAACACGGGTGATGAACCCAACCGTACACTGGGAAATCTAAATTAGTACTACAAGCCCACTTGCCCACTGCGCATACCGGTAGGTCGTAGCGTTGGTGATGCCGCGTGTGGTCATGTTGCCGGGGCCCATACTGCCCCCAGTCATGTTGCCGGGGCCCATACTGCCCCCAGTCATGTTGCCAGCGCCCATCCCGCCCCGGGTCATGTTGCCAGCGCCCACGCCGCTTCCACTGGTCATGTTGCCAGCGCCCACGCCGCTTCCACTGGTCATGTTGCCAGCGCCCACGCCGCTTCCACTGGTCATGTTGCCAGCGCCCACGCCGCTTCCACTGGTCATGTTGCCAGCGCCCATCCCGCCCCGGGTCATGTTACCAGCGCCCATCCCGCCCCGGGTCATGTTGCCAGCGCCCATCCCGCCCCGGGTCATGTTGCCAGCGCCCATCCCGCCCCGGGTCATGTTGCCAGCGCCCATCCCGCCCCGGGTCATGTTGCCAGCGCCCATCCCGCCCCGGGTCATGTTGCCAGCGCCCATCCCGCCCCGGGTCATGTTGCCGGGGCTCATGCCGCCCACGCTGCTGGTCATGTTCCCAGCAGCGCCCATGGAAGCCCCGCTGCTGGCAGCAGCCGGCTGCTGCTGCAGGAGGTGGCGGCCGCGGGCACTGCAATGGGCCGGTCACACATGGGACGGGCGGGCGGAGAAGGTGGATGCCGGTGTAAGGTGAGAGGTTCAAGGTTAGAGGTTACTACTGGGCCACTAGGCCGCTAAACCAGCAGAAAAGTGGCGCTGGTGGCGTGGTAAGGGGTCGTATGGGGTTTGTGTCGTTACAAGATCAAGCGTCCACTCTTTACTTCTGCACAAGCTGGATGCAGCGTCGCCGCCGCACAGGGGTCTCCAAGTTGAATGGGTCATCGGCGATCGACCCTACCGGAACCAAACCAGGAGAAGCACATCACACCCAGCAGGACGCGCCCACCTGCCAAAGCCGGCGTCGGAAAGCATCTCACCGCCTTCTGCTGCTGTCTGGAGGCTGCGGCCAGCATCAGCGCCTGATGGTGACGTGACAAGGGCAGCGCGGGGGACACATGTAGGGCAGGGCGCAGCAGGAGGCAATCGTACGACAACAGGCTCGGTTCTGACGCAAAGTATGTAACGAATCCAAGGCAACAAGGTTCCATTAAAACCTTGTTGGCACGGTCCATGTTGTTCAAATATCTTGCGTATGCGACGAGGTGCTCCATATATACACTGTGCCTGGCCGAACCATGGGTCGCGGGTCCTCAACGCTAGCGCAGTGCACACCTGGCACAGAGCAGCCGGCCACCCGTCTGCTGCTGGGATCCCGCCAGGAATGTGCAGAGCCGATCCAACAAACGAGCGCTCGAGGACTCACCGCAGTGCCACTGCTGGCGTTACCAAAAGCACCCTGACATGACTTACCGCCGCTTGCACCGATCACATTCGCTAGCTGGACTCACCTGCGGCCACAGTGGTCGGTTGCACGAAGGCAAGGGATGTCATCGACAGCGCCAGCACCGCCAGCATCAGTGGCGGTGCAGCGGCGGTCCCGCCGGTGCGTCTGCTGCCAGACGCCATTCGTCGGCTGGCAATGGTCGCACAGCAGACAAACGGCGGAACACGCGCCTGTTACGGCGGCTAGCTCTAGGGGCAAGGGGTTAACTACACTGATGACAGTCTTCGAGCGGCGGACGTGTGCGAAGGCAGGACTCCTATGCTTGTAATAAGTTGAGCTTGGCCTTGCGTGGGCGGTAAAGAAGCAAATGCCAAGTACCTGTTATGCTTGATTTAAAGTGAGCCTGGAGCCGATCAGGTTGGTTCTGGTACGGTACCAGGTCGCAATCTTAACCATAACGGCGAATGCCACGAGCGACACACGTGCGCATGGGAGAGCGCATGCAGCAACAGGCTTGGGTGAACTAGCGGCTCGGACCGCTGGCATCTCTGTTACTGAAGGAACACCTAGAGGCTTTCGCGAAGTACCTTGGCCTTCGCGTGGAAGTGCTAGTCATTAGCTTGCTTATACGAAGGACTTGGGTCATCAGTCGAGCCGCACCGACCCGCCGGGTCGCTCGACCACTGGTACAAGGGTAACATGGTGTAACCTTAAAGTGCTGGTTGTCAGATCTGACACATATGATAGCCGTTAAGCGAACCTTTCCGTCCATGGTCTGCTCCGGTGTTAACCGTATCCGCCTACCTGGCTATCCAGTAAGGCTACGAATGCTGGATCTATACTGCCGTTTGCCTGGCCGGCACCTATCTAGAATGCTGACACCAGACCTACCCTGCCGTACAGTCCCTTGCAAGAAGGAGGGCGGGGTCCTCACCACGCTTATTCCAAACCACCCCATGTTCGCATTGGGTCTATGTATTCCCCACACTTCTTTTTGCCTCCCATGTTCCATTCGCTGCCACAGTCGATGCCGGGGCCCTCTTAGCGGGCAGTTCTTCGCTTCGGAAAGCTGTTCGATGAGACACGCATACAACAGCATCGCAACGCATGGCGGTATGGCTGGGTGACCGGTACATGGCATGCGAGTTGTCCAGCAGCATAACACGCCACTAAGATATTCCAATTGTAACAATCATTTGTTAAGTAGGTATGTTTAACGCTAGTCGAGCTCCATGGAAGCAGGGAACCGCTGGGGTCACACGCAGACAGTTGAGAAGCACGCGAGGACCGCTTCTTCCAATGCTACTTGGCAAGTTTTCTTGACATTTTCTTATTCTCATATTACTGCGCCCACCATTAACTGTGCTCGTCCGTTAGTGCCGTACCTATTGGATCACGAGTTCTTTCTGGTAGCGTTTCGCAACCGTCTGCAAATTCGTTTGCACCAAACGACAGCGGAGTTAACATTAGGCGACCATGGGGGTAGCTGCTGTCCCGGCGTGGTACGTCCAGCAACCTGCATGTGGGGCATCACAGCAATAGATGGCTTACAATGCGCTGAACTTGCGTCACAGTACGTTAAACGCATCTGTACGAAGTACGTATAGCAGGTCTTTCTATTAAAAAAAACGTATGATTAGTCTGTCGGAGGTCGATCTGGGAGTCGAAAAACTCAGCTAGGATAGGAGTTCAATTTTTTAGGTTCTCACATACTTACCTCATACAATCGTTGGAATTCGCACCTCCAATTTGGCGTGAGCTGGACGGCGCCTGGCTTTCGGACGCGATGATGCAGCAAATTCCAGGTACGGCTGATTTTCCTTAGAGCCTCGGAGTCCCGAACTAGCCTAATTCACAAATGTGCTGAATGTTCTGCAGCTCGTAGGGGCTCTCCGGTGCTCCTTCAAGCTGTTTTGTTTCTGGTAATTTGCATGGGAGCCGTCAGCGCCGAACTCTCCTCATCTCGGTATGTTTATGCTTTGCAGATGGCTCCTGTCCATAATTCCACCACTAACACATGTTTCCGCGCGTGCCTACACACTGTAGGCGCACCCTGCTTCGGCGCAAACGCCCCCCACCTCCCCCACCTCATCCACCACCACCACCGTCGCCCCCCTCCCCACTACCACCTCTCAAATCGCCGCCTCCGCCGCCGCCCCCGCCTTTGGTCGGAAACTTTGTGGATTCAGCGGCACTGTGTAAGTTCTGAGGTCAAGATGGGGCAGGCCAGCTGCACTGTGTACGGAGTAGGCTGCAGAAGGGGTGTCTTTGGTGGTTACTCTGCCTGCCCATGTGCGGCCCGACAGCAGCCCCCCACCGCCGCAACGCATTCGCCTTGCCACGTATCCTGCGCCACTGAACGCTGTACCGGCAGTCGGCTAGCTCCCTGCCTGCCTGCCTGTCCTCACCGCCTGCTTCCAGACAGGAGCGGTGAAGGGCCAGCAGCAAGCAGTCATACATCCCCGCGTACCCCGTCGCCCTGCATTGCACCTACCCCCGCCAACCCCGCTGAAAACCGCCGCCTCACGCCCCACGCCTCTACCTCCCCTCCCTTTCACGTCCCCGCATGTGGTGCTGGTGGTGTGGTGTTCACCACCCCCATCCAGTGGATGCGCATAACGCCTTCCGCATGCAGACGGGCGCTCCCAACCTGACCTGGAGCGCCACGCTAGCACAGTCCGCGCAGCAGTGGAGCGATCAGTGCTTTTGGAGCCACTCCTTCACCAGCTATGGAGAGAATCTGGGTGGGTGGGTGGGTGGGTGGGTTGGTGGTAGGCAGGGTGAGGAGCTTTGTAGGAGTGCCTCGCGCTTGGCAGGAGGGGACGGACCTACATACCTAGTTGCTGCTGGCTGGTAAGGTGGGATGGTTGTTGCTCTGAAGGTGCCGCAGCAGGGCGGTTCTGCCGTGCAGGAGGTTGGCCAGGAGTGCTGTGGTGAGCATGCGAGTGCTGGCGACTAACTGACAGACAGTTACAAACTTCAAAAGTTCCAAAGGAACCACCCTGGCAAGCTGCCTGCAGCCAATTAGTTGGTTTTGCTGACCTGTTCCCTGTCTACATTTCCCCTTCTTCCGCCCTTACCAACTACACCCTCCCTTCCCTGCAGCCATCATCGGCTACAAGGACCCCAAGAGCCTGCTCGTGGGCGTCACCCTGTGGTACAACGAGGTCTGCAAGTACGACTGGCGCACCGCCTGCTTCAGCTCCGTCACCGGGCACTTCACGCAGCTGGTGTGGAGGGGCACGCAGCTGGTGGGCTGCGGCTTCCGGGTGTGCGGCAGCGGGGGGCTGTCCGGCTACCCCAGCGCATGTGCGACATGCGGAGTGCTGGTCTGCCAGTATTGGCCGCCAGGTGCGTGAGGGAGGGGGGGGGGCGGCCACCCGTATATAGCAGCTAATCACAGTGCACTTCTTTTAGCCAGTGATGAAGCGCTCACCACCGCATCTGGCTCATAGCATCGTTGGAAAGGTTATGGGTTAGGCTTGCAGGGTTTGGCTGACATTCCACCAGTTGCTCCATCCGTGCCCCCAAACTGCATGCATGTAGCTTTTTAGCTGAGGGGGAGGATGAACTGGATTAGTTATGATATATGCATGCTAGCCTGCTGGATGGGCGTCTAGTGCTGCTGCTGCTGTGTACGGCTCCATTGTTCAGTTGGCTCGAATTGTGTGCCCCTCCGCAACTAACTGCGCACCACCCGGCTGCATGCAGGGAACTACCCGGGGCGGTACCAGATGAACGTGGGGAAGCCGAACCCCATGCCGGCAGCATGCGGCTCCGCGGGGCACCACTGATCATGCGGGGGGGCTTATGCCAGCTGGCGTGCAGTTCCCACCTACCTGCCGTACGCCAAAGCTACCTGCGTTGGCTTTGTTTGACCGACGCCGCCAGCCAGAAGATTGCTTCCTCGTTTCGCCCAAACGGCAATAGTACGGATTGCATATTTGTCGACATGTGGACGACCTAACAGTATACGAAGGAGTGCCCTGCAAAGGGCGTTTATTTGGGGTATTTCTGATACATTACCCTGTGCATTAAGAGTGTCCTGGTCAGAAAATGACGTGTTCATCATTCATAATGTCTGTTCATTCATATTGATGTGTGCTTGCGTGGCAGTTCAACGGTATTAATTGTGACTGCTGCAGGTGTGCGTATGCAGGATGGAGAAATGTAGGGTTCCCCATTGCTTGGCACACGTTGTGTGGGTCCTATGGGACTGGAAGAACGCATGCAAACAGGGCGTCTACTGCCATAGCAGACAGCGCCAGCAAAGGGAAAGCCCGCCTAGAGTTTAGGTGGTTTGGCATTTGAAATGGCAGTTTTGTCGGTGCACCCTGCCATGCCGGTCGATTTGCTTAGTCACCGTGATTGAACAGCAGGTGTGGTGCTGATGACGTGTTTCGACGTGTGTTTTACGGGCTGCTTCCAACCTTGCATGCCTTGTTCACTCCAGATACAACTGCGCGGCTGTGATAGGAAGGACTCGCGTGGCTGTCGGTGGGATGCTGCCAAACATGATGACCGACTTGACACATTCATTGCGTTACCTTGGTTGAGACTCAGTGGGGCAGCTGCGAAAGACTGTCGTTCTGGTCTCTTGACGGTCATCATGCAGACTCCTATTGGCGTCTAAGGTGATGCGGGTTACCAGTTCGGTTGGGCTGAAAGGCTCAGCAGACCTAGTGAAGGAGGCCTGACGGGTGACATCTGGGTGTATGTGTGTGTGTGCGCGGATGTCTGCGGGTGCGTGTGTGCATATGCACGCTGTGCTTCTTGGTGCCGTGCGGGTGCATGATGGCAGGATGGCTTACTTGAAAGTCGAGACTGCGGAAAATGATGGCAGGCTGCCATTGGGAGGTATAAGACCCATGTTAGGTATGGGGTTAGGGCACGTTGTTTGGCATGGGGGGTAGGAGGGATGACGCAGTTGGGGTTAGGTGAGAACGCGGCGACCCGTGGGTCACCGAGTCCCCATGGTAGTGGATTCCTTCCCATCGCATTCCTGGGCATGGGAATGCCGTATGGTGTACAAGCTAGATGGCAGGATTTCGGCTTTACCTTGTCGCCCAGCTGTCGATGGATCATGTGTGGCGTTTTGCTCAGCAAATGGCGGATATACATTATCCATACATCAGCATCCATATACGTGTCCTAGACATGTATACGTAAATACCAACAGGGTTACTCAGAAGAACCCAAGGGAAAGCAAGGGAACGGAAAATAAACACCCCCGTGGACCGTGGACATTACGGCAAAGAAGGTCGTGACATTCACAAAAATGTTCTAACAAGAGGGAAGAGGTACACTACCGGTATCTCATAAACCAAGCCTTAGACGCGACATGTCTATTGGTAACACAAGCGTGAGCGATCCACTATCACACCCAAGCACAACTCCCCACTCTTATCGAAAAGCACTTCGGACGCTAATGCTGCTGGCACTGTTAGAAGCCGTTACTGGCAAGCCCATAGCCACCCGCACCTACACCCATATTCATGCCATGCCCACCACCACCCCCAACCCCAGCAGCAGCAGCGCTCAGCGCGTTATACGTTATGTTCCCGCCGTTGCTGCCGGGACTGGCAATGATGCCACCGCTGATAGCGCCGCCTCGTGAGTAGTAGGATCCCCCCGTGCTGCCGCCGCGGTTGGCGCCCATGCCCGACCCCGCACCCGGACTAGCCGGCCCCACACCGCCCGACAGGGGAGAGCCCACGGCCGCAGTCGTCACCGCAGGAGCAGCATACCTCCCCCCTGCTACCACTCCTCCTCCTCCTCCTCCACCTGCCCCTGCACCGTTGGAAGCTGCGATGCTGGGTGATGGCCATTGCGGCTGTTGCTGCTGCAGCCCGTTCGGTGCCATCCAGGGTGTTCGGGGACTGCCGGAATAGCCACCGCCGTTGCCCTCCGAAACCAACGGGATGGGGTGGGTGGAGGCAGAACCAGCAGCAGCGACATTGGCTGCATTAGCAGCGGCGGCGGTGTATCTCAGCAGGTTTTGTGGGGTTCTGTGCGTTCCGCTTCCGCCGCTGTTGCTACGACCCGGTTGCGGCTGCTGGTTGATGTTGGGATGCAAGGCCGGTGACATGCGCCCAGGGCTGTTGAAACCCTGCGTGCCGCTTGTTGCCGCTGCTGCTGCTGCTGCCGCTGCTGCTGTTCCTACACGCCCTTCTGAAGCTCCTGCTGCTCTAGCAGCATCGTAGTTGCCGCTACCGCCGTTGTAGCTGTTGTTGTAGTTGCCGGAACGGAAGGAAAGAGGGTTGGCAGGAGAAAGGGAGTAAATATCGGAGGCTGTCCTCGCTGCTGGCATGTCCGTTTCCGCTGCTGCAACGGCCTTGGCGGGGGTACCAGCAGAGGCGGCAGCAGCAACAGCAGGCGGCGGCGGCGGCGACGGAGATGCTGCTCCAGCATAGTCTGACAGCGCAGGAGCCGTCATGCCCGGCTCTGCGGTCGCCGCTGCCGTGTCGCATGCGGAGGAGTAGCGCAGGTGCAGGTCGGCCAGGCAGCGGCGCAGCGCGTAGTTCTCATCCACCGCCCTGTTGGTGGTGGGGAGGAGGGAGGGGGGAGGAGGGGGAGGAGGGTCATGGGAGGGTAAGGAGAAGACGAGGAGAGGCAGCTGGATAAGCGGACGCAAGGGGGCAGAGGCCAGCCGCCTTCAAACCCTCCTTTGAAGTACAGGAGGTACGACGGTCTCCTTATCTTGTCCGTAAAGCGCACCGCGCCGCACAACGCTGAAAACGTCCATTCCCACCTTGCCATATGGGCTCCTTCACCCCTCCTTCCCTCCTTCCCTCCCCCCAACCCTCCCTGGTGAAGCCGCCTCATGCAGCTCACCAGTTTCCTCTCTTTAAGCCCCCCTCATCTTCCCCCCACCTGTCCAGCTGGTACCCCAGGTGGTAGTCCTTGACCGCCATGCGCTTCAGCGGCACATCACCCTGGCGGGGGGGGTAGGAGGAGGCCGAGGGGTGGGTGGATGCTGGGTAGGGAGGGGGTGGGGGGTATCCTCGCAGTGGTCATCGCAAAAACATTCGCGCAACTAGTTGACGAAATGAGCATTAACTCGCATTGCCACTGAGCGGGTGATAACTGTTAACCGTACACAACCAAAGAAGACCACAGACCCCAGGGGGAGCGCATGGTGGGGGAGACGGGATACCTTGTCTCCCCTTTGCAGCCTCACGCCCGTGTACCCGTCATCCCCCACCTTTCCCCCGCCCTCCTCTCCCCTTTGCAACCTCCCTCCCACCTTCATGTCCCCCTGCGCCAGGCTCTTGCGTGCCGCGCCCAGCTGCCGCTGCAGGTGCGCCAGCTTGGCGGCGGCGAGGGCGGAGGGGTAGGGCAGCGAGGTGCACAGCTGGCGCTTGTAGGCCTGGTAGCGGGGTTAGGTGCATGGAAGGTGCGCTGCTTACAACAACACCGCCACGCGTGGCTAATCGCCTTCTATCGACACATACTCACCCGCCCGCCCCCTACCTACCCGTGCCCCTACCTATCCATCCCCTACCGTGGTAACCCCTTTCAATCACCCCGCCCACCTTGACCTTCTCCCTCTGCGCCGCCCGCGCGGCCGCCCTGCTGCCCTCCGCGCGGCCCCGGTACAGCTCGTCCACCAGCAGCAGCAGCGGCTCCCAGTGGCGCCAGGGCAGCGGCAGGGAGTAGCTGCGGCGGAAGGCCTAGAGGGGGGTAGGGACGGGGAGAAGAAGGAAAACCATGTGAGGAGGATGAGGGAGGGAGGGATAGGGATTGGAGTGGAAGGGGAGAGAGAGGGGAGGGGTAAACGTCGCACTCAGACTCCGCTTGTGAATACAACAGCCGAAACCCGCCCTCCCTCCCTCCTCCCCGCCGCTCCCTCACCTGCACCAGCCGCACCACGTCCCGGGGCACCCAGCCGCTGGCCCGGGGCAGGGGGGTGGTGGGCTGCTGGGGGTCCTGGGGGTAACGGGTGTGGTGGAGGGTGGGGTGATGGAGGTCAAAGACCATACCGAACCATAGGGAACCAAACTACGAGGCAAAACAAGTGTGATGTAGAGGGTTGGCTCAGAGAAAGAAGCAAAAAGAGGGTGCCGCAAAAGGGGTTATACAACCCCCACGGCCTAGCATACGAGAGTTCCGGCGTGGAAAAATGCGAAGGGCTTATAACCCCCACGGCCTAACAAGCAAGAGGCGCGGGGACGAAAAATGCGAGGGGGTCGTAACCTCCAAGGCACAGCGGGCGAGAGTTGCAGCGGAAGGGATAGGGGAGCGGGCGCGGCTGGATACCAAGAGAACCCGCGGTGGCATGCTGAGGCGGCGAGGGAGGAGGAGAATGAGCAGGCGGCGAAGGACAAGCCGCACGGGGCTTATTTGGTCTTCCTGAGAGGTGCTCCCCATCAAACCATGGCGTTGGTTCTCCAATCGCCACTCCATCCTCACCCCCCACCCCACCCACCAGCCTGGGCGAGTAGCCTCCCCCCACCCGGTGGAACACGTAGTTCTCCGGGTCGGGCGGGTAGGCGGAGGAGGGCGGACCCAGGAACAGCAGGTCCTCCAGCGGCACCCCCTCGCCCTCCTCGCCTGCTGGGGGCTGCCTCGCCTCCCGACTGGTGCCGCTGCCGCTGTTGGCGCCGCTGTTGTGGCTGGCGGCAGTAGTAGCAGTGGCGCCGGCACGGGCGGAGCGGACACGGGAGGGAGACGAGGATGCGAAGGCGACACGAGGAGAGGCGGGGCCTGCCGGGTAGGGAACGAGGGAGATGGTGGGATAGGGGGTCCCCAAGGGGGGGGGGGAAAGAAGGAGGAGGAGGAGAGAATTAGATACAGGGGAGAAGGGGTGTACCGGTATGTGGCGCGGATGAGGCGGCTATGTGGCAAACTGACAGTCCAACTGCGCACCGATAACCGATGCTACCGTGGCTACAATGCGAACCGAACTCCTCTGCTGCTGCACTCCCCCCAGCAAAGCACCAGACGCGTCAAGCATACAAGTCAACTTTCGACTTGAACCTGCACCGCTCCCAAACTCCATGACCACGAAAGCCCACCGGCCCCATGCCCCGGCGGTGCCCTACCCATTGGTACCCCTGCCACCCCTGGCCTACCCGGCGACGATGCCGATGTCGCCCCCACTGCGGACGCCCTCCTCCTGCTGCGAGGTGCGCTGCGGCTCCTTCCACCACCGCCACCCCCACCCCCACCGCCACCAGAAGCAGTAGCACCAGCAGGGGTGGAGGCAGCGCTGTCGCCTGCGGCCCCCTGCCCCGAGCGGCCGAAGAGGGCGTCCGCCGCATCGTCGAGCGAGCCCAGGGCCTCAAGAATCCTGATGGGGTAGGGACGGCGGGGATTAGGCTACAAAACGTGTAGGGCCAAAGGGAAGAAGGCCGGACGAAAGGAGGGAATGGCGAGGGGAGGCTGAGGCGCAGATCTAGTAGGCTCATCGCCGAACCCAGCACCCTTCTCCTCCAACCCCTCCCCCCTCACCTGCTCCTTCCCAGCTGCTGCCCCCCCGCCCCCGCCTCCAGCATGTCCCGCAGCTCCGCGTTCTCGCCCTCCAGCCGGCCCAGCTCCTCCCGCGCCGCGCCGTACAGCGCCCCCAGCCCGCACATGCCGGCCAGCCGCTCCTTGGTGGCGACCAGCTCGCCTGGGGGCGGGGGGTGGCAAGGGGGGCGTGCAAGAGGTGTCGGAGGAAGAGGGGAGGCGCAGGCTGGAGGGAGAGGGGAACCCCTCTTCCTGGGCCAAGCAAGGTTGGGCGCGGGGGCTCCAGGTTGGGTGGGCACTGTACCTTAACGCAGGGAACCCCGGCACCCAGATCCCCAGCCCCCCCCCCCAAGCCCTACCGCCGCACTTCGTAACCGTTTCTGACTCTCCCCTCCCATGTCGGCAACCCCGCTGCACCTCGCCTCCTTCAATCCATGCCCAAGCTGCCCTTCCCGTCGCCACCACCTCCCACCTCCTCACCCACCCACCCACCCACCCAGCAGGCCGCCCTGCTCCGCCTGCGCCTCCGCTATGCGGCTCTCCGACTCCTGGCGGCATTGGTGAGGCGCGCAGGAGGTGAGCCAGGGAGTAGGGTTGGGGGAATTGAACCAAGACCCACCCTCGCCCCTGCCCCTAAACTAACCGCACCTGCATCCCCCTCCCTCACTCCCTCCCTTCCATTCTCTCCACCCCCTCTCCCGCCCTTTGTCTCTCCCCACCCGCCACACACACATTGCCTGCCTTGGACAGCGGGTAATGCAGTAAGCCCCCACACATGTTACCCCCACCCCACCCACCCCCTACCTCCAGCAGTCGTGTCACGGTGTCCAGGTGGTGCAGCGCCTCATTGCGCTCGGAGAGGCTGGACAGTCTGGGGGGAGGGAGGGAGGCAGGGTTGGAAGGGGGGGTGGGCATGTTGTGTGAAGCGGGTTGGCGCGGAGAGAGTTCAGCAAAGGGAGGTTGCAGGCATTGTGTTTACTGTCACGCAGCAGTCGTTCACACCCACCCCCATCGAAAGCCCCTTTCCAAGCCCCACCCTCCCAGCCCACCTGTCTTCCTCAGCACGCTGCAGCCCCCGTCACGGCCAGCAACGGCGCATTGACCGCCCGTAGCAATGGAGGCCGCAGGGGAGCCAGGATCCGTAGGGAGGCCGGACGTCAGGCACACGGGCAGGGACAGAGCGGGAAGCATGCAGAGGGAGAAGGGTCGAGAAACGGAGAAGAGGGAGAAGACGACTATATTAGGAGAGGGCTAGATGTGAGGCAGCGGTTGCGCGGTAGACTGCCGGCCGATATTAGTTCACATGAAACATGTGTTTTTTTCGTAACAGGGAGCGTTGTAGGCTGTCTAAAACCAGGTCAACGGCAGCGTACCCTGACCCATGGGTCTCACCTGCAGCTGGCTCTCCAGTAGCGCCACTCGCCGCCGCAGGTGCTCGTTCTCGAAGGCCTGAGGCACGGTATCCGGCATGGCAACCGAACAATAGTGATGGCCTTATGGGTGGTGGGCAGGGGGCTACGGCAGGAGGCCGCCGGGACCCCATAGAGGCCGAGGCAACCCGTGTGCCCTGCTGCCGCTCCGCCCCTCCCGCACCCCGGTGCTGCGCGCAAGCACCCCTCGCATTTGCTCGCCCCGACCTGCCAGGCATAACATTAGGTCAGGCACCAGCACATAGCACAGCTCCGTGCCCGATTCGGTTACCGGTACGCCACTCAACGCCAGGGTTCCGCACTACACTGCCCTCTGCGTCACCCCTCTCCTCCCTGCCCACCTGAGACTGGGTGGATGACTCCTTGGCCGTCAGACTCATACCCTGCGCCTGAACCTGAGGGGCACGGGGGCAGGGGGCAGGGAGGCAGCGGCGAGGCCCGGACACAGGTCGGGGCAGACCGGGGACAGGCGGGGGCGAGCAGTGAGGAAGCGACACAAGGTGCCCCTTCCTCTTCACCAAAGGCCCAGCGGATGACAGCACCACCCAGCATGCGAACGTGATGCACGAGCATTCCCCCCAGCAGCAACTCCACTTCACCTCACCATTACCCTCGCCGGTTGGCGTCGTTTCCCACCACCGCATTTCCTTCCCCTCACTCGCCAACTCCCACGCGCCTTACCCCTCAACCCCCATCACAGCACCCCTTACACCATGGTCACCCATCCCTTCTTTCCCCTTTCCCTTCATGCTTCGACTCCTGCCGGCGTACTGCGTGTGACCGCGAGCCTCACCTCTCCCATGCTTGTCCCTCCCCCCTCTTCTTCCCCTCCCTCCCTCACCGCTGCCCCCAGCCTCGCCACCTTCCCCCCTCCTCCCCGCTTCTTCTTCTTCCCCTCCTTCCTCCTCACCGCCGCCCCCAGCCTCGCCACCTCCAGCTCGAGCTCCTGCAGCCGCAGCAGCGCCTCCTGCCGCTCAGCCCGCGCGCCGCCCACCGCTGCAGCCAGTTCCTGCTTCACGGACCGCAGTCGGCCCTGGCTGTGAACCATGGGTCGGGGAGGCGGGAGGGTAGGAGAGGGAACGGGGGGCGTTTGTGGGTGGCATGGTTCTAGGTTGGAATAGGGTTGTTGTTGCGGGTAGTGGGGCGTGGTTGCTGTCATGCGTGTTGTATGGGTGCTGAGAAGGGAGTGGACCGTTGAACTGAAGGCTATGTTGGTCATTGGTCGACGGCAATGTGGAAGCAGCCAAAATCTTTTTACTTGTGCATGAAAAAGTATTCGCAGCGATGACGCGGCGGCGATTAAATTGTCCCAGGAGGAAGTAGAGACCCCTGTCCTTCCGTAAATAACCTCCCGCAGGGGTTAGCGAAAGCGGATGGGTACTAACCAGTAACGAAGCCTGTCACGAAGTTCCATGGCGAGATCATAAACGCGTTCCAGAGTATCATCTTCATGGAAACCTCCACAGGAGATACGCCCAGCTACACCAGCAAGAAGACGGTTCCAAGCTTCCCACTTCCCGCCCTCGACCTGCGCTCCATGTCTGCAATTCTCAGTCAAAGATGCGGAGGAAGATACCGTTTACAAAGCCCATTACATGTGATTGCCTTCGCACCTCGTCAACGTCCGACATGCCCGGCGTTAATGGTATACCGGTATCGCTTTGACTGAGTTTTGCTGATACCTGCCAAGGCCCTTAATGTTACTACACTTATAACTAGCAAAGGTTGAGTACTTTAGTTCACGGCCTGCAAAAGGTGTGAGAAATGCAATTATGCAAGCACCCATTACCAACATACCCGGTATAAAAACCGCACCCCATGTGACCTTTACGTATTGACCCAATTTAGTGCCTCGAGTGCCTCCCGGTTGGGGGCTGGAGCGCGGCGAGCGCCAAGGCGATGGAATGGAATGTTGTACGGCAACACGATTTCTAACTGTCAGCGCTACTTGTTTCCCAGATATTAGCGTGCATCTTATTAGCTCGGTACCGCTTGTCCATAACGGGTCACAGTTTCGGTTCGGGCCGAACTGTTTCAACTTTAGGCCCTATTTCCATTCCGTGTATCGTTTCCAGCTAAACCATGGCCTCCACGGCCCCACGACTAGCCCGCCTGGGCTCTCTGCTTGCTCGGCAGGCAGCTCCCGCTTCGCTACTTCAGCAGCAGTTCCGGACCTTTTCCGACAAGGCTGCGGCCGAGGCCGCGAGGGCAACTCCTGAGGCCGCTAAGGCTGAGTCTGATTCATGGGGCAAGGTTCGGGTAAGCCTAGTAGAGATCTGACAGAGCATATCGCGAGAGTGCTTTCATGAGTTGTTACTTCACGTTGCAAAGTCAATAGTTCTGGCGCACAGCACCGCAATCTGTAATGCACGTGATATGCCTCAATTCCATGTTCACATTGGCACTGGAATTAGGCGACGTATGTAAGGCACTTTCCTCCCCGACGCGGGAATTTCTGAAACATTCAACCAACCTTTATCGAAAATCTGCAGGCCTTCCAGGTGGTCCTGTTCGGCGGCCTGACAGGCGGCCTGCTGTACGGCTACTCGCTATTCACGTCCCAGGTTCCGCAAACGGGTCCGATTGCCGGGGTGGCCGCGGTGCCCCCTCCCGCTCCCAAGGTGGGCTGCTCCGTCTTGGGTATCGTTTAGAAACCAATGACCGCTCAGGGGTGGCCTGTCCTATGGGCTTTTGAGTATGCCTTGCCCAGGGCGTGTTGTGGTTGATTGTGAGAAACCTAAGCCCCTGGTGATCAGCAGCACCTCCACGGTGGGTTTTAGAGCCACTTCATGCATATGTTCTCAAACCTAGCTATATACTGACAACTTAACGGTATGCGTCATGCAAACGGTTTTTCCATCTGGGTCAGGCGGGAACACTGTACAAATCCTTTAATCCGTGCCTTTCCCCCTGCTTGCTAACTACACCCTCCCTCCTCACCCCCGCCCCCGCCCCCTCCAGACCTCCACCCCGGGTGACTACCCCGCGGTGCGCTCCTCCATCGCGGCACTGCTGGACTCCCCCGACTGGGATGACGGCTCGTACGGCCCCCTGCTCGTTCGACTGGCTTGGCACTCTGCCGGCACGTACGACAAGGCGACCGGCACTGGCGGCTCTAACGGGGCCACCATGAGGTGGGTTCCGGGTTAGTGGGGCTTTGTACGGGTTGGTTACATGGGAAGTTGTATGAACTTGGGAACACACAAAGGGTACGGGTGGGAGGAGTTGTGATTGTGAGTGGTAGCTTGGTGGGGGGAAAGCTATGCATCTCGTGACCCAGGGGTTGTGGGACTTCTTCTCACACTAACCACATGCTGCCGTAGTCACCGGGCCTCCCGAGCTTTCGCTCGTCGGCGCACGTAGTCCTTCTCACCACCTGCAACCTACACCCTACCTCCTCCCCCCTCCTCCCTGCTCATGCACAGGTTCTCCCCCGAGTGCGAGTGGGGTGCCAACGCGGGTCTGGCTGCCGCCCGCAAGCTGCTGGAGCCCGTGAAGGCGGAGCACCCCTGGATCAGCTACGCGGACCTCTGGACGCTGGCGGGCGTGGTGGCCATTGAGGAGATGGGAGGTGAGGGGACGCATGGGCTGCGGGGTTGGCTGCTGGGTGGGAAAAGTGTTGGCGGGGGGGTGTGAGGGAGGGCTGCTGGCAATGGTGGAGCGCTGTCCACCTTCAATATCACACCGTGAATGGGTGGGAATAAACATGATGGCTGGGCAGGACATGCATGGGGGATGGTGTGGTAGCGGCTGTTGTTTGCGGCTGGCGAACGCGGTTACGGGGTTGTGCATGTATATTGAAGTACATGAAGTGGGGAGCATCTGTGTCCTAGGCACAATTGATTGATCCATCTGATTGATCCTTCTGCCTGGAAGGAACACGATTTCCATTTCCTTCCCACGCTGCCCTCTCCAGGCCCCACCATCCCCTGGCGCGCGGGCCGTGTGGACCACCCTGACGGCCAGAAGATTGTGCCCGACGGCCGCCTGCCGGATGCCAGCCAGGTGGGTGGGGTGGGGTGGGGGCTTTGTAGCCGTGATATGTATCCCTCCATCCTCCACCGATCCCCGTAACCCAGCAGCCAACTAACCCATTTCCTCCTATGCACTGTACATAACCTGCTCATAACCTCTTTCCCTCCCCTACCTGCCCCTACCCACACCTCTTTCCGCCCCGCCCTCCAGGGTGCCAAGCACCTGCGCTCCATCTTCCACCGCATGGGCTTCGAGGACCGCGACATTGTGGCCCTCAGCGGCGCGCACACGCTGGGCCGCTGCCACACGGACCGCTCGGGCTTCTCGGGCCCCTGGACCAACGCGCCCACCACCTTCTCCAACCTCTACTTCCAGGAGCTGCTCAACAACAAGTGGTGGGTGCGGTGGGGGGAGGGGGGTGGGGAGGGGTGGGAGCTGGAGGAGATACCATGCCTCGCCCCGCTTTTTGGGTTGGATCGAGCTCCCTGCGCTATTGCTCCTAGGTATGGGGCGCTTCCGTTCCCGGTTTCCTCTTCCGTGCCCTTGCCTTGCTTCATTCTCTTACCCCAACAATGTACGAGTCACGCCTGCCGCCTACTCATCCGGCCCTCCACCCCCCGCCCCCCCTCAGGCGCAAGAAGAAGTGGGACGGCCCCCTGCAGTACGAGGACGCCAAGACCGGCACCCTCATGATGCTGCCCTCGGATCTGGCGCTGCTGGGGGACCGCACCTTCAAGGTGGGAGGGGGGGTGGCGGGAGATGGGGGGGCGGGGGTATGGGGTGAGGAGTGGCGATGACGAGGGGTTAGGAGCGCGATGTAAAGTGCGAGACCGTCTTGCTTATGTCGAATGAGCGCGTCATTGTTGCTTTATTTGGCCCCATCACACTTTTTTCGCATCTATTCCCTTGTTGACCGCAACCCCTCGCCCTGCCTCTACCCGCCCGTATCGAGCGCAGAAATGGGTGTCGCTATACGCCAAGGACCAGGACGCCTTCTTCAAGGTAGGGCATGAGGGCTGTTGGGGTTGGGGATTTAGTGTGGGTTGGGGAATTTAATGGGGTGTGATGTTAAAGATTGCCTTGAATGGGCCTAACTTAATTGAGCTTGTCGCTTGTCGTGTGATACACCACGTTACACTTGATATACAGCACGTTACACTTGATGAGATGCGGGCATCATTTCGCCGTGGACATGGCTCTTACCCGCTTACCCGTGGATATGACTCTTGCCCGCCTGCCCTCCTGCTCCCTGTTGCTGTAGGACTTCTCGGTTGCGTTCGGCAAGCTGCTTGAGCTGGGAGTGCCCTTCCCGGAGGAGCAGCAGCAGCCCGCCACCGCCTGAAGGGCGTGACCCGTGGGTCCGTTGACGTGACAACTCCTGGCGGTATCTCCCCCAGGCTTGTTGACGGACCACGTGATGATGTTTCCCGGCAAATGTCTTGCCATCGACGATACGAGTATTCGAAGTGCGAGTCGGCACATGGTGTGTTTGTAACGTGTCGTTCTCTGCTTGAGTGACCAGAGTGCTGTGCTGTTGTACGATGGCCATAATGGTGCTGGTGCTGCTGCTGGTGCGGCCAATAAGCAGTTGTCACTGATGACGAGACGATGATGGCGCTCCGCCACTGGCTTTGTTAGGAGGCGGTTCGGCTATGTCGCTGCTGTTCCTGCTGGTGAGTGGGGCATACGCAAGGGAAGCAAATATCCCTGTGTAACGTCCAGGACTGTCCTGGGCCTGCCTGCGGATTGCTGCTCCCCGCAGGTGTGATCTGTTTGTAGGCTGGTATTGCTCGTATGGGTGTGTGCTGGTGAGCAGGTTTCTGTGCTCCTTATGGCCCTTGCGTAGTGATTGCTCGTTAAGTTTTCCAAATGGTGCTCACACGTTTGTTCTCAGCTGGCGCATGAGCTGGCGCCCGAGTGACTGCGTGCCAGGGTAAAGGCTTGCGGCGTTGGTCGCTGGTTGCGTGTCTTTGGGGAAATGCGGTGTTGACGAGGTGTGGATGGCGGTGACGAGTGTTATATCCCTCTTCGCTAGACTTATGAGACAAAGTGACGCAATGGACCTTGCATCTGACATCAGTGACGCATCTGATATTGCCGGTTTGTGCTAGACTATCCGAATTGTATGTTTCCTGCTAAACCCTAAATGTAAATGTTGCCAAAGGCGACTAAAGGTCCCAAACAGCTTTGTGTTACACGTGCACATGCGCGGGCATGTGCACGTGGAATACAGCAGTCGCAAGGCGGCGCACATGCATTAATCCCGCTGCAAGCCAGTAATAAAGCAGTGCAGAAAGTTGCACATGGCAGGGGTTCACAGGCTACATGGTACTGGCCCTGGTTCTAGACTCCCCAAGCGTGTAGGACGAGAAGGCCGTAATCGCCCCATTCCTAGTTTCCTACGCAACGCCTGCACAGCATTGAATTGTACTGCAATCTATTTTTTGTGTCCCCACACAACCTATCATTGCTACATGCAACGCTCCTCGGTGACGCACATCCACTGCAACCCTCCTGCGACAGAGATGTACATACTCGCTTTCACCAACAGGATAATGCGCAGACCGCTAGTGCACGGCTCTCCAACATAGCAACGCAGCATGGATGAGAGCTATTACCCGGTATGTAAAAGTAGTAAGCTGCCGTACTGTTTAGTGTACAGATGTATGTAGGCAAGAACCATACCATTGGGAGAAAACCAGACATGCCCTGGCCTGTACCATGCAGCAAAGTCACGCTCACGCAAATATATTCAAACACGCACTCCTGCTTTAGCTTTCCACAACACAGTGGAGTGTTCCCATGCAGCACATGCCCCCCCCTCCCATGCCGGCGCGGCAACACGTACTGCAACACCGAGTCATCAGGACCCTCCCCACGGAGCATTACCGTTTACGACTTTCCCCGGCTTGCCCCTCCAAACCTAGGCCAACTAGGTGGCCTCCACTCATTGCAGGCAGGGCCACACCTCCGATTGCATGCATGCATCGTGCGGTGCATAACCGCCTCCCTGCACGTTTGTTATGTGTCTCACAAGTTCGTCCGTTACGCTGTGCTATGTTGAACAACGCTTGAATCCCGCGTACTACCCGAACGAACGTGCGTCATAGTTAATACTCGTATGTCGTGCCTTCTCTAACTCCGCCGCCGCTGCTGCTGCGCTGTGGCGAGGCGCTCCGCCCTCAGGAAGGCGCAGATGGGTTGCTGGTGGGCAGCCAGCCAGGTGAGCCGCGACTGCGCCCGACCCAGGATTCGCGAGCGAGCAGCCACCAGGTCATCTGCAGTGACGGAGGAGGGGAAAGAAAAATCAGCACGGATGGAGAAGCAAGCTTGAGCAGCCAGCTAAGCCCTTGCTGCGCTTGCAGAAGGCTAACCCCAAAGGAGCGACAGCGTCAGGTGACCCAGGTTATGCTGCGGCTACGGTAGTAAGTAACGCGGTGCATGTTAGATCCTGCGCACTTGCATTTGCAAGCAACCCGCCATACCTGTTGTCAGCCCTCCGCCGCTACTGCTGCCGCTGTCCAAGGGCCCATAGTACGACTCGTCGTACAGCAGCTGCATAAGCCGCTGCAGCTGGGAGCGGGAGGTGAGCGAGCGGCTCACCGCCGCCTCCAACGCCGACAAGGCGGAGCGACCCCTGGGTCGATACGTGGGTCGGCGGGTGAGAGAAGGATGAAAGGGAAGTGTGAAACAGCTGGGGTGAGAGAAGGATGAAAAGCTGACAATGCGCGTTAAGGACTGCGTGTACGGAAGGGTCTGACGTGGCATGTCCGTCGCAAAGTTGCGAGCACCGTGCATCTGCCGCGGTGCACACCGGTGCATCTTCCGTTATTGACACATGCACTAGTGCAGCCCTCGCGCGATATGTCGCTGTTGTAATACTGTTGTGCTGTGCTTTTGTGACTTCGAGGGGACCACTTACCCCGCCGTAATGACTTTCACCGTGCTATTAAACCTGGCGGCGTCCATCATTACTTCCATCAACAGGCCATTGCTGGTGGCATTGCTGTTGCCGCTGCTGCTGCCACTAGCGCCGCCGTCGCTGCCCCTGCTGGTATTGTTGGCTGCTACCGATGATCGAACCGCAAAGAACAGCTCACGTTGCGCCGAAACTACCATTCGACCCTGGGGGCGCGGGAAAGAAAGGGGATTCGGCAAGATGTGGCAGCGATCGGGGTGAGGTCTTTCTTTAAGCTGCCAAGGGAACAGCCTAAGCCATCATGTTCAACACTGCCTTTCCGCACCCCTTTGGACTCCCCATTCCTAGATACCGGTACTGTGCATCTCCTTCCGGCCTCCCTCCCCACAGTTCTTACCACCACAGCGGTAGCCACATCACTCGACAACGGCCGAACAAAGTACGCCTCGTCACTACTGCCGCTGCCGCCACCACTACCGCCGCTGGTGATTCGGCTGGATACTGCCTGGTTGAGCAGGGTGGCATTGTTGGCCGCTGCTACCCCCGCCCGCAGCAACCCAAGCAGTCGGGCTGTACGGACACCGCTGCTACCGCTGACGCTGCCGCCACTGTCGCCACTGCCGGCAGCACCATACGCGAGCGCGTACAGGCGGCTGGTGAGGGTGTCCGGGTCCGTGGCGGCGGCGAAGGCGGCGAGGGTGGCGTTGAAGGCCTCATCTGTGGTGGTGGCAGCAGGAGTGATGTAATACGGGGTAGCAGGGGTGAACGAGGTGGACACGGGCGTGAGGGGCAAGCGAGGGAGGTAAGGGAGTGGGTGGGGAAAGGATGGCAGCGCGTGCGTGAAGGTTCCATGTGTCCGGAGCACAAGACGACGGGGGCAGGTGTGACGGCGGAGGAGCCATGATTACGGTATTGGAGGTCAGGAGGCGCCATCACGCCCTTCAGTACTGAGGAAAGGGTGAGTGACCTGGCCCTGTGGCACTCGCAGCCGCTTGCTCTCCAGTATGAGGTCCGCAGCATTCGGCCTTGCCGCGTTGCCGCATCGTATCTCGCGCTCACGTCCCTCGCAGAGCAGGCTACCTTCCATACATCGAGCACCGGTAGCATCAGCCCCTCCACGTCGAGCCGAGGTGGATAGGAAGCAGGGAGTGGCGGAGCATGAGGAGGGGATGTGCTAGGCCCCAGGCCGCAATCCCCAACCACCCTTCCCCGCTCCACCCACTCCACCCGCTCCTACGTAACCCCCATCCAACCGCCCTCCGCCCACCCACCCACCTGGTGAGGGCCCCTCCGCACCGCACCCGGCGCCTCCTGCTGCTGCCCCCAGCGGCACCGCCAACGCAGCTGCCAGCCAATCAGGATCCACCCACGGCAATGATAACGATGACGATGATGATGATGAGGAGGAGGAGGAGGTCTGGTTGCGGCCTACCCGCATCAGGTTCCGAGCCTGCGCGCATGCGAAGGCTGCCGCCGCTGTGTCCCCCCACATCGCCGCCTCCGTGAGCAGGGACGACTGGGAGAGCCGCAGCAGGAAGCGGTCGGTGAGGCTGGCTGCAGGGCGGGGCCCGGGGGGCGGGGTGAAGAGGGTGGGTGAAGGGTTGGAAGCCTGTATAGCCCCAAGTAACGACAGACAAGGACCAAATAACCAACCAACATGTACGCCATGCAAGTGGCGGGGCGGCCTGCCGGCGACGCTCACCTGCGCTGATGGAAGAGGGAGATGACGATGAGGAGAAGGAGGAGTCGCTGTTGCCGACACACGCGTTGGCGGAGGCGGGAGTGTTGGAAGCGTTGGAGGTGGAGGTTGCGAGCGCCGCCGCCGCCAGGGGTTGCAGGCGGGCGAGGGCCCAGGCGGCTAGGTCGTCGTTGCAGTGGGGGGTGGCCGGGTCCAGGGAGGAGGCGGCCAGCAGGCCCTGCGGGTGGGGGGGGGGAAAAAGAGGGTAGGGGGTAGGGAGGGGGCGAGGAGTCCGTTGAGAGGAGGGGGGAGTTGATGGCAGGGATGGAGGGTGCCAGATGATGGCGGGGTGGAGAGGAGCACAGAGCGCCACATGGTGCTGGTGAGAGGGGGCGCTTGGTGGACCACGGCTCCGCACGCGAGGCGGTACTCATTACCGGTAATAAGGAAGGAAGGGAGGGAGGAAATGGGAAGGCCTTGACACGGCGCCGTGCCCAGGCGGCGTTCAAGTTGAAAGAAGCCAGAGCCAGCCAGAAGGTGACACCGCCGGCAGTCACCTGCACCCCCGCCCCCAGTGATGCCCACTCCCTTCCTCCCCGACCCTCACCTGCAGGTGCTCGAGAGCCAGGAGCGCGGGCTGGGCCAGAGAGTACAGCCCAGCACCTGAGGCAACAGGCCGACCCAATTAGTAGGCGCGGGGGTGGTAAGGAGGGTGGATTGTTCGTGCGAGAAACGGGTTGAGGTGTACGGACTTGGTACGGATGGATCGCGACATGCGGGGCCCCAGTCGATAGGCTCGGCGCGGGCGGCATGGGCATGAAGACGCGGCAAGGGGCTGTGACTGCCTGGCTGCCACCTCTAGCTGATCCCTCCCCTCGCCGTGTTCGTGTTGTGCTGTTCCTGTTGATTGCTTATGCCCGACGGCGAGGTCGGTCTCCAGCTTACCTTCAGCCGCCTCGACGCACCCACCCTACCTGTGTACGACACCCACCCTACCTGTGTACGACACCCACCCTACCTGTGTACGACACCCACCCTACCTGTGTACGACACCCACCCTACCTGTGTACGACACCCACCCTACCTGTGTACGACACCCACCCTACATGTGTACGACACCCACCCTACCTGTGTACGACACCCACCCTACCTGTGTACGACACCCACCCTACCTGTGTACGACAGGGGGCTGGTGAGCGCCGCATCAATGGCCGCCAGCAGCACCGGCAGCGGGGCGGAGTTGTTGGGCGCCGCTGCCCCTGTCACACTGCCGGGGGGCAGCAGCAGCGACTGACGCAACTGCTGCGTAGACGCTGTGGCAGAGGTGGCGTTGTTGGAATCGGTTGAAGATGACAATGCTGTTGATGTTGTTGTGGTGGTGGTGGTTATGAGGGCGAAGGGTGAGAAGGCGCGCAGCAGGGTATCCTGGATGATGGACTGCGCGTCCTGGAGGGCTGCCAGGCGGGCTGCGAGGGCGGAGTCTGACGATGTCTCCGAGGAGGAGGAGGAAGAGGAGGGGGAGGAGGTGCTGGTGGTGTTGCTGGTGCATGCCGAGACCAGGCCGAACCCTGACTTGACGGCGGAGAGGAGGCTGGCGAGGTGGGAGTGGGGAGCTGCGAGGGGAGGGGTTGGGGCAGGGGGAGGGTATGGATGGGAGGGATGCAAGGAGAGGGCGGTCATGGGGTTGGGACTTAGGAGAGGGGTTTGCCAAGAGGGCGGTGTATCTGTGAAGGGAGAATCGACACATCCTTCCAAATGCCGCTCCAATCCATGTGCCATGCGCTCCCTCCAATCCCTCAAATCCACAATCCCTCCCGCTCCAACGCACTGCACAACCCTGCACCACCCCGGGGTGCCAGATGCAGGCAGCGCAGCTGCTGCTACCAGCTGCTGATGGAAGCCAGCACACCTCTCTGAAGCCCCCAGGTGCCCCCAGGACGGGACACCCACAGCCCCCCTCCGCATGAGCCACTCCCTCCCTCCGCCCCCACTGCCTCCTCAAGGGCCCGCCCACCACCCCCGTGCCCCCTCACCCGCAGCGCCCGCCGACGTCGTGGTGAGGGGCTGCGGGTCGTAGCTGGCCAGGTACATCTCCGTGAAGCCGGGCCGGCGCAGGGACCAGGAGGCGGCGGGCAGGGGCAGCGGCAGCGGAAGCTTGGGGGGGGGGTTGTGGGGGACAGGGGAGGAAAGGGAGAGGACGGGTTGGACAGCAGGAGGGGAGCGTGGAAGGAGGTCGAGACTGAGGAGGATAAGGGTAACCGGAGATTCCTTGTGCACGTAATGGACGTGCGACGGTGCGCACAACGCGAGGCGTTACGCACGGGTAACACGGGGACTGAGATAGGTAGCGACCAAGCATAGGCTCAAGAAATCGGGCCGTATGCGGAATTGCGGGTCAGGCAACATCGCTCGCACGCATCACCACCACACGCACCGTCTGCGGGGTTGCCGCCGGGCCGCCCAACACCACCAAGCCACTGCCACCGCCACCACTGCCGCTGTCACCACCACCACCACTGCTGCTGCTGCTGCCCCCCGCTGCAGACAGTGCCAGCGGAAGCCACCAGGCGGATGCGGAGGCAGGGGTGCCGCTGCTCGTACCGCCGGCTGCGTTGGTGGTGGTGTTGGCTGCAGCGGAGGCCGCCTCAGCAGCGGGTGATCCGGGGCACTCCAGGGCGGGCGGGGTGGTGATGTCGTTCACACCTGGGAGGAGACACCGTTGGCGCGGCAAGGGTGTAAGAAACACGAGAGCGGGAGGGCAGCCAGGAAGCGCATGGGATGCGCGAGAGGAAGGTCGCGCGCTATCCCGCATGGGGCAACGCAAGAAACGACAAGGCACGCACCACACAGGATCGCGCCTGTAAGAAATGCCCTCAACGATTAAAGCAGCCTGCCCCGGCACTGCACGAAACACGCCCTGCCAGAGCTCATGCCGAGCAGCAGAGCAGGGCCACACGCATGCTGTCACCTGTTGCCCACCCCCACCCACCCCACACGGCGGTACCGCAGCTCCCACCTGCAGGCCACAGCCCCCAGCCGCAGAAGCGCTGCTGCGACGCCTGCAGCACCGCCGTTAGGGCCACTGCAGCGACGACCGGCGGCTGTGGCGACGGCGGTTGCGGTGACGGCGGCGGTGACGGCGGTAATGAGGAAACAGGAGACGGTGCTGGGCTCGGCGGCGGCGCTGTTGAGTCGATTGACAATGGCGAGGGAGGCGACGGCGACGCTGACGGCGAGTCAGGTGACAGCGGGTCAGGAGGAGATGGCGGGATGGCGGAGGCGGAGGTACCGGTATCCTGTTGCAGCTGCCGACGTAGGGAGGAGGCGTCAAGGAGCCGGCCGGCAGCGCTGTTGCAACCACCGCGGAGGCCAAGGAGGAGTCGGCGACCAACGGCGCCGCCGTCAGCTATCAACGGCGGGGCTGGCTGCGGCGGCGGCGGGGCAGGCAGCATCGGCGGAGGTGGCGGCGGAGTGCCTGGCGGGGTCGTTGCTGCAGGTAGTGTTGGTGGTGGCGGCGGCGGGGACGCAAGTATTACTTCAGGTGCCGGAGGTTCTGGCGACGGTGTTGGCGGCGGTGTTGCTGTCTCGGAGGAGGCGGGTAGCGGAGGCGAGGGTGCTGGGGCCAGCGGCGATGGCGGGTGCGGGGAGGGCTCGGGTGACGGAGGCGCGGGAGGCGACGGAGGAGAGGGCAATGCGTCCGGCGGCACGGGGGAGGGGCTTGCGGGTGTGGGCGGAGCAGGCGATGGTGAGGGAGGCGGAGAGTCTGCAAAAGGAGGGCAGAGGCAACCCAACACAGGTATTGGGCGTCCCACCCCTGAAGAGCAACTGCAGGTACCGTATTGTTTAAGAGGATTCAACGCGTCTCTCACCCTGCAACCTCAAGGGAACCCGCTCGGAAGTAAAAGCCGTACCCACCTGGGCTTGGCGGCGCCAGCAGCGGGCTCGGAGCCGGCGGCGGCGGCGGCGTCACATCCACCGCCGCCACCAGCGGCACGCCCGGCGTCGTCAGCCAGCCCATGATACCCTCATACATCGCCTGACGTCCGCCCAGCGCCGCCGCCGTCGCGTCATCAACTGCCTGGTCCGCAATGAGGCTCACAAGATCTGACATCGTCGCCGTGCCGTATTTGTAATCTGGACTTTGGACGAGCCTCACAGCCGTCGAGATGCCAGCAGGAAGCGACGCAGCCGTACCGTTGCCAACCGCCGCCAGGGCGGCAGCGGCCGTCGCCTCCGGGTTTCGGAGCAGCAGCAGGTTTCGGAGCGCAGTACGCATTCCCTCCTTGCCTACCAGCCCCTCAGCAGCAGCCAACACGGTAGCTGCCTTGGAGTAAGTCAGTACGGATTGGGTTGATGCCGAGGAGGACGATGAAGCTAATAAGGCCGACGCGTTCTCGGCTTTCAGCACGGAACCGACCCCTGGGTCTTCATCGACCCAGCGAGCCCGGGTCACCACCCCCTCATGCACGCCATGGGGCTGACCCAGCGGAGGTACCACCAAGCGTCTTAGCGGCGCCGCCAGCGGGAGTGATGGCGGATACGTCGGTAACGGTACGGCAGAGCCAGCGGTCGTACTGTTGTTAGCGGTTACGGAGCCGCCAGCTAGGATGTACGACAGTACGGCAGCAACGCAGTCGTACTCGATGTATGATGCGACGCCTTCGTTGAGGGCTAGGTTGTCCTGCAATAGGTCACAGGTCGTACAGAATGGAAGGCGTGTCATGCAAGCAGGCAAGGTAAGCTTTATTGTGCTTTTGTTGGAACGGGCCGCTGCAAAGCGGTGGGTCGCTGCTGAGACGACAAGGTTGTCTCGCCCTCCTCGCCTACTCCCCACCCTTCGTGTTCTTAGCGCACCGACGCTTAACTCCTCCTGACCTCACCTAGTGCCTACACGTAGCTACTAGCAAGCCCATCGACCCATCTCCCACCCCACTCCTCGCCCAGTCCTGCAGGTCTGCACCCCCCCTCCCCCCTCGCACCCGCCCCAACCCCCCAGCCTCACCCAATCCCTGCACGTGACCCAGTTTCCAAACCACTGGTGCGCCACCTCGTGACAAATGACGTCAGCCGCCTGGAACAGATCCCACGCAGACGGGGAGGAGGCGGAGGAGGAGGCGGGGGCAGAAGGGTAGAGGAACCTGCAGCAACAGCGGCGTTGCAAGGGAGCAGGCAGGCGTATGTTACAGGTACGGCAAGGAGGACGAGGCGGCAACCTGACTGGGAGGAAGAGGAGGAGGGAACAGACGGGGCCCAACGGTTACGCTATAAGTGCAAAACCTCTTCAGTGCCCCGCACGTCCCAAACCAGCAAAAAAAGGCGCAGGATCCCGCTTCAACGTCTCCTACCTTCTCCTCCTGCTGGCCCTCTTGTCTCCCCGCCTACCACCCTCACGCGCCAACCATCCTCAAACACAATCATTCCCCAGCTTTCCTCCTCCCTAACACCAAAAGAACTGCGGCGACCCATGGGTCGGCCGCCCCTCCCCCTCCCCAACCCCTCACCTGCCCGTATCGAACATGAGCAGCCCCCAGTTCTCCATGCCCATGCGCTTGCCCGGCACAGCCAGCAGGTCCAGCTTGGGCAGCGGCAGCGGCAGACCCCCCGTGTACGACACGTAGTAGCTGCGTGGGGGAGGGTGAGATGAGCGGGGAGGGAGGGGGGAGGGAGGGGGTTGGTGTGTACTGGGTTACTCGAAAGTGGCTGGAGGGGGAGGGAAAGGAGATGAGGGGGGATACAAAAATATAAGATGAGGGGGGAGGGGCGAGGCGGAGGGCGGGAGGGAGATGTAAACGGCATGGGCAGGTCGGTGTACGGCACGGATAACTGCAGCCGTGAAAGCAGGCGAACAGGGAAGAGAGATGAGGAAGGGCCAAGGGCTGGAAGGGCCATGGCGGCACGTGTCTTAGAGGACATGAACCACATGATCCCTTTTATCAGAGCCCGGTTTCAATGCACCCACACACCCGTCGCAAACCCCTCTCCCCACCCTTCCCTCCGGCAACTTGGAAGCTGGTGTTTCTTTCTTCTCCACTCGCCTACCTTCCTTCCGCCTCCCCAACATCCCTGCCCCCCGTCCCACCCCGCACCTGTATGCCGCCGCTGCGATGTCCAGCGAGCCGCTCAGTCGGAGCAGGGGGTCCATGGCGGCCGGGCCCCACACCGACACCCGCATGGGGGCGGAGGGGGAGGGGGAGCTCCTGGGGGGCGGGGTGGGCGGGGAGGGAGGGGGGGAGGGGGATTAATATGGTTGAAGATTCCGCATTAAGCTGGAATTAAGGATTGCGCATAATCATATTCGTTGGGTTAGTAGAGGGAGGGGGAGGGGGGGAGGCATGCGGCGACGGGCCGACAGGAGGGCATCAGTTGGAACCATATCTGCTGCTCTTTCCTGCTGCTGTGTCCGTCCGTAATCACCCTGCCCTGTTCGGATTATTATTATCCCCATGCCGGTACGTCTCAACCGCTTTCCACACCCCCTCCACACCAAGCCACACAGTCGCAGCAGGGCACCACAAGACCGACCTGTCCTGTCCCCACCCACCCAGTGGTGGCGTTCACGAGGGTGCTCAGGCTGCGCATGCGGCCAGCCGCCACCGCCAACAAGTAGGGAGACATGGGCGGAGTGGGCTGCAGCGGGCGGGGTGAGGAGGACGCGGGAGGAGGTCGTCAGGGGTTGCGCACAGGGCGGCGCACTCGAAGAGAGCAACGAGAGGAGACGGCTCCTCTTGTTGAGTTGAGGGCAGCCCCAACCAACCCAGCTCTCTCCTTCGCCACGGGTGTGTAGGGGGCTCTACGATTGTTTCTCAACCCGCGGTGGTGCCAACTGCGGGTGCCAACTGGAGCTGCAACCTGCCCCCGAGCCCCGCCATGTTGGGAAGCCTGCCACCCCCTAGCCCCATACCCCATACCCCGTCACCCCTTCAGTTTCCTCTTTTTACCGCACCTCCCCTCACGCAGTTTCCTCTACCCCCCTCCCCCCTCACGCACGCACGCACCTGGAAGGTGACGAGGGTGCGGTTGGTGGCTGCGGTTGTCGCCTCCCCGGGGGCAGGGTTGAGGGGCGGCATGTTGGAGAGGGCGGTCAGGCCGGCAGGCAGCTCCACTGATACGGAGAACACCGCCTTGTGAGTAGGTAGGGGTAGGTAGGAAGGAAGGGGTACGTAGGTAGGGGGTAGGGGACGTGAGGCGCAAGGGTGGGACATGGAGGGATGGGTGCGGAGTAGGGTTGTTTAAGGAGTTGCATAAGGACTAGGAAGTGCGATTGGCGGTCAGGTCTGTATTATAGTCAACATGTCAACATGTGTTTCTCGTTGCTGCTGCCAGCGGAGAAGTTCGCGACGTGGTGCCACGTGGGAGCCCGCCCCCATGAAGCGGTGCGGAGGGTTATGGGCCTGGCCAGCACACCCTGTCACAACAGCAAGCAGGCATGTGAGATGACATCGACGTACCTTGTAAGACGGGCCATCAAAGCAAGGTAACAAGTAGCGCGCTCCGCGTCCCTCCAGTTGTGTCGTCAGCAACACGTCAGCCGCTGCGCTTGCCGGCGTGTCGGTGGTGTCGGACGACGTGTCGGCGACCCATGGGTCTGACACGAACAATCCAAAACCGTCTGATGTGGGCCGGATCGGTCCCGTGTACGACAGCTTGAGCTGCACCTGACTGCCAGCTGACAACACAAGCGGGCTCAGGTTGAGAACGACAGTTTCCTCGGTTGCTGCGGGAAGTGCAATTAAAAAACAGGGAAATGGGTGTGTTGGAAGAGAAAATGGGATCAGGATGCAACACGAATGGATTCGGATCTAGGGCTGCAAAAACAGGTAGCGAAATCAAGTTTTTCCATAATAATCAGTCTGTGCGTAGACTTGTATGATTTCGGTGTTGAAGTTCCAGTTTTTACATATCTTCGCTGGTGTTGCTTTTCCTCTCCCCCTTTTCACACGTCTTTCCTCACCCGTCAACCCCCGTCCCTGCCGTCTTACGCATACATCAGTCGCTCGGTCTGCCAACGCCGGTAGCAAAAACAATAACCGCTGAGATGAACAGAGGATTACGATTTGAGTATAGTTGTTGCCAACACCAACAATTTACCTGTTGTCCAAACGCCAGCGCAGCTCCCTGCTCCCTCGCATCCGCAAACGCACAAGGCTGCACCTGCCGCCTCTCCCAACGGGGAGACCGACAACACCGCTGGTGGTGCCGCCGCCGCTGCGGACCCTTCCGCATCCGTCAGCCGCCGCCGCCGCCGCCTCCCATGTGTTCCCGTGCTATTGCTGCTGCCACTGCTGCTGCTGTCGTTTCCACTTGCAGTAGCATTACCATCACCGCCGACACCGCCAGCAGGACCAGGACTTGGAACCGCCGCCGCCGCCGTCACTACCGCCAGCTCCACTCGGCTCACACTGAGCTCCGCCGCTTGGAGTACCAGACACGACGTATCGGCCGTAATGTTCAGCAGCAGCGACGCGACGGCGCCGTACGACATAACAGTCACCGCCGGCTGCGCTGTTGTTGTCGTCGTGTTGTACGGCAGTGGCGCGACGAGGATGATGCCGTTGGGGGCGACAGTGCCGGCGGTGGTGAAGGCTCCGTCGGGTAGTGAGAGGTGCAGGTCGTAACGGACAGGCAGGGCGCGGGGGTCGGCGGGCAGGGCAGAGGACTGCATGGGAGGGGCAGGGTTGGGGGGAAGGGCTGGGGACAGCTGCGTGGCCGGGGTGATTCTGTGAAGCTGTAAAGCCAAGCAGCAATGGCTGACAAATGTACCTCTGGGAACCATGCCGCCAGGGTTACGTTAGGGCTCCCCCAAGTGCCCAATCCTTCAATGCATGCGCTCCCGCCATGCGCCTGCTCCCCACCAGACACCCCCCACCCCAACCCGGCGCCATGCACCACCCCCCACCCGCACTCTTTGCTTCGGCAGGGTTGCCAACGCTCTTATACCGATATCGTCGTATCACGACTTGTTACCCGGATACTATCTTCTGCATGCTTCCCGCGCAAATGGACACAGGCGCACCCCAGCCCCGCTCACGTTATGGCTGCACAGCGCCCGCAGGGACGCCGGCGGTGGTGGCGGCGGCGATGGAGACGGCGGTTGTGGCGGCGTCAGTGGCAGCGGAGAGGGAGACACCGGCGGCGGCGTACTTTGCAGCGCAGGCACCGGCGGCAGCTGTGGTGCGAGTAGGGGTGCCGGTGGCGCGGGAGATGGCGGCGCCCGCTGCGGCGGTGGGACGGTGGACTGTGTTGCTATTACTTTGCCCCCCGCCAGGACTGAGACCGGTACGACGATGACTACAGCAGTTGGGAGAGGGGCAGCAGCAGCAGTAAGGAGGTAGGGAAGGAGCAAGCAGCGAGACGAGGAGAAGTGAAGTAAGGTGATGGGCGCGTGACAGGCACTTCAAGGGGTCCCGCGTCCGTTGTGGACACGCCTGATTGCGGGTACGGCATTCCCACAACGCACTGCCCCTTTGTAAGCCCCCAACGCAAGGCTGCAGGGCCCCCTGGTGGGTTGGTCTTCCCCATCCCCCTTGCACACGCATGCACGCACACGCACCTATGCCCACCACCGCCACGGCGATCCACGCCAGCAGCACCACCTTCCAGCGAGCAGCCAGTCGCTCAGCCAGCCGACCCATGGGTCCACCTCCCCCACCGCCTCCACCGCCGCCGCCTCCAACCCTGTACAACGGGAGCAGACGACGTGAGAGGGTTACTACACTGGGCAAGAGTGAACAGTGCCGGAGGAGTCTAGGGTCGCATGTGCGAAAGTACGCTTTAAAAGGAAAACAGGGACGTCAGCTGCAAGAAGGCCAAACAATGACGTCGCATGTTCCCTCACTCGTTCCAACTTCCTTCCCAAACAGTGTGCCCTCCCAGGCGCACTTGTACGATGAAGAAGCTAGCCCCCGAGGCCCAAGCAACCGTGCCGCCACTAAATCTTCAACACCTTGCCCCTGATACTGATGCTGGTGGTACTCGTCGTGGTTGTGATGCTGATCGGCTCCCGTACGACCGTTGTCGTACCAATCTGCCGTACCACTCGTTGCGCCCGTCGGAATGCTTTCGTACGGCGCATTGCTGCTACCGCCAACTCCAGCGCCCCCGCCAACAACCGCTCCGAAACCACCATTACTGCGTACGGGAGTTGCGCCCGAATTGCGAGGTGTGCTAACGCGTCCCACAGCGGCACCCCAGTGGCTGCCAGGGCCTGCTCCCCCATAGCTGCTGGCCCCACTGTTCGGTCCCGCATGGAGAAGGTATGTGTGCGGTAAGGCAAGAAGGGTGAGGAAGGATATGGTCAAAGCGCACTCAGACCCCTAGCGGTGCAGATGCGGTTGATTGGCTACAGCCTTCGCAAAGCAACGCAAGGTACAGAGCGGTTGCCGTGGGTGAGGGGTGCAGGTGCGGTAGGCTGGATGGAGGTGGGTGGTTGTCGTAACGGGCCTTCTTTTCCCAAGCAAAAGTAAGCTTCCGAGCGTTTCTGAGCGAGGGAGTGTATTCACCGTCACCGTCGACCCAGCTGCGCGGAAACGTCTATAATTAGTAAATCCCATGCCCACCTAGTATCAAAAGCTTGCCGGTCAGAGAGCTGTATGTCTGCTAGCTCCACCTCGCCTTCCCTGTGCATGTGTGCAAGCTCATCTTAAGTGGTTGACAGCTGCGGAGTGAGCTTTACAACACCCGAAGTCTATGCTGCCAGTACCACATCTACATACCCAGGCGGCCTCCAATTTTGCCGAATCATGACTGACAGCAGGACGCTTTGCTGATCGAAGGGTCCAGTTACCGAGGCAGCCGCTGTGGCCGGAACCAAGTATTCTGCTTCTTTCGAACTTTGACTGTGCTGCTTTAGCGTGAATTAGAACTCTGGTAGCCACACACGCATTGTAGGTGTCATAATGACCGTGCTATACTTAACGACAGTTAGGACCCCAGAGCACACGCCTAGGCACACTGCGTAAAGTCAGTCGCTAAAGATGAACGCATAATTGCTCCGCCTCGAACACTACGCCAGGCCAAGACCCAAATCAACCGAAACCAATCGTCGAGAAAACGTCTTTTGAAGTCTTGATTTCCTCCTACATCATTATCAGAATTGCTATTGTAACTTATGTAACAAGCACGGGCCTGCACTAGAAGAGAAAGCACTTCAGCATTATTTCATTTTACAGATGCATGGCAAGTTCTGTTTGGGCTAATACGTCAGTCATCCCTGTTAGGCTGTGCACACTGGAAGGAGACGGACTTGCGCTTGAGAGTTGAGACTGTTGGAAATGCGCGCTCCGCTAGCTCCGAAGCCCTGGGCGCGCTTCCAAGGCTTGTGTGTTCTTGCCCAATTCACGTTCACCATTCAGGTATATGGACAACTAAGCTTTGCTGTTGTAGTTGCTGACAGTTATGGTGAACATCATGGCAGTGGCTGCCTCGCCTACCTGCACACGTCGACGTGTCCCTTGCTGGCTCGGGCAAACCCATTCAACGCCTCAGTCCAATCGGAGCCCAGCTGGCAGCAAACCAGCATACAAAGCGCACGTGTCTAGAACGCTGGGACCCAGAGCAGGGCCCAGGGCAGTACACGGAAGCTCACAGTCACCGCGACGTCATCACCACCAACATAGCACTGCGCGGGCTTTTGATGCTGCAGCCAGCGGGTCCTACTGGACGGCTTCCCTGTCTTTGCATGCATGATGCATTAACGGTCTGCTAGTCAGGGGCGCGCCTACCTGGACACTTGAAGCCGCATGCCTGTCTTACGGCTTTCATGCCGTACCACATACCTCGCTGTCAGCCTATTGATGATGTGCTGCTGTGAAAGCTGTATTATGCTCCCACGCAGACCCTGTAAACTAATGGACTTACCCGCCATCAATGTATCGATAGGTCTTGTGGTTGTCAGCTTTGGCTACGATCGATACGGGTCTGTCACTCGTGATGGGGGTGTACCCGAGCTGCACTGTTGATGCTTGGATTTCCCTCCTCATCCCCAGTTAATCAGGGGAAGGAAATGGAAAGCTTGCTACGGTCCTATGGCATCCCAGCATAATGGGCAGCTTCGTTAGCAAACCCTCTTCCAATCCTGGCAACCTCACTGCCAACCAAACATGGCGCATGCGACCACGTGCAACCCAACGCAACATACAACCTACAACCCGCTGCAGGGCACGTCTAACGCCGACGATGCAAGAGCCTTCCAAGACATATCCTTGGACTTTCCGAAGCAAGGCACAGGCGTTATGGGCCGCGTGCACCATTTGGGGGCGATAACCAGCGCTTTGCCTATTCATATAACGAGTGCAGGAGACATACCACACGACTAGCAATAGCTTTTGTTGGATTTCCGGCCAGCTTTTTGCGGAACCAAAATGGCAGACGACGGTGCCGGCCCACCCCCGCTTCTTCCAAACCTAGTTGTTCTCCAGGAGGCGACACTCATTAACCCCTTCTCCCAACTCCCTGATGCGCTACTGGATCACATTGCCGCACTCTCCGGCGGCCGGGGCGGCATTCGCCTGGCCTGCAAGTCCCTACACGCGGCATCCCGCAGCGTGCAGCAGCAGCCACAACTCTTGGCACAACTGTGTCTGGAGCGCTGGGGGCCGGCGGGGGCGGTGCGGGAGGTGGTGAGGGCTTTTGGAAGCCGCTTCATTGGTAAATTCACCCTATCCAAGCTGCTGCTAGAGCTGAGGGCCCTGGGGGAGCAGCTGGAGCCGTGGCTGTACGACGTCCTGCTCCTCGCAGCTTCACGAAACTGGCCAGCCTTGGTGGACCTGGCGTGCGACCTGGGAGCGGACATTAACGACCCTTGCTGCATGGAAATCTACAACCGTGCGGTCAAACGCCGCTACTGGGTGGTAGCCCGCCGGATGCTAATGCAGGGCTTCAAACCATCAGCACGTGAACATCTGTCTTAGGACGTCGGAGCACCGTAGCAGTAGCAGAAAGACGCCACCGAAATGCTAGTGCGGTTCTGCAGTACTGGTGACATGCGTCACTGTAACAGCGGCGGGGCCACTGCGGGCAGGTCTGGAGGCGCAAAGGCGCGGCCGGTTTGCCGCAGTGCCAGGCACTGCTGGCAGAGGGTGTGGGGCAGCTTGGGCGGGCTGACCAGTCGTGGTACTGTGAGTTGGCACGGCGGGGCGGCCATGTTGCTGTCGCACAGTGGCTGGAACAGGTGTGGGGACTCGGGAACTGACGGAGGGAATAAAATACAGGGACAGGAGGAAGGAAGAGGTGGTGGTGGCTGTGGAGTGCCATGGAGGTGCCTGGTGGGATGGGACCAGCAGCTTGGCACCGGAATGGAGAGCTGTGGCATGAAGGGGCAGTACCAGGGACAGAGCAAACCACGTGACCAGCTTGGACTGCTTTCATCGTGGTATGTAGCGGTATGCTATTGCTGGCGCAGGTAGTATGCAGTAATTAGACATGGAGTCATGCCTGCTGTTAGTTAGTTAGTTGGTGCGCTGCACGCACGGTAAGGGCAGCAGCCGCCGACCGCACAAAGTCAGCCGTGCATGCATACAGGGCATTGCCCTCCAAGCATGACTGCTGCATGACGCCTTAGGTACCGGTACCTCAATAATACGTTTGGGAGGCCGGATGTTGTTGTTGTACGATTACCAGCAGCATACATTGTTTCGAGGCATGCGCGACCAGCCTGCAAACGTTGCGACGTGCCGGTGTGCATATGCCGCAGCGTGGCTTGCCAGCCTGTCTTATGCCTGCATGTGTGGCGTGAGTGGGTAACTTGATGCCTGCGTACCGTTGTAAACGCCAAGGGGAAGAGAAGGCGACAGGCGGAACCATGGGTCCCTTCGTGCACAGGGTTGCTGCCGCCAAAGAGCAACTAATGCGCAACCATTGGTACTTGAATGGTATGCTGACTGGGTACGTTCCAGGCTGCATAGACGCTTATCGGCATGCATCACTGGTTTGTGCCACTACGTGCTGACTTATTGGTCGGGGCCGAAGTAGCATCCCAGGTACCCAGCACAAACCCAACTCATTAATACCCACGGGCGGACGCTAGGTGGCACAGCAGTTTCCCTAAATGCATTCATACTTCTCCGTAATGTGACTTGCATGATAGAACCACCCCGTCAGAACGCATCAAGACGCGCCTTGTGGTGTCATTGGACCCGTGGGTCGTTTGGCAGGGTCATGGGAATCCTAGTAAGGAAACGTACCTTTGCTTCAGTTAGAGCCGTGCCGCGCTCTGTTTCCGCGTCAAGTATTCGCATTACGGATAGAGGAAGTCTCTGTGTAATACGTGCATTAAAATGGATGGGTTTCCTTCAAGGCAGCATACGCGAACGCGTTGTAGTTTCTGTGTACGAATATGATCCACCAACTGTCTGGGCACATGAGCCTTTCTTTCTGCTCTTGTCACATTTTGCCCCTCTTCTTCGCTCAACTGTTCAACTTAAATCTCAGGGGTTCATGAAGTATCTTCCCACTACGTATTGCGCCTACCTGCCGACCTGCGTTCTGCTTACCGATAGTAGTAGCTTTGCAGCTAGATACACCGACGAAGCGCACCATCAAGAACCTACGCCCCTATGGACTACTCCAAACAAGCTCTCCTTAACAGCTTCCTTTGTGTTCTGCCGGAGGAGCTGCTGTCGCGGATTGTCGCGCTCACCGGCGGCTGCGGCGGTGTTCGATGCGCCAGCAAGGAGCTCCGCGCCTCAACATTCGCCATAACACAACAGCCAAGCCTGCTAGCCCTGCACTGTCTGGCTCGTTGGGGAGCAGAAACGGCTTGCTTAGAAGCGGTCTCAGCATTCCTCCGCGGCGACGTCATCAGTAGCGACGCGCTCCTCGCGCTGCTGCGGGAATTCAAGGCCCTGAGGGTGCACATGGAGCCCTTGTTCCCCGACATGCTCCTTATCGCTGTCCTCCACAACCAACCAGCCTTGGTAGACGTGGCCTGCAGACTGGGGGCAGACCTGAACGCAACGTACGGCGAACAGGCCTTCACCCTGGCTTTCCAGCGCAACGCATTGGAGGTGCCTAGGCGGATGCTGCGGCATGGATTCCAGCCCTCCTTGAGCCCAGAGCGTTCGATCGGCACCATGGTATGCGCATCCCATGCGTTTGCGGAGGGGTGCTGCCCTGGAGCCATTCGCTTTGCTGTCGAGGAGGCCGGTGTGGATGCGCGCATGTACGGCTACAAGGCGCTGGTTGCTTGGGTCGTGAGGAGATCAGAATCTGTGGTTTCGGAGCTGCTGGCTGTGGGGGCAGCGCACTGCGGAGGGAGTGAGGAGGAGCGTCAGGTGTGCTTCCTGGCAGCATGCCGGTACGGCAGCTTGGCTGCCTGCCGGGTGCTGTTGGGCGAGGGAGTTGGGGAGTTCGAGCGGGGCTTGCAATTGGGGTGTGTCGAGGCGGCGCGGCGGGGCGGCCATACTGCTGTGGTGGGGTGGCTGGCGGAGGTCTGGGGGCTGGGGCAGGAGGAGATGCTAGAAGAGGAGCAAGGGGAGGAGGTGTGGGAGGAGGAAGCGTAGGAGGGTTAGGGGTACGAGGCAGGGTGCGGAGCGCTCGGACAGGGAAAGGCGAGTCAGGCGCTTGCTGGAATGCATGCAAGGGAAGTTGGCTAGAATGGACTTTCGTTGAGCAGGGGTTTCCTATGGTCTTTCCGTTTCCAGGGTGGCAGGTCAGAGCCGAAGTGTAGTGTGTCTGTGGCTGTAGTGCGACTGAGAATGCTGTGGCTGGCTTCTGGGTCCGACCTCGGGCACGTGTTATACACACCCTTGACACCTCACGACACCTCAGCACCCCTCAGCACCTGCCATGTGTCAACCCAAGAGAGACGCAAGACATGGTGTACGATATGGTGCCGTACTATAGCACGACACGGTACGGCAGTAGTGCCATGTACGGTATAAAGGTTCGTGTTTGCTTCCGGATATTGTGATTGCCAATCAGAGACAGGATAACGGGCGTCAACCCGCATCCTGTGCCGCAGTGTTTCATTCGCAATTGCTAGGCATGCTAACAATGGACCAGTCCGTATGCTGAACGCGACGACAACGAGTAGTGTTTTGAACAGTGTGCTATAAACAGCTGGGCAGCCCTGCGGAACGTCGTCAACATGTAACAACCGACGCCGTCAGTGCAAAACAATTCTTGTCCTGGCGTTCAATGGCGCCATTCAGCGCCCCAGGCTTTTCCCTCAAAACGGCAGCTCCAACACTCAAAACTCAAACACATCACGTAAGGCAGAAAGCGCCTCTCAGAGGACGCATCGGTGCCAAGTAACCGACCCGGAGATGGAAGGACCCACGAGTTAACCAAGTAACCAACATGTAACAACCAGAAGCCAACGAACACCGACGTACAGGCCATGTGGATAAAACCTGATAACAGCTGTCCCCACTCTCAGCTACAACTCGTCATCTTGAAACAGGCGTTCATTCCCTTTTTAGGCCACACCATGCAAGCCTCAGAGGCCCCCGCACAGACCGCTGTTTCACGCGACCAACCATGGGGACCGTACGAACGAACGGATGCTGGGACCACGGGCAAGGGCGCCATACCGGGTAAACTCTTCTGTAAGCTCTCCTGCGTTCTCGACAGGCGCTCTGACTCGCTACATGCCGTACAACACTCTCCAAACTTTTCGTCCAGCTACCCCAGTTCCTTCTTGGTACAAGAGCTCCTACTTGCACCTCTTAGGCTCCCGCATTCTCTCCCTTCTCCCCCGCCCAGCCCCTTCCCTTCTATCCAGCTATCCCTCTCCCTCACGTCACAGCTTTTCATCGTCAGCTAGCCGCCCACACGTCACTGCCCGCCACCAAAGCTCCACCTCTCTCCTCCCCCACCTCATTCAACTCATGCAACTGCCAGTACCACCTCTCTCTCCCCTGACGTTTCACTCATGCACAACATGCTCGAAACCCCACGCCGACAGGTAACCACCACGCCCGCCTGCGCTCCCGTGACAGCCTAAACACACCGCAGCTCCCCTTCCCTCCCCGCCCCTCATGCCCCGCCGAGGGGCCCCGGCGGAGGATGGAGCCCCGCCCCATGAAGCGGCTCCTGCCGGCTCCTGCCGGCTCCTGCCGGCTCCTGCCGGCTCCTGCCGGCTCCTGCCTCACGCCTGCTTGTGTTTGCGAGACAGCTCAAACAGCAGCTCGGGGGAGCGGTACACGTTGATGAGCGCCTGGAACAACTGCTCCTCCAGCACCAGCTCGCCTGCGCGGGGGCGGGGGCAGGGAGTGGTAGGGGAGGGGAGTGGCGGAGGGAGGTTCGCAGGGAGAGGTAATGGAGGATCCATGGGTGCGGCCTAGCGCTGCGGTGCGGCATGCGGCTGCGGCTCCTGGGCAAGCCAGGGTGGCTGAGAGCGCGCTGCGACAGGCCAGGGCAACAAGACACATGGCACATGTGCTCCATGCAAGTGCAGCGAACATCATTTCCAGGTGAGGGCGATTTCCATGTGCAGCCCCCGCTGCCGTGACTGCCTCCTACTCCCCGGAGGGCGACACAGGAGGCCCAGACAGGAGCAAAGACCAGCAGCAGGACACCCGGTGCAAAAGCAAAACCCACAATGCCGCAGCCCCCATGCGGTTGTGTGTGCATGCATGGTGCCCACGATGCCCCCAGCCCACCTTCCGCCCGCGCCACGTATATGTCCTGGCACAGCGCCACCAGGCGCCGAGTGGAGGGCAGGTCCTCTGTGGGAATGCGCAGGCGCAGCGAGGACACGGAGAGGCGCAGGAAGCGGCCGATGGCAAACACAAAGGTGACGTACAGCCCCGTGATGCCGAAGCGGGACAGGGTGGCACCCTGGTAGGGGGGGAGGGAGGAGGGGAGGAGGGGAGGATGCGGAGGATGGGAGTGTGGTAGAAGGGGACGTTGTGGAGCGCAAGAGTGTTCAGTGTTGTTGCGGTGGATCAGTGCGGGGTTGGGTGGTGGTGGTGGTGGTGGTGGTGGTGGTGGTGAGATCAGGGATGTTGATGGCGGCGGTGATGCATGCTACTGGTACGCTAACGTGCTTAGCGGGTGTTGGGTACATGGGACGCTGTCCTTCTCAAGGATGTTGTCCCATGTACCCAATGCGATGCGAGTAACCTCCACAGCTGCGCTGCACCCCAGCTGTGTAACACCCCCCCGGGCTGTGTAACCCCCCCGGCTGCGTAACACCCCTTCCCCCAGCTGCACCCACCAGCAGCCCGCTCTGCACCGGCTCCAGAACCGCCACCAGCGGCGGACCGGACAGCCGCGGAGAACCGCCCGACGCCCCGCCACACGCGTCCTGCAGCGGCTCGTCATCATCCCCATCATCATCATCATCACCGCCCTCGTCGTCATCCCTGCCTCCCACCGCCGCCGGCAACGGGACTGCCGCCATTCCTGCGGTACTCGTCACCCCGCCGCCATCGCTGCTTCCACCACGCGTCCATAGCCGCCCATCGTAATCATCGCAAGCGGAGGCTCCTCCACCACCATCGCCGCCTCCGTCACCACCACCGCCGCCACCGCCGTCGGAGGCAGCGGGAGGTAGCAGCGCCCCACACTCAAACGACCACCACTCCGCAGCGCCCCCACTGCCGCCGCTACCTCCTCCTCCTGACGTCTGAAGCGACGCGTAACATCCCACCATGGCCGAACCCCAGCGGTCTGCCACGTCAGCAGGAGATGTCGGGACAGCAGCAGCAGCAGCGGCGGCGGTAGTGCTGCCACCACCGCCCGGCTTCCAAGGCCAAGACCAAAGCGCGCGACGGCGATAGGTGCTGCCGTACAGCGGAGAAGAGGGGGAGTCAACGACGGCGTGCTGTCGACCTTGCCGTGCAGCATTGTACTGCACCAATGGCGACGCCGTCGTAACCGGGGGTGTCGTACCGCCACCGTCACCGGATAACCCGAGCTTTACGCTGCAGGCATCGCCTTTGAGGCGCATGAAGAGCGGGAAGAGGGCGGGTGACCCGTGGGACGCTGGGTCGGTCTGGTTGAGCGAGGTGAGAAGGGTGCGGTTGGCGCGGCCCGACAGGAGCTGAAGGGGGGGGGACAGGGTAAAGGCGGGGAAAAGGTCATTCACAGCAATTTCACCACAGATCTCACACACCTCCACCATGCGTCACCGGTAGCATGCGTGGCGCGTGGGCCCAGTCTTAAGCCTCGTGCCCAGCCCTCTCCCGCTACCTCCCGATTACCAGCGCCAACCGCCCCGCAGGTCACTCCACATCCCCCCATGACCATGCATACCCCGCCCCGCCCCGCCCCGCCCCCTCACCTCCGCCAGCCCCCTGCGTGACGGCCCCGACAGCGGCACCACCGCGGTGGCACTGCATGCGGGTCCGCCCCGCTGCGACGCCAGGGGGGCACTCCGGAACAGCGACCAGCGGACCTGCGGGTAGTGGGGCGGGTAGCAGGGGGTACAACGGAAGCAACTAACTGACCGTGCGATGGGGGGGAGGGGGAGAGGGCGTTGCGGTTGGCCGTCCTTAGTAGCCTGCCTGCCCCTCGCTGATGAACGCCCGTCCGCACTCTTGAGAGAAAGCAACGGCTGACCATGACCTGCTTGTTTCATACGGATTCTAGATCCTAAGCGGGCACGCTACACCTGTATCCTGAGCATCAGCAAGGTCGGACGGATAATGCAAACATGTTCCGTCGGATGAACAGCTGTCGCAGCAGACTCGCCTCCAGGACCACGGGAGGGCTCTCGTCGTGCAACCAGTTGTCGCCTTCGGCATATCCCAAGACCCCTGGCTTTCCCAGTTGCCACTGCCGCCCTTGGCGCTGCTCCGGTTGTCGCCGCTGTTGCTGCTCCTGCGCTCTTCGCCGCGGCGGCACGAGCAGGTCCTGAAGCGCGCGGCGGGCTGGCGGCGAGATGTGCCACAACCGGTCGGATTCCGCGGCCATGCACACGCCCATGGCCTGTGGGCGCAGTGAGAATATATACCCCGGAGGCAAGTGACATTCAGTAGCTGTCGATAATAATGACACACACACGCCACGTACAACAGCGGCTTTCACAGCACATGCACCTAGCCAGGAGCTAGTTAGTCCGGGAACCGACCTGTACCCGCCCATCCCTCCTAGGCTTCCTGCACTCACCACCCCCGGTCTTCCGCACCTCTTCTAACTGTTTCCTGTGTGTGACGCTCATGCAAACTGAGCCATCCCCACCCCACCGCACGCCGCCCCACTACCGGTATCACGCACACCTGGTCCGGCCGGTAGCCAGCTAACGCTCGGGGCAGTCCACCTCCGCCACCTCCACTGTCTCCGCCGCCACCGCCTTCGGACGGAGGGGGCTGTGGCGGCTTCAGTGGGGGCGGCGGTGATGCCACTGCGTGCGGCGCGGGCGCAGGTCTCCCCCTTGCCTTTCCCCTCTTCCGGGACAAGGACGCGGCCGCCGCACCCACGTCGTCACCCGCTCCTGCCGCCGCCGCTTCGGCTGCTAAGACGCTGCGCCAGTAACGCTCCTCCGCCTCCTCCTCGGGCAGTGGCTGCACGGTGCCTCTGCGCATCGGGGATGCGGGGGGCGGCGGCGGCGAGGGCGGCGGCGACTGTGGTGCCGTCCATTGGAAGACGAACCGTCGGTCGCCCGATGCGAAGAGCGGGAAGCGCTGCACACTGGTGGCATCGGGCCCCCCGGAGAGCTGCGCGATGGAGATGTTGAGGTGCACGTCCTGGGTGGGGGGAGGAGGAGGGTGAGGAAATAAGAGGAGGAAGAGAGCGCGATTTAGTAGGGATACGTATATACAAGGCAGGGTTGAAACGAAGGAAAATAAGGTTTCAGACAAATTGAGCGGGATACATGCACCGTGCATGGCCCACGTACGGGACCAGGAATAGCCCTTCCTTAGTGGGCGTTCGCATTTTCGCATGTGTGGACGACTCATATTCGCATACCATCGCTCCTCTCTCGATACCGGTCGCATTGCCGGGCGCGCCGGGCCCCCACCTCGAAACACTATCCCACTGTTCGCATCCCAACCCATCCCCCCTCACACCCCCTCACACGCCCCCTTCCTCCCCGCACCTGCAGCGCCGGCACCTGGTAGGTGGGCGCTCCGGAGCTGAAGAACAGCGGCGGCAACCACAGCACCAGCAGCAACCCCGCCAGCGCTAGCACGCCCTGCGGAAGAGACACGCAGGTAGCAGCCCCACTCGCGCAGTTAGGCGCGCTGACATTGCTGCAACTGAGCTCCTAAAGCTACACACACACAGCAACAGGCCAAGTCCGCCCGCCCGCTTGCACAGGGTCCCGTCAAGTCAGCCAAGGTGACGTGCCGTACACACAAACCGGCAACCCCAGTACGTTCCGACTCGCGGCCAGTTTTCTTAACACACACACCCACACACACCCACACACCTGCAGGAACTTGCTGTATCGGGGAACTCGTTCACCTACTCGCCGATTGCGCCGGGACCTAATGGGGGAAGGGCGGAGCAAGGGCAGGACGTGAGACGCATCCCGTGGGGCGAACACGGCCACCGTAAGGCATTTCAAATATGTGTCGAACGATTTCCCAAGCGTACAACCGCCCAAGTGGAGCTAGAAGAGGGCGCGACCCATGGGTCGCTTGGGGCCTTGTTGGGACGCAGTCGGGCATGCGAGCTGCTCCTACAACGGTTTGGAGATGCGACTGCGTCTTATGTCGTACGGTAACCCTGTGTGCCGCACTAGGCTTGCCCTTTCTCCTCCCTCGGGAGGCCGCACAGAGATGTGTGCCAGCCTGCAAACACGTGCCTTTGTTACCGCTGTTGGCTGTTGCTGTTGTTGCTGGCTCGCACACCCTTCGCGTGTCAGCCCCGCCCCGTCCCCGCCCCCCCCCCCGGCCCTCCACTCAACTGGTTCCTGCACGACGCCACGAACAGCGAGGAGTGGATGTCCTCCAGCTTCAGCCAGCAGTACCAGTCCAGTGAGGTGCTTACACACGTCCAGTCCAGCAGCGAGCGGATCTCGTACAGGAAGGGAACTGCGGGGGCGCGGCAGTGGCAGCAGTGCAGAGCAGAGCGGTGTAGGGGAGCATGGGAGGGGGTGTGGGGGCCGCGCAGGCAGGTGTGAAAAGCCAGCCGGGTGGCAAACCGGACTGCAGGGATCTGTTGGCTAAAAAGCGGACAGCTCGTGGTGTGCCTGATCCTACAGTAACGTGGCGATTGTGGTATTGTACAAGTTGTAACGACTCACGGCTGTAAAACACATTGAAGGCCAGGTTGTGCGCCCAGTCGGGTCGCCGGTAGAAGAACGAGGAGTGCCGCCCCCCGCCCGAGGGTCCCGGGGCACTCAGCGGCGGGTAGCCGTCCCGCAGCTGCAAGCCGCCCAGGCAGAACCCCAAACACCGCAGCAGCAGGAACACCCGCAAGTGCTGTCGTACACCGGAGGCCGCCACCGCCGCTCCCGTGCTTGCACCGCTGCTGCCGCCACCGCTGACTGCGAATCCCTCCGCCGCCAGGGATGCCCAGTAGGCTCTCAGACACCAGCCCAGTACGACGGCCTGCGAGGTGAGGTGCAGTGCCATCTTGGCGGCGGGCAGCCCCAGCATGTAGACGGCTCGCTCTGAAACCATGAGGGCGAACAGCAGCATGAGCGCGGCCAGGTAGTCCAGAGGCACCCTGGGGGGGAGCGGGGCGGCAGCAGGGCCGGTGGGGGCGTGTGCATGGTGTGTGGTGCTTGTTGAGTGTGGTGAGCATTGGTGGTAAGCTGATGAATGTGGAGGAATTGTGTGTATGGGGGTTCGAGCGTGGCTGGGCAGATAGGAGATAGCAGCATTGATGCGGATCTGTAGCTACATGGGGGCATGCAGGGGGGTTACCAGGAAGGTTAAGGCGTTAATGGATGTTTACAGGTTTGGAGATGCATCACTGTCCAGTAGACAGTGTCCACACAGTCCTCACCTGCGATCCGCGTCCGTGATGTCCGCCAGGCTGCGTGCCGACGACACCACCAGCTGATAGAACACCATGGCATACATGAAGGAAACCAGGTCCAGGAAGGCTGTAGCAGCGTACAGGTCGCGAGGCGGCTGGCTGTAGCACTCCACGGAATGCAGCGGCGGCAGGCCGCCGGCGGGCTCCGTGATGTGGAGCTCGGGCGGAGGCGGCGGCGGGGGTGGCGGGGGTGACGGAGGTGGCGGCAAAGCGGTAATGGAAGCGTCGGAGCCGCTGCCGTGGCGGCGATGGTGGTGTGGGCGCTGGCGGCGGCGCAGGCCGGCACCCTCACCGTCGCCGCCGTCGCCGCCGCCGCCGCCGCTACCGTGGCGGCTTGCCGGCGGCGAGGGCGCAGTAACGTCGCTGTCATTGTCGTCTGCTGCTGCCGACATGGACGCCAGGCTGGCATATGACTGTTGGAGCGGGATGGCAGCGGAGGCCGGTGCCTCCACCTCCGCCCCCGTCGCAGCGGGGGGAGTACGGCGGAACGCCGGCACGGATAGGCTCGCAAGCCGCTGCCTGCGGACGTAACGTTCAGCCCGAACTTAAACAAGCTACATAAGTGTACCATGGGAAGCATATACATCATGCCGCATAGCATCCCTTCTTGCACGGTGGAAACCCCCACCTGGAAAGCACTTCCGCCGCCAGTCGAAGCGCCGCAGCCACGTCACGTGCCGGTGTCGGGCTAACACCCGACGGCCCGCCGCCGCCGCTGCTGGGGCCGCCCTCGCCGCCTGCCGTCGGCATTGCCGCCGCCGACGTCAGCGGCGTCGCCGGCACGACAACCTCCAGCAGCATGTGCAGTACGGCACCTCCCGATGCGACGGCATCGTGTTGCAGTCGCAGCTGGGGAAGCACGTAGCTGGCCAGCCGAACAGCGACGTCGGCGTCGGCGGTGTCGGGACCTGATCCAGCGCCGCTGCCGCCGCCACGGCCGCTTTGGGCAACACCGCCACCGTCACCCCTCCGTTCAACGGCTTCGGCGCTTTCGTCCTCCTCCTGCAGAGGCAGAGCCCAATCTTGTTAGTAAGCAGAAAGGAACGGAAGTACAGAAACGTTGAGCGGAAGAAACACAAAAAACATAGTATGCGCACGTGGGGCCCAGCGACGGCTTTCCCCTCACCTGCAGGAAGCTCCTCAGCTGCCCCCGCCAGCGCTCCTCCTCCATGCGCGCATGTCGTACTTCCTGCCCGTACTCGTGTACGGTTTCCAACATGCGCTGTAATGCCCCAACTAAGCGAGGACCTCGAAGAACTGATGGCGGCAGCGGCGGCGGCGGCAGGGATGGCTGCCGGATTGCCTCTTCCGCTGCCGCTGCCGCCGACGCCGCCGCCGATGCTCTTTCAGTGTCCTCAGCCTCGCCTGGCGGCGGAAGCAGCGCCGCCGGCGAGACGACTGACGACGGCGGCGGCGTAAATGACGTTAGCGGCGCCGGCGAAGGGGGCAGCGCCGCCGCCGGCGGCGGTCGCGGCGGCAAGCCAGCCGCGCCTCTGGGCGAGGTACCGTCACCGCCAGCGCCGACGGCGGAACCCAGGGCTGCTGGTGTAGGAGTCGGCGGCTGTGACCGCCCGCGCTGTGGCTGCTGCTGCTGCAGCTGCGGCGGCAACTGCAGCTGCAGTTTGACCCAATGGGGTTCGGTTTCGTGGTCCGTACTCACCAGCCTGCAAACAAAGGCGACCAACCGGTGCCACCCAGCGCGAGAAGACACACTGTGTGTTAAAATAACTGGCCGCGAAGAGAAACGTACTGTGATTGCCGAAAGATGAAGTGTAAACAACGTCACATGGAATGCACGGATGGCCAGCACGAAATTGTTTCCCTATTTCAACCAACATCAGACTACCCGGTACCCCTTGAGCTGTCAGCACACGAGCCACGGGCGTCACGACTGACCCATGGGACACACGGGACCAACCCGCCCTTCCTTACTTGTACACGCCCAGAAGATGTGAGACCAGTGCCCAGCCCGCCGCCAAACCCTGCTGCAACCACTCCTGCAGGCGCTGAAACGACAGCCAGGGCGGCTGCTGGCGCTGCTGGAGTTGATGCTGCTGTGGAGGAGATCGTAGCGGCTGGGAGTGTGCCGAGGTATGCTGCCCCAGGCCGCGCCCGCCACTGCCACTCACTGCAGCTGGGGCAGCAGAGGCAGAGGTTGTACTTGGTGTTGTACCAGCTGCTGCTGCTGCTGCTGCTGCTGCTACGGCCGCATACACGCTGTCTAGGCTGTAGCTGTGCATGAGTGTTGCTAGGTAGCATAGGAAGAGCGGTAGCGCCCGGAAGGGGTCGGAGTGGAGACCCAGGACCTGTGAATTTTAAAGCGGGCACAGACAGCAAGGGGCGATTACAAATGACATGTGCTGATGTTTCTTTGCATTCGTAGGCGTGGGAATAAAGGGAACCGTAGGGGTGCGCTGTCGTACCTTGATGCGGAACAGGAAGTCGCGGCGTCCGAACACCCAGATGCAGCTGCTGCCCGTGTCACCAGCGCCTGCCGCCCCGCCCCCGCCGCCGCCGCTTCCAGTGACGCACAGGCACTTTCCGAGGACCAGGTAGGAGTACTGCAGGATGAGTAAGGTCTCCACGTACAACAGAGCGCCCTGCGTAAAAGAAAGCGTGTGCGGCGCAGTCAGAGCTGTAGGCAGGTAGAGCGGTAGGCAGGCAGGCAGGTAGAGCTGTAGGCAGGCAGGCAGGTAGAGCTGTAGGCAGGCAGGCAGGTAGAGCTGTAGGCAGGCAGGCAGGTAGAGCTGTAGGCAGGCAGGCAGGTAGAGCTGTAGGCAGGCAGGCAGGTAGAGCTGTAGGCAGGCAGGCAGGTAGAGCTGTAGGCAGGCAGGCAGGTAGAGCTGTAGGCAGGCAGGCAGGTAGAGCTGTAGGCAGGCAGGCAGGTAGAGCTGTAGGCAGGCAGGCAGGTAGAGCTGTAGGCAGGCAGGCAGGTAGAGCTGTAGGCAGGCAGGCAGGTAGAGCTGTAGGCAGGCAGGCAGGTAGAGCTGTAGGCAGGCAGGCAGGTAGAGCTGTAGGCAGGCAGGCAGGTAGAGCTGTAGGCAGGCAGGCAGGTAGAGCTGTAGGCAGGCAGGCAGGTAGAGCTGTAGGCAGGCAGGCAGGTAGAGCTGTAGGCAGGCAGGCAGGTAGAGCTGTAGGCAGGCAGGCAGGTAGAGCTGTAGGCAGGCAGGCAGGTAGAGCTGTAGGCAGGCAGGCAGGTAGAGCTGTAGGCAGGCAGGCAGGTAGAGCTGTAGGCAGGCAGGCAGGTAGAGCTGTAGGCAGGCAGGCAGGTAGAGCTGTAGGCAGGCAGGCAGGTAGAGCTGTAGGCAGGCAGGCAGGTAGAGCTGTAGGCAGGCAGGCAGGTAGAGCTGTAGGCAGGCAGGCAGGTAGAGCTGTAGGCAGGCAGGCAGGTAGAGCTGTAGGCAGGCAGGCAGGTAGAGCTGTAGGCAGGCAGGCAGGTAGAGCTGTAGGCAGGCAGGCAGGTAGAGCTGTAGGCAGGCAGGCAGGTAGAGCTGTAGGCAGGCAGGCAGGTAGAGCTGTAGGCAGGCAGGCAGGTAGAGCTGTAGGCAGGCAGGCAGGTAGAGCTGTAGGCAGGCAGGCAGGTAGAGCTGTAGGCAGGCAGGCAGGTAGAGCTGTAGGCAGGCAGGCAGGTAGAGCTGTAGGCAGGCAGGCAGGTAGAGCTGTAGGCAGGCAGGCAGGTAGAGCTGTAGGCAGGCAGGCAGGTAGAGCTGTAGGCAGGCAGGCAGGTAGAGCTGTAGGCAGGCAGGCAGGTAGAGCTGTAGGCAGGCAGGCAGGTAGAGCTGTAGGCAGGCAGGCAGGTAGAGCTGTAGGCAGGCAGGCAGGTAGAGCTGTAGGCAGGCAGGCAGGTAGAGCTGTAGGCAGGCAGGCAGGTAGAGCTGTAGGCAGGCAGGCAGGTAGAGCTGTAGGCAGGCAGGCAGGTAGAGCTGTAGGCAGGCAGAGCTGACGGGTCCCTTGCAACGTACTGTTGACCCACCAAACGTACGTTAACATGCGCCACCATTGCCGTACACATTGCCGTTTACATTGCCGTACCTGCCAGTACTGCCGTGGCTTGTGATGCAGTAGCAGTGCGTACATGAACATCGACAGCGGCAACACCGCCGACAGCGCCGTCATGTCTACCAGGAACAAGGCCAGAAAGGCGGCGTAACAAACGTACGAATCGTCCTCGTGGCGGCGCCGGGACGCCGCTGCAAGCAGCGGCGCCACTAGCTTGCCGTATAGCCGTACCAGTAGCGGCGGCCAGGACAGATTCCGCCGCCGCCGGTGATGCGGAGCTGCTAATGCGGCGGCGGCGGCGCCGTCGCTCCTTGCGAAGGCGGAGGATGCAGCTGCCTTCCGTGTTGTGGTGGAAGCCAAAGGCTGTATTTCTGATGCAGATTCCATCGTATCATGGCCGTCGTCGTCACGGCGACGGCCGCCGCTGCCGCTGACGGCCGCTTCGCCGCCGTACGAGTACGGCCCAAACGCCTCCGCCGACGCGTGACGGCGATGTACGGAATCCGCTGCTGTGCCGCCGCTTCGTTGACGTCCATAAGGCCCCGCCGCCTCAGCCGAGGGGCGCTGCAGGAACCCGGCGCCGGCGCTGCCGCCGGCGCCGCCGCCAGGTGAGGATCCAAGCGGCGCCGTCGCCACGTCGGACGAGTCAGAATCCAGCTCGTCCAGATCCGCGTGCGAGCGAGTACGACGACCGGACAGAGATCGGGTGACAGCGGGTGTGGCGCCAGCTAGACTCAACCCCTCGGCATAGCTGGCGGCGCGCTCCTGTGATGCAGGATAGTAAATTCGTTTGGCAAGTGCATCAGGTGCATCAGGACCAATGAGGGGCAATAGTAACGCCTTGTTCACTGACACCTCCCCGCGCAGCATCCTCCTCCACGCTTCCAACCGCCCACTACCATACCTGAGCACTAAGGCCGCTACCGCTGCCGCCGCCCTCGCCAGCCGCCATGTCCCACGTCACTCGGCTGCTGCCGCCGTTCCCGCTCCCGCCAGCCTGCGGCGGCGGCGCTTCACCGCTGGCCGCCGCCGCCGCCGCCACGCCGGCCAGGTCGACGTCGGCGTCAAGCAGCTCCGCCAGTCCGGCTACCATGGGGCCGCCGCCAGGGGCCAGCAGCAGACCTCTGACGCCGCCAGCACCGCCGCCGCCTCTGCCGCCCACCCGGGTGCGGTCGGTCACATTTCCGGCGGCGGCCTCGCCTGTAACGTACAACAGGAAAGGTTAACCCATGCGACATGCTGCATTTACCGGGTATGGGACTAGGACGGGACCAGGAACGGGTATTCAGCTTGTGCAGTAGCCGACTAGTCGCCAAGCAGCCCTTTCCGAAGTCGCTTTACCGCCATGAATCGGTGTTCCTACCAGGATTCACCACCCGCAGCCTCAAAGACGATGAGTGTAGACATCTTCCACCCTCGTTCAGGTCCCCTTCCCCTTCCCTCCGTCCCTCCGCCGTCATTTTACTTGCCTGGTGACAAAAGCAGCGCCTTCAGCTTCGCAATCCTCCGCTCTCGTACGGCACGTGCATGACTCGCCGCCAGTGCGCCGCGCGCCGCCGCCTCGCGCTCGTCTCGTACGGCACGCCGCAGCGCCGCCACATGCCGTTGTTGCGCCGCCGCCTCCACTCGTGTCACCGCCGCCAGCAGCGGCGAGCGAAGCAATCTGACGTACAGCCGCAACAGCAACCACACCAGCAGGTCCGCAACGACGGGTGAGTTGAGTAGCGCCGTCCAGGGGCCCCAGACGCTACCGCTAACGCCTCCGCTAGCTGCCGTACTGTCCGCCACCGTTGTGCCGTACAACAGTCCGTGGTGGTGATGGCCGTCGTCGCCTCCGCCGCCTGGCTGCTGCTGCTCAGCTCTTCCGGGTTGCAGCTGGCAGAGTCCCACGAGACGAGGGAAGGTGCAGGCGGGCGTTGTGGCGGCGCCTCCCTCGGGTGAGGAGGTGGCGAAGGCGCAGGGGAGGGCCCAGCCCTGGCCCAGCAGCAGCTCCCAAGGCGCCTGTGGGGACGGACAGCCATGGGAGCGTGGGTGGAGAATACCGGTAGAGTCCAAACATAACGGGCCGCATTACCGGTATAGCTTGGGGGCTTCCTTCCTAGCCCCGCTAACCCAGTAAGCATGTTAAGGAAGGAACCTTCGAAAGCGAAAACAGTGCAACGTTAACCACTTACCACTCTAAAAACCCTAAAACCCTAGCCAACCTGGAACACGCCCTCCAGCAGCAGCACCAGGTAGTTGAACACCACCAGCCGACCAAACAGCGCAAGACCGCCGCCGCCGCCGCCAGCACCGCTGCCCGCCCTTCCTCCGCCGCCGCCGCCGTACGGTCGTGCCAACTCGTTCCGCCGGCGGAAGAGCAGCAAGCAGTGCGCCAGGTAGCCGGCACGAAGCAGGTCGCGTTGTACGGCAACGAGCGCCACGAGGGCGATGAGGAGCATGTCGGCGGAGTGGAGAACCTGGAGAGAGGTTTCGGAGCAGGAAGGGACAGGAAAACGCGCAATGAGTGTCGTAGCATTGTGCGCGGCAATAGATTGGAACAATTTGTAATTCCTGAGGCAGGCAAGGAGCTGGAAAATGCCTGGTACCAGTGTACTGAACACTAGATGATGCTTCTTGCTGCTGGGAAGAACCAAATACGGTAGCCAGACGCAAAGAAGAACGGTCCGCCGTACCATGTGATATCGTGCCCAGTCCAGAACTCCCCAGTATGACTGAGCCCAGGCCTCCACGGGAGAAAATAGGAATGTACGGCAGACGCCGCGGTCACCGCCGTCGCTACCAGCAGCAGCATCCTTGCCACCGCCGCCGCCGCCGTCACCAGCTGAGCCCCCAAGCTGTCGTTGAGGCTCAGCCGCACCAGCGGCGGACCGTTGCGGCGACAACAATGGGGCTTCCAGGTCGTTTGTGCCGGCGTCCTCCGACGTCGTAAATGGCCCGAATGAGAACCACCGCTGTCGCCGCCGCCAGAACCCGCCGTTGCGTCTTCCACGGGGCGCTGTCGCCGCCGCCGCGGTCGGCGGTGGTGTTGACGGCGGCGTTGGCGGCGGCAGAGCACTCTGCTGCTGCTGTTGACTGAGCTCACAGTTCGCCTGCAGAAATGGAAGAGAAGCACCGGGGGTAAGACAGCATACCCAGAAGAACATGTCTAAAACAGGTGAAAATGGTTGCACGGGGAGACTCCAACGGCTCATCCAGAGAGCAAAGTGCACGTAAGGATCGACCGGCAACGGTCGGCAGCTGCATCACTGGTTCGCGGCAGGAGCCACACATACCACCGCCCCCACAAGGGGTAGCCCCTGTCAAGTCCACCCATGTCGGCATGCACCGTATTCATCCACACGTCGCCCAACCACCCAACACACACCTGCATCAAACACGCTGCCAGGGCTCCAAACAGCGTCCACAGCAGCAGAGGCCCGACGCCCTGGAGGCCCAGCCAGGCCGCCAATGCAGGCGGCAGGCGCATCCACTCCGCAGCCGTTTCCGGCAGGTGCGGCGACCCATGGGTCCGCGTGTCTGCCGGCGGCTCTCCAAACACCGGGAGCAGCAGCAGCCGCGGCAAGCCAACCCATGCAGCGTACTCGTACATTAGGACGATGCCGAGGACGGGAAGCACGACGTAGCGTCGGAGGGCGGCTTGCTTGGTGGGCCTGCCGTATGGCAAGGGAAGACACCACGGCGCAAGCAAACCGGTCGGAGTTGTACGGCGTCAGGGCTAGAACCGCATGAGTAACACCAACACCTGTCACACGGGAGATTAGGAGGCACGCGCAGGTAGCAGGAGCTCTATCACCGTCTAACAACACGCCAGCCAGATGCCCGCTACATCCGCCCGGACTGCTCTCCCCATTCACCCATGCTCCCCCCATGCCCATCCCGTGCCTCCCGCTCACCCGACAGCCATGCCCGCTCCCACCGCCGCCAGCAGCAGCAGTGTCACCACACTAGCCGCAGTAAAAGCTGCCAGCAGTAACGCCAACAGAGCCACCTCGCAACCCCAAGCAGCCCAGGCGCCCTCCCAAGCCTCCATGCAGCCCCGAACCACCAGTCGCACAAAAAGCAACCAGTCTGCTGCAAGACCGCCGCCGCCGCCGGCAGCAGCAGCGTCGTCGTCATCGCCGCCACCATTCCCTCCGTCGTACGCCACGCTAACAGCGCCTGTGCCAACTCCGGCGGCGTCGCGTCTGTAAGCTGGAAGGGGCGACAGCGGCGGTGGTGCCGCCGCCTTTGCGCCCAACGGCCGACGTTGGCGCCGCCGTCGGTGCTCTTCCTCAGTTGGTGTGCTGCTGTCATCGCCGTTACCATCGTTGGCGGCGTCACTGGTGGTTGGTACGAGCTCGTCGGCAGGTACATCCATTGCCTGTGCCGTACACGTGAAAGAAACGCCAATGTAAACACCGCCCTAGTAGATGTGAGCAAGTCGACATGTGTGTCATAGGAGCGGTAGACTGCTCCCGTTAACCCTTCTGTAGTTCTTTTGTTCGTATCGGTGGAAACACCAAGCACATAATTGTTAGCAGCAGCTAACCTTTCTACAAAGTGAAAGACTTACGCCTCCGTGACTGTGCTCTTCGCCGCACCCCCCCTTCAGTAAGCCATTTTCAGCACGCGTGCATGCCTACAAAATTAGCCGCGCGTCTGGTTCGCACCTTAAGGACATCGTACGCTCCTCGACCCAATCGAGAGACAGCCTACGAAAAGGGTAAAGGCCACAGCAGCAGCAGTCATAAAGAGGAATGATAGCGGCAGCAAGAAATGAAGCCCACGGCGACGTGGCAACTCCACAATTCAAAATTGTTTAAACCCGTCACGCCATCACACACCTTATTGACTAGGCTTGCTACTGGCGCTATGGCTCTTCGCACGGCCCGCTGCAGGGGCGCGCGAGGGCCCAGCCACGGCAGTACGGCGGCGTCAGGGCGGTTGTGCGGCGGTGGCCAGAACAGGCAACACGGCTGGCCGGGTGCTGCGGCCGCTCGGACCTCGGCAGGCAACTTGGATCGCCACCTGGATAAGCGGAACAGTTGTGCCATGGCCCAACATTGAATCTAATTGCCATCATATACCGTATCGTAGATGGAAGTCAGGGAGCCCAGTCGTACATTTCCTAGCGAGGTGTGCCACAGCCTGGAAACTGAAGCACGTCGGCGGGTCGACCCAGAACCCATGCACATGTGTAGAAGCCCACTGCCCGTGCCAGTACAAACCGAAACCGCCTACAAATGTCGCTCTGCTCGCCCACCTGCGTGCCTTGCCCCGCAGCGCCAGCGCCACCAGCGTCAGCACCTGCAACAACAGACGGCGGCGGAGGCCAGGAGTTGCCGTACACCCTATCTCCCTGTCGCCGCTGCCGCCGCTGTCCACTCCTACTGTCGCCGCCGCCGCCACCCAAAGCAGCACCCTGCGTAGCGCTGACCGTGCGACACCCGCAATGGCGCCGCCGCTTGCATCCGCCCCAAGCGCTGTGTACGACAGCAAGGATGATGGAGGCGCCGGCAATGCCGTACCGTTCGTTACTTCGCACCGCGGCAGGCCCAGCCAATCGAAGATGACAGCCAAGCTCCAAGGAGCAAACCCGCCGTCTGAGCCGCCGCCGGCAGTGTCGTCGTACGGCGGCGACAGAGCTCGTACCCACACAGCCACGACCTCCAGCTGCATGGTGTACGTCACGAGCAGCCACGCCGCCAGCAGGAACTGCGCGGCGGTGAAGAAGCCGGCGGCGGCGGTAGTGTCAGCGATACGTGTGGCGCCGCTCTTCCGCCAGCTGCTGCCGCCGCCAGCGGAATCCGCTGTGCCCCTAACCTGAGCCGCTAACACTCTGCCACTGGATGTCTTCTGCCGCGTACGACGCTGCCCCTCTTCATCTTCTTCGCCAGTCCAGTCCTCTTCCTCGAGCACCGCCGCCGCCGTCGCTGGTGTTTCCACCGCCATTCCAACCTCTTCATGGACACTGCCGCTAGCTGTACGACGTACGCCAACGCCGTCACGTGCAGCAGCAGCAGCGGCGGCGGCGGCGGCACGCCAGGTGGCTGCAATGATGACGGCAACACCCGCCGCCAGCAGCGCTACGGACAACGCTCCAGGGGAGGCCATGAGGGTTGCAAACAGCAGTACGACAGTTACCAAGTCGATGTTCAGGATGATGCAGCGCTTGACCAACCAGGCGGTCGACTGCTGGCGGAGCAGCCGCCGCTGCCGTACAGCGGCCGCCGTCAGCACCGCCGCCGCCGCTAGCGTGGTGGTCGAGATGGTTGCAGACCCACTGGGCGCCGTCGCCGCTGCCGTCGTCGGAAGTGTCGCCGTCGTCGTCCCTGCCGGAAGGGGTGCCGCACTCAGCGTCGGCGTTGACGTCAGCGGCGCCGCCAGGGATGACGCCGCCGTCAGGTCCTCGCCGCCGCTGGACCTCTGTCGCCATCTGCTGACGACGGCGGCGGCAAATGCCCACCTACGACACCGCATGCAACGACAACAGGCTGGACTTCAACAACTTGCGTCAGGGCCCCAGATGCCAGGTGCCACCGCTGGCTGCCTATATCGGCACTGCATGCTCAACACCGCTGCTCCCAGAGAATCCCGACATTACCGGTACTTGCTTGTTCCATTGCGCCATCCTTTCCTACCCACCTGTACAGCTGCAGTACCAGCAACACCACTGACGGCCGGGCCAGCGCCAGCACCAGCCGCCCCCCCGGCAGCTCCGGAGGACCGCCGTACAACAGAATGACAAGGTGTTGCCACGTGTACCACCACCCTGGTGCCGTACCGCCATCCGCTGCCGCCAAAGGAGGCTGCGGGGGCGGCCATAGTCCTCCTTGCCAACCGGGATTGGCATTGCTGTCGCCGCCGCCGCCGTCGCCTTCAGGGTTGCCGTATACCGCAAGCATGGCGGCGGCGTACGACATACACAGGTCGGTGGCGCCGTACAAGGCAAGCGCCGCCGGTCCCAGCCACCGGGCGTTAGCTGCGAAGCAAGTGGAGCAAGAGGAGCTGGAGAGGTAGAGGTGCGGCTGGGATTGGCTTGGTTGGCGTCGTGAGCTGAGGGTTGGTTGGAAGGAAAGGGTAATGTGAGAGGATCGAGGGTGATGGGTTGTTATGGTAGGTACTGAAGTGCAGCAATAAAGGAACAAACCTATCAGGAACAGCTACTCGAACTCGGATCTCAGGTTTCAAGTTCAATGCAGCAGTGAAAAGCGTCCCTTGCATGGAAACGAGTACCGGTAAGCAAGCCCTACCTGTGATGGCTCAACCTCAATCGCGCCAGGTACTGTCCTCGCAGAGGCGGCGCCAGCAGCAGCGGCAGCCCCAACGCCAGATATCCCAGCCCCGCCACCCCCACGCGCATGTCGTACAACGCCATGCCGTACGACAAAAGCGCAACCAATAAACCGCCAACTGACGACACCACACTGCCAAGCCATGATCCAAGTACGATAAGCCATCCCATGACACGTGGCGGCGCTGCTGCCGCACTCGTCACCGCCGACGGCGGCGACGGCACGGCAGTAACGGCTGCCGTCGGCGCCGCCGCCGCCGCCGCCGTCAGCACCTTTCCGGCGACGGCATGCACTGTCGCCAGTACCAGAGCCCCCAGCAGCGGCAGGCAGTCCCGGGTCCGGGCAGGGTCCCAGAGGCCCACGAGCTGCAGCACGTCGCGCCACTGCTCCCGTTGCAGCAGCCCCAAGCCCGGCAGCTGGTCGCACATGGCAGCGTACAGGGCTAGAAGGTGAAGCGACGCGTAAAGCCGCAAGCGCCGGTGTGCAGGCGGCGCCGCCGGTAGTGGAGGCGGCAGCGGCGAAGGAGCGACGGCAGCGGCCGTAGACCTATCCAATCTGTCAGTGGCGGATGCGCCGCCGCCCGAAACGTCATCAGCGACGTCCTTTTCGTATTCAGAGATGTCGGGTAGGACCCGAGCGACCCGTGGGTCGGGACTGAGTCGCAGCGCCGTTCCTCCGCAGTACAGCAGCACCCACAGCATGTAGACGCCGTGCAGGAGGTCGAGTCTGTACGACCCCAGCAGGATGCAACTGATCGGTACGAACACGTGAAGCATGTGATACAGAGCGAGCAGCATGGTTAGCCTCCAAGGTCCCATGGACCCGCTGTCACCACCGCTGAGGTGAACGCCACTAACTCCGACATCGGCCGCCGCTGCTGCGCCAGCGGAAACCATCCCTCCGTAACGGTTGGGGTGGGTGCTGATGCTGCTGCCGCCCTCATCATCGCTGCTGCCGCTGCTGCTACGGCTGCGGGCGAGTCCCGCCATGGCAATGATAGCCAAGGCCTGACCAGCTAGTGGTAGTACGACAGGCGGGGGACTTTCGTACATGAAGAGGCCGAGTGAGTGAAGTACGGGAGGGAGAAGATGCGGGTACGACGATGACAGGCACGTGATGACGTAGACTGCCGTATTCCAGGTGAGGAGCAAGAATGTGAGCATGGGGCTGCACCGCCGTAGCATTTGGCGTCCGTACCTGTGGGGTAATTTTGAAAGCAGGGATAATGATATACGTAAAGTATGCTTGCACAAAGCGCTTGATCAAACACATGAATGGACAGGGTTTACGCGGTCGGAGGTACGGCAATGAGCATCGCCAACGTAGCCATTTTCGGCAGTACGACTGGTATGCCAAATCATTTTTTGGAGTTAAAACTCCTCAACAATTAACGGCCCCAAACCCTACCTCCCATGTACCGTGGCCCCGTCTTCCATGCTCACTTTTCAATTAGTCCCCTCTTCCCCCATGGTAGAGCTTTGTCAAACGGTTAGTTGGTTTCTTCAATTTCATTCGCCGCCCCCCACCTGCTATTTTCCAGCCTAATGCGGAATATGTATCCCTATTTGCCCCCACCTGCTCGGCGCCAGCAGTGTCCACATGCCCAGCACCAGCAACACCCCGCCCACCACCGACACCTCCACCATGCTAAGACACGCCAGCGCAACCGCGGCGACGGCGGGGTGGCGGCACAGACCCGCAGTCGCGGCCGCGGCGCGCTCCGCTGCACGCGCCGCCGTCAGCGCAGCGGTGTCGCCGCCGGGGTGCCGGGAGTGGTGGTGATGCCAGGACTCCTGGTGCCGGGACTGTTCGTGAGCCTGGTGGTGTTCGTGATGTGACTTGCGAATGTGGACGCCGTGCGGGTGGTGCTGCGGGTGCTGCTGCCCATGCCGGGGCTCTGCAAGCGCTTCGGTACCGCCGCCGGGGCCTTGGGAAGCAAAGGGCTCCGGAGCAGGCTGTGACGATGATGGTCCTGGCTGTAGAGACGGCGGCGGTGGAACCTGCGGCGCCGCCGCCGCTGCCGCCGCTGCTGCCGTATGCTCTCGGGGGGGTGCATCAGCAGGGCTCGCTTCGCGCCGACGCGCGCCCTCCGATGGCGCTGACTCATGTGTCACATGACGCCGCTGCTCCCTTCGGCGGCGCCGCCAGAACTCCTTCGTCGCCGCCGCCGCTGCCGCGAAGCCGAGTGCGCCGTACAGCGCCGTCAGCGCCGCCAGATGCAGCAACTGCGGTACACTGTCGTACAACGGTACTGCAGAAGGCTGGATTCGGTACAAGCCCAGGGCATGTGCGGGACGTGAAATGTACGGCGGCCAAACATCGGCGGGCTGCAGCTGCCAGCCGTACAGTACGGCAAGGCACAGGCCGCAGTACAACTGCCACATGCGCAGTAGCGGCGCGTGTGCCGCAGTTGGAACGCCTCGCCGCAGCGCCCACGCTGCCACCGCTCCAGACGCCAGCAGCAGCCAAGGCAGGTTGAACACTGCAGGCCACAAGAGCGCCGCCAGCACGATAAGCACCCCAGCGGCGGCGGGTGCGGCGGAGGCGGGCGAAGACCCATGCCGCCGGCCGCCGCCGCTGACAATGCCAGGGCCGCTTCCCGTGGCACCGGTAATACGGCCTCCGCTGCCGCCGCCGTCGCCAGCGCTCGCATGCCCCGCATCCACAATCCCGCCTTGGCTACGAACACGACGGGCGCCGCCGTTGCTGCTGCTGTTGCTGCTACTGCCGCCGCCACTTCCAGAGCAGTGAGCGATGTAGGCGTCCTGCGCCTCCGCAAACGCTGCGAATATGGCGAGCAGCGGCGGACCCAGCACCTGAGAGGCGAGGGCGTGAGAGGTGTAGAGGATGCCAGCGCGAAGCCAAAGAGGCGAAGAGGAAGAGGCAAGGCTTTCGGAACGCGCACACCGCTCTCCATACAACGGCTGCCTCTCCCAATATACCGGTAGTAGACATCTCCTTCCCCCATCTGTTCCCTCCCTTCCCTTCCCTTCTCTTTCCCATCAGCACTACCGCCGGCTGGCCCGCATCACCACCTCCCCTCCCCTCCCATCCCCTCACCCACCAGCAGCAGCTCCCCCAAGCCGCACTGCTGCAGGTCCCGCAGCCCCAGCAGCCGCCACAGCAGCGACTGAGGTGCCGCGCCCGGCCCCACCGCCCCCGCTGAGGCCAGCAGCGGCAGCAGCAGCTGCAGCAGCAGCAGGACGCATGAGAGGGCTGCAGCCGCGGACCACAGGGCGAGGGCTGCGAGGGCGGAGGCAGCGGTGGTGGTGGCGGCGGCGGGCCGTGCTGAGGGGGCAGATGCCCAGCGCGTGCCGGCAGTGATGGGGCGAGTGGCTAGGAGGCCCCATAGCAGGAAGAGGCCTAGGAATGAGGCGCCTGCGTTGGATGAACGGGTGAAGGAGGAAGTGGAAGTGGGAGACGGGTGGGGGGTGGTAGGGAATGGCGTCACAACGCGAAGTGGCTGACAAGAGGAGAAGAATTATGCAGAGCGGGACTCTTCCTGGCATGGTTGGTGGTAGCATATGACATTCCTCAAACACAGGTGACGTTTCGGGAGAAGCTGAGAAGGGTCGCTTTAAAGGCGGGTAAAGCTACCGCATGCTCGGGCGTGACAGTTACCCCCTTACCCGCTGGACTGGGGTTTGTATACGCCTCCAATGCCAAAGCCGCCGCCCCCAGCAGCGCCCTACGCGTTATCTGCCGCATTGTTATATTTCTCGGACTAAATTTCTCGGCTAGCGGCGTTTGCCAAGCGTCAGGATGTCCAAGTGACTGCACATTGGATGGCCATCCCTTGCGTCCTAAAGGCCATTGGCTATCCAGGCTAGGTGGCCATATCTAAAGCCTATGATCGCGCTTCTTCCTTCACGCTGTACAGCGACAGCCGTGAGTGCGCCGTGGTGTCCGCGATGTTGTATCCCTTTCCACAAAAAAAGTGCTGCCCGCCAACTTTAGAGCTTTAACCATGCGTGAAATCCTTATCATCTGCAGTGAAGGCATCTAACGCTATGTCCAACGGCTCAAGTTGCACTTTAGTTGGCAAGCGGCGTTGACCATCCACATTCAAGACGCAGGATGGTACAGGTGTATAATGGCTACTTCAATACTAACTGTGTGCTTCCTTGAGCGGATGGCACGTGATACGTTGGCACTTCATACGATGCTAGATGCTAGCTACGATTTCCGTCCATACAGCCAACCACCTAGTGCACACTCTTTTATTAAGCATACACTACGCATTGTTCATTGTTCATGATAGAGAGGCCACCAACAGGCGGTCCCGCGGGTCAACTCCTTTCAGCCGGGAAGGTAGACGCCCACGTTGACGTAGTCGACGACACATGCAGACACAGACGGTTTGTCACGTGTCTGCCTTGAATTGCCTATATATCACAGTCGGTTGCGCTTGGCTACAGCGCCATGCACATGCGCAGGCGTATGAAATGAGGCTTGGCTGTCTACCCTTGCAAACAGACAGCACAATGCGCAATCACGGTGCCACGTGCTGCGACGACGAATCGCGGCGTCATTTACCTGCGACTTAGCAGCATGCAATTAAGAAACAAGTATGAGCACTCGGAAGCATCGTGCGTCATGCCGAACCCGAAAGCTAGCTTACAGCGTTTCTTACAGGGGAACCTGAAAATACGGACAAGGTCCGACTGGGACCGCCGATCGCGCGATGCGAAGCGAAAAGCTACGGAAGCAACAGCGAAGCTTCACCATTCTGCTATAAATCCCATCACGCCACCGCTATAATCACAACTTGTTAGTCAGGTACAACACATCCTTGATACGTGCACTTGCACAAGAGCACACGCACCTCGACCCCAAGCAACCCCTTCGTAATCAGACGTACACAGCGGCCAAGCCAAGCCCTCATCACCTTATCCGTCTCCATCCATGAAGACCACAAGCCGCATCATGGCCTGCGCCGCCCTCCTCCTGCTGACGCTGCTAGTCGCGCCCCCTGCTGCCCACGCTTCCGGCCGCACCCTGAGCCAGTCCAGCGCCGCTGCTGCTGGCGGACTGAGCATCAACCTGCCCGGCTTCTACTTTGGCTTCGGAAACCAGGCCCAGCAGGAGCAGCAACAGCAGCAGCAGCAGGGCAGACAGGAGCGCCAGCAGATTCGAGCTCCACCGAGCCGGGATGTTGCCAAATCAGGTGCGGTTGGAGCAGCTGCGGCTGCTGCGCTCTGCTGCACTTGTCTGCTTCATTAGGCTGGGGTCCAGGTATCAATGTACGAAGTGATATGGTTTGTTTTCCTTCTTCCCGAGCCCCACTTTGCGGCTAGTACCGGTAGTACATGTTCCTGGCAGACCTCTGGCTGTCGGTTTCCGTTGAACGCAGAGGCCAGTAGCTTCGCTACTCAGAACGCCGACCGCTTCGGTATTAAGCAGGACAATGGCAAGCAGTGCCTGGCCAACTCCGTTGCCTCATCTGGCGCCTTCGCCCTTGAGATTGGCAACCGTGAGTGTCGTGCTGGGAAAGACCAGGGCGGAATGTGTAACTTGATCGTGGCACGCATGCATGGGGATTGCGGTGGTTGGGGCAGGTAAACATCGGGTTGACCTGGTCGTCTTGGGTATTGATTCCTTTGTGTTGCGCGCCGTGACTTAGACGTTGCTACCCAATCCAATACCACACTCGAACCCACTCCGTTCTCCTCAAGCCTGTCCTCTGATCCGCCTCCGTGTCATAATTCCCTGTCGCTCGCTCCATGCAGTCTTCTCCGGCAGCTTCGGAGTGAGCGGTGCTGGTCTCAACAGCCTGGCCAACTGCGGAGCGCAGCCCCAAGCCACCTCCAGCACCCTCAAGTGCAAGTGAGTGGGAGTCCTTGCGCCCGATTGGGGTTCCGTATTCCTGTGCAGCTCACACATTCGATAAGAATTGTAGTGGTAAACAGAGCTGATCTTCCATTTTCATTCTGGTCTTTCCGTCCTGATGTCGTTCTTTCACTTCCTCCTGATGCACGAGCCGCTTGTCAACACGCCACCCCACCGTGCTGCTGACTGGCATCCCTGCACGCCTAATTCACATTCTTTGCCGTACATCCAGGCGCTTCACGGTGCCCAAGGCCGGCAGCCTGTGCGACTGGTCTGACACCTTCAGCACCAACTGCGACGGCCTCAAGCTTGTCAACCCCGACGTTGACCGGCTGCAGGCGGGGCAGACCATCAATGTGCCGCCATGCAATGCGTAAGCGCAACGGGTGTGTTGATGTGTTGATGTCATGGAGGTGCCTCAAGGAGGAGGTAGGGTGGTATCGCCTCGAGGAGAACGGCTTAAGGAGGTGGGAGATGCGAGCCACGAGACCATGGGTCTCTTTAGGTCACGTCACGTCACTTTAGGTTGCGTGCCAACCGGTTGATGGTTAGGAAGTTGCCTGGGCATCGGTGGGGCTTTAGGTGGACTTCAGTGTGGTTGTGTACGAGTTGGCGGCTTGAAGTGGATGAATAAGGAGTGGCTGAATGTCCGTGTGGCTGAATGTGGCACTTCAGCAGACCGTTTTGGTGGTTGCAACCGTTGTGCGGGTGTGGGGTTGCTTAACTCCCTAATTGGCTTGTTGGGCCATCGTTGTCCATCTTAAGTTGGTAGTATGCTGCATGGGGTGTTCACTTCCGTGCCTTCTAGTTGCACATGGCTAGCATAGACATAGCATAGCTGGCACATGTGGTATCCTTCGCTGGAATGCACGTCTTCCAGCATGCTTGTTACGTTGTTAGACGTACAACAGTACAACCAAAACATTGTAACATTGGTCGTGTCCCACATGCGTATCAAACGCCTACCGGTACCCTTCCACCTTCCACACCAGTGTCATTACCGCTACCCATCCTGTGCGCCCGCAAACCATTGTGACTTTGTGGTGCACTGGGCATGCGTGCGGCGCATCCAATCACCACTGGTATCAACCCCTAAGTCAACCTTCAAGGCATGCCCATAGCCCATCATACCAGTAGTATTGGGGACCGAGACATACCTAATCACTGAACCCGCCCTAATCACTTGGCCCTAAGGGTTGGCATGCTAACCTGTCTACACGAGGCCTATGTGGTGTTCTGTTGCGGCTGATCACGACACTACGTAGTGCGGACGATAGTAGATGCACCCGATGGCAAGCCCTCGTGTAACGCAGCCCCTAGGATACTTGAGGATGACCCATGGGTCATGCACGTCCTCCACGTGCATAACACTGTGTGCATCTCCAAATTAACACCAGACGCTGTTATTACCGAAGCACTTCGAGCACGACGCCACCAAGTTGAAGGTGAGGCGTTGTGGGAAAGGCGTACGCTTCATGCGTCAAGCTTACGCTTTGGCGGCCACGATGCGATTGGTTGCAAATTTTAAACGTCTGGCAAACTACAGGTAAATGGGGCGATGATACAAAATCAAAGCGACACATCGGGTAGGTCCTGTCCTAATGCTTGTAGCCGCCGTGCGGCAACCGGCCGCGACGCGTCTTCAACGACCTTTTCGTCTTCGACGTCATCATCGGATGCGCACCATGCTAACCAAAGGAGTTTCAAGGTACACAATGCAACACAATTTGTGATACAGTGCTAGATGGCAGTAAAAAGCTGTGTTAATACACATTTTGCGTAGTTTCCGAGACCTCCGGAAGCACAGAGTCTACCCTGCGTCGTACCTTGCGTGCCTTGGAGCACGAGAAGCTGAGCCTTGAAACCGCGAAGCTTGCCGTTCGCTGAACTGTTCTGAACCCTCACATTGCCATTAATGGCCATCTTTTAGGCTCCGTTTACTTCCAACTGCTGCATACTTCACTTCTTATCGACACTCGCAACAAGGCTCACCAGCGGCCACACTGCTTGCACCCAGCCATCGATTGTCCAAGACCGGGCTACCCGCTGCTGCGGACCAATTTGTAAACGCATAAGCCGCAATCCGTGCGGCATTTTGCCTACAGTCAACGCCAAGTCCTTCACCCTAGCAACAACCTGCAGCAATGACGAACAAGATCACGTCCGGAACCGGCGGCACCGCCCGCCGCGTCGCGGCACTGCTGCTGCCGCTGTCCGCCCTGCTGCTGCTCCTCTTCCTCGCTTCGGCCCCCGGCGCCCTGGCTGCCGGCCGCGGCCTGACCGGGTCGCCCAGCAGCTCCTCTGACGCCCAGGCCAACGCAGCCGCCGCTTCCGGCGGCTTCAGCATGAACCTGCCCGGCATCTCCATCGACCTCGGCGGCGGCCCCTCCCGCGGCCAGCAGCAGTCCCAGGCGCAGGCGCAGTCAGAGGCCAACGCCCAGGCGGTTTCATCCGCCAACAACCTGCCAGGCTTCTACATCGGCGCCGGCAGCGGCCCCTCCGGCGGCCAATCGCAGCCGCGAAGCCAATCGCAGGCCCAGTCCGAGGCCAACGCTCAGGCGGTGTCAAGCAGCGGCAGCCAGCAGGGCGCTCGGCGGGGCGGAGGAGTCGAGTCTCAGGCCGCCGCCCAAGCAGGTACGTATGTAGGTGTGCGTGCATGTTAGGGTGGGTGGGTTGGGGCGTGCGTGCGCGCGGACCGCTTGGTTGCATTCTAAGTAGGGGGTTTAGTGAGTTGAAGGGAGATGTCTTTTTGGGGGCAGTTGACTTGGCACACCACATGTGTCTTCCGGCCTAGATACCGTACATCGTGACGTGAGCAACTCAGACATTCCTTCTTTTCTGCACCCCGCCTTCCCCCGGCAGAGGCCAACACCTTTGCCAGCCAGAACGCCCCCCGCTTCGGCCTCAGCACCAACGGCGGCGGGTCGCAGTGCCTGGCAAACGCGGCGGCGTCGTCCGGAGCCTTCAGCTTTGGAAGCGGCTCCTCCTCTCGTAAGTCCGCATCCTGCAAGAGTGGTATCCGTTTTGCTGTGCCTGCGCGGTGCGAGTGTCCGTAAGACTGGGCGCCTGTCTTGACGTGCGAAGGCCCAAAGCATCATGGGTGTTGCTGTGAAAGATGAAGATGGGTTGTCTAGTAAATATGCTTAGCGGCGTGGTAGGCGACGATGGATCTTGCTGACATCTGTCTATGCATTACGGATGATCCCCGCACGCAGAGGCTTTTGCTAGCAGCTTTGCGGTTAGCGGTGCTGGTCTCAATAGCCTGGCCAACTGCGGAGCGCAAGCCGAAGCAACCGCCAGCACACTCAAGTGCAAGTAAGTGCAACGACGCACGCCTTAAGGATATGGGCTGGCCGTCTGTCCGTAGGAGACCATAGATGGGGATAGATGGGGAACTGGTCGAGAGCGTACGTTCCGGCATTGGGAGGGTGGTAGACACCTACCAGCTGGCTATTAGGGTGTGTCGGGGAAAAGGCTGCTACGGCTTGAAGGCGTGGCCCGCATCTATCGTGCTGCTGGAGGGGCATGGGGCAACTCGGAACCTAGAGCTCATGGTCCACCTACTTTGCTTGCAGGCGCTACACTGCCCCGGACGACTGCAGCATCTGCGACCTGCCCTCCCAGTTCAACACCAACTGCGACGGTCTCAAGCTGATTAACCCGGGCGTGAACAAAATTAGGGCCGGCCAGGCTATTAACGTGCCGCCATGCAGTTCCTGAATACGCAGCGGAGAATTGAGCTAGCGGAGTTGTGTTGCATTATTTGCTTCCAAAGTTGCAGTGGCTATATAATAACGCACACAAGTTTATGCTTATACTGCCATTGCTCTCATGCATGAAGCTAAGCGTGCTGGAACGGGCTTGAGGCCTTCGTGCTATGACGAGGAGTATTGTCTTTCGCAGAAGCTAAGCTGTCGTGCGCATACAAACAGGCCTTTGTCTGCCTTAGTTGTCTTAGTGGCCTTCGCGCCATTTAACGCAATGCCGTACAGGACGTGCGCACGTATGCTGTCACCAACTGTAACACGCTGTAAGCAGTTCAGATCCAAGACGGGATGGATATGCTTATCATACTAGGACTCAGAACATCATAAGGGGCTCGAGTTCCGCCCTAGTAGGGTATGGTAGGGCGGGCCTGCGAACCGTCCGCAGCGTCGCCCATAGTTTGCTATTCGTTTACTGTAGAGCTGGTTATAATTATTGGGACATGAAGCGTTCTAGCTAGATCTGCCGGAAAGGTGCTTCTGTCATGCTAGCCGACCCTGAACCAGTCGCAGCGAATGGACGATGATGATGACTACCCAGATTTTGATGTCGATGAAGTCGTTCGGAACGCTTGCCAGGTGAGGCCAACCGATTAGGATGGTTCTAAAGACATCCATGTGCAATCCCAAGCCAACTTACGGGCTGTCACGAAATCCTTGGACAGCGGTAAGCTATACCACATATGTTTCTTTCCAATCGGTTGTAACAGGTTAGCGGAAATCCTACTCAGCCAGGCACCAGCCCGCAGCGCACTGATGGCGTAACAGGTCCTGCCGCGGGGCCCCAGCATCGGCTCAGTAACGGTGGAAGCGGACTACTGCCTCCTTACTCGCATCCTAACCAGCTAAGTTCCAACACTACTCCTCAGTATAACGCCGTCTCTTCAGGCACCGGTCCGCGTAACCTGTATGGGGCTCCTCCTCAACAGCAGCAACAGCTGCAGCAGCAACCACAGCAGCCCTACCAGCAGCAGCAGCCTTCACCCTGGGTAGGCAGCGCTGCGGCCGGGCCTTACCAGCAACCCATCAACAGCACAGTTTCTGGCAACATGCAGCAGCAGCAAAACAGGCTCCCGGGGTACATTCCACCGGGCAACTTAGCGGCGGGCAGTGGCAGCAACGCTACCGGTGCGGCCGCGCCCTCAGCCCCGGCCGCGGGCACAAATTTCGCTCCGGGCTTGCCCCCAGCGTACGGCGGGCCACATGCCGTACAACTGCCAACGACCATGTCAGCAGCAGCTGTACAGCAACCCCCGCAAACACAAGGGGGTGCGGGGATGGTCAGGCCACGCAGTTTAGGACAGCAACTGGGTTTAGGCGGTGGCGGTGGCGGCGCTTCCTTTGGCCCTGCGCCATCGACTTCATCGGCGGCTGCGCCGATGCCGCCGTACGGCGGTGGTGGGGGTTACGGCAGTAGCGCTGGTCAGTACGGCAGCAGCAATATGTACGGCAACAGTGCCGCCATGTACGGCAATGTGGGGCCCACATCGGGAGGCCATGTGACGGGGGCGCTGGGTCCGTCGGGCGGGGCAGGGCCGCATGGCGGCAGGACGATAGCGCCGTCGCAGTCTGGGAAGCAACTTGGTAGGTTGTCATTCACTATCATATAAGGTATCCTTGCATTTAGTAAATGTGGCATGTGGATTGTGCGAATTAAAGTGTCTACACACGCGTGCTAAAGGCGACCGGAAGCCGTAAGGGATGACAGAGGAGTAGGTGCAGGCATGCACCTGAATGCTTATCGTTGGCATGCAGAGCCAACCTGGCATGCAACACCGCCGCGCAAGGCAGTATCCACAAATAGCAGCGCACGCGCCTGCACCTGTCGTACTGACGGGATCGGAGCACCCTGTCGTACCCTGCAGGCGGCGCCATGGGTGCGGGGCCCACCGGCGCCCAAGGCTCCTGGCTGGGCGGCACACAAGCGCCACCACCAGCCGCCGGCCCCACAGCGCCCACCGGCACACAGGCACCACCACAACCAGCAGCGCTGCCGCAGCCCACAGCGGGTGCGGGGCCGCCAGCACCGCATGAGGGCTCAAGCGCCTTCCCACAGGGCCCGAACCCAGTGCCGCCGCCGCCGGCGGGTGGGCATTACTGGAGCGGCGGCGGCAGCGGCGGCGGAGGCGGCAGCAGCGGTTATGCGCAGCAGGTGGGGCCTGGCGGGATGACAATGATGCCGCCGCCGCAAGTGTCGTACGGAGGCGGCGGCGGAGCCCCGGCGGCAGGCGGCGGCGCGGATGTGGCGGCGCTGCGGGCGCACAACAGCGCACTGGAGTGAGTGGGCCGCGGCGGGGGACACCGTGGGTGCAGGACTGCGGACTGAGACCGTGCACTGAGCTGGGGGAGGGGGGGAGGGGGCAGCGCGGGGGGGAGGGAGGAAGGCAGCGAGGAGGGGAGGAGGGGAGGGGGCGGCGAGCGCTGGGCTGTGGTTTGGGATTGAGCGGGGAGGGGCGTTGGTTGCAATGGCGCCCAAATTGGGTGTCACAGACACTGGCAGTGGGTCGCTTGTCAGTTGCTGCCGTCCAGCAACGTACCTTGCAGTGCATGCATGCGTACCCGGGTCCTCTTCGTGGTAGGATGGAGCCATGGGTGTGACTCCCTGGGATCGCATGTCCCTTGTACGCCTAGCCCTTCTCCTTCCCCGCCTCCTCCTTCCCTCCCTCGCAACCCTCCCCTGTACACAATCCGCCGCACCCACCCGCCCGTCTGCCCGCCCGCCAAGGTCCCAGCTGGAGTCCCTGAGGCGGCAGCTGGAGGAGAGCCAGAAGCAGCTCAAGGGGGCCGCTTCGGTGGGTGCTGTCTGCTGGGAGGGAGAGGGGCGGTGCGAGGTGGGGTGCTTCTTGCTTGGATGGGCGCTGCGGGGCCGGGGGATTGCTGTAGTTGTATGGGTGGGTTGTAGAGGATGGGTTTTACCTGGTCCCTGCTTCCCGCAAGTCCAACCTTGTCGTCCTTTCCCCGTGTGCATCCCTCTCCTTCCAACAGCTTCAAGAGCAGCTGCAGCACGCGAAAACTGAGGTGCGTGTGTAATTGGGGCTCGCGTGATTGAGATCTACACCACAGAAGGGCGTGGCTGCTAATTGGCGGAAGGATTTGCAGAAGGAAAAGGGCTTTGCTGCCATCATCAGAGGACGGGCACGCGGCGTTGGTGCCTGAACCCGTATCACCTCCTTTACTGCTGTTCCTTTGTGTACCTAACACCGAAGCTCCTGCTGCTGCCCCTCTGTTCGCTGCTGCCCGCTGCTGTTGTAACGCTCTGCGCCTCCCCCCTCCCCTCCTCGGCTCCAGGCTCAGGAGTTGCAACGGAAGCACCGGGAGGCGGCGGTGCGGCTGCAGGTGCGTGGGCAGGGAGTGGGGACTGGGGAAGGGGATGCGGGGAGGGGATGGGGACTGCACACGGCCTGGTATGGAGGCCTAAGTTCGGGCATCGTTGGCATCGTCGGCCATGACAAAACGTAGCAGATAACGTGCTGCGTGCTGCTGTTTGCATAATGCGTTCCTGATGTGCAATCCCGGTCGCTCCACTGCATGGCTTGTCGCACCCTTGACAGGAGGAGAGGGCCAAAGGAGAGGCCGCAGAGAGGGAGAAGAAAGAGGTAAGAGCGCCCCCGTTCTTCTGTTTGCGGGTCACTTTCAACCAGCCTTTCCTTTCCGAGGTGTTTCCCTGCCATGGGCGGCATGGTGGATGTGCATACCCGGGATAGGCTTGCCGAGAGTGCTGCTCCCCATCATACAACTCCATATCACGGACATCCTTCCGTCTTCCCTTCATCTTCTCCTTACCTTACCCGTAGTCCCTCCTGTCTACTACCGTATGCTCTCATCCTGCAGGCCCATGATAAGGCCCTCGAGCTAGAAGCAGAGCTCCATAAGGCCCGAGCTCGAGCAGCTGCCTCCTCCTCTGCCGCCGCCGCTAGTGCCCGTACCCCTCCTGGCAAGTACGCAGCAGCTCTAGGAGGAGCAGCAGCAGCAGGGGGCGGCGGCGGTGGCAGCGGCCTTAAGCGGCGACACGCCATGGATCCGGGACACCCCCTCAGCGGCCTGCCGCAACTTCAACCCCCGCCCAGCCAGCAGCAGCTACAGCTACAGCAGCAGCAGCAGCTGAACATGCCACCCCCTGCTGGCTATCCAGTGGACGAGCCCATGCAGGATGTAGCAGCGGCAGGAGCAGGCGGACATTCGTATCCCCATCCCTACCAACAACAGCAACAAATGCACCAGCAGCACCAGCGGGGCGTGGGAGGTGGGATGCAGCAGCAACAGCCGCAGCAGGCCGCCAGCAGCTACCATACAGCAGCGGAGCCCATGCGGCCGGCGCCGTCAGCTGTTGAGCGGCTTCTACGTCAGGGCGGAGGTGGCGGCGGAGGCGGAGCAAGTGCGGCGACGACGGTGTCCGCCGCTGGCGGCGGGGGCGGCACCGCCGCGGCCGCGCGTGCGGCGGCCGCCGCCGCGGCCGCTGTAGCCCCAGCAGCCTCGCCGCCACCCCCGCCTCCGCCGCCCTCGCAGCCACCCGCCGTCCTCCTCGCGATCCTCGACGGAGCTCAAGCGGTGGCACGGTTGTCGCTTTGGCAGCGCCTTTGGTGTACGTGCGGGGACAGCGTCTCCGCTCTGCTGCAGCCGCCCATGCCATTGGCTGTAGCAGCAGCAGCATCCGCCGCTGCTGCCGGCCTGGGGGTGGGCGCTGCAGCCGTCACCGCGGGCCCCCATGTGCCCCCGCTGCTCTTTCCGCCGCAGGACCTGTGCCTCCAGCAGGGCATGGCTCGCGGCGGTGGCGGCGGTTGGGATCTAGCAGTTGCCGCCGAACAAACGTCAACGGTCGGTTGGCCATCGTACGATGATAGTACGGCAGGAGGTCAGCAGGAACACGATCAGCAGCAGCTGTTGCTGTTGTCGTTGATGGATGCCGTACGCACGCAGCTTCGAGCGCTGGCAGCGGGTCGAGGCGACGGCAGCGAGTTGACGCATGCGCTGCTTGCCCTGCTTGCGGAGGTGGGTGGGGTATCCCCGCCTGTTGTACGACACCCTTTACTGTACCACACCAACCAGCCTCTCCATCAGCTGTCCTTTTGCGTGCCTTGATTTCTGACGGAGCGTTCATACCTTTTCACATCCTTGCACACAGGTGACCGGCTCTGGTCCTGGACGGCCCGTGGAGGGTACCATGTACGGCACGACACATGGAGGCAGCGCCGCCACTGCTGGGGCCTCCGCCGGTGCGGCGGCGGCGGCAGCAGGAGATGCAGCCGGGGCGGCTGCTGCCGCTGACGGCGGTGGCGACGCGCAGGCGGGGTCTGAGGAGCATCAGAAGGAGCGGGAGCAGCGGGAGGCGTGGCGGCCCCCGGTGGGCCGGTGCTTGGAGCTGCTGTGGGGGCTGCTGGCACACTCGGAGGCATGCAGGTGAGGAGGAAGAAGCGGTGGGGGAGGAGGACGGCATGAGGTGTGTACGACAAGTGCGTATGGTTGTGACAGGACATGGGTGATGTTGGTACACGCGTGCACGCACGCATGCATGCACGCGCACGGCAACATGCGCAGCTATTTTCCGGAACATCCTGGAAATCCGTGTTGTTAGTTGTGGAGAATTCAATCGTCGAAAGTGAGATCTTGTCACTTCAGCCCGGGGCTGTGTTCACCGCATGCGCCACCACCGCACCCTGTCTACCCACTTTGCATTTCGGTGTGTCTTCTTCTCGTGCCAACACTGACTGACACGTTACAGGGCGGTCGTCGGCGTCCCGTCGGCGTCAATTCGTCAGCCCGAGCCGCCACAGCCACCTGCCAGAAGGGCCCCAACAGCCGCCGCCGCAACGGTGTCAGCGGCGGCGGCGGGCGCGGACCTCTGTCGCGGGGGCTTGCCGTACATCCTGGCCGCACATGGCGGCAGTGAAGGCGCCGCAGTGGCTGGCGCGGAGGCGGCGCGCGCGGCGCGGCAACGGCAGCTTCGAAGCTATGTGTACGGCAATGGCGCTGGCGGCGGCAGCAGCAGCACCGAAAGCGGCGGCGAAGGAGCAAGAGAGGCCGGGAAAACGGCAGCGATGGGGCCGGTGGTGGCGGCGGGTGCTGATAACGGCAGCAACCTTCGCCAGATAGGGCGGTTGGTACGGCTGCTGCTGTCGCTTGCGGAAATGTACGGCACACCACCCGGTACGTCGGCGCCAGCGGTGCCGTCGGTTGACGTACTGCCGTACATCGCCGGCGCATTGAGCGCAGTGGCCTCGGCGCTGCCCGCCCAGTTCGGACGAGAGGTGGGTCGGGGTGGGGCAGGTTCGGAGGCTGTGGGTGGGGTGGGGTGGGATGGAAACTTGGGATGGAGGGGCGTGCGGTTGCTGTGACCCTTGGAAGGGCGGGGCAGGGACCCATAGCGGACATATCCGTGTTCCACCGCTTACCATTCCTTGCCGTACCGCACGCGGGCACTCGTCGCGACCATGAGCTGTCATAAGCTGCCATGAGCTGGTCGCCGAGCACGCGCCTGGTGCCTGCCACATCGCTTTGTTCATAACGCCAGGGTTTACACGTACGTTGCTTTCCTATTGAACTCCAAACCCGCCTCCCACTCCCTCCCTTCCACATGTGCGCCCGAACCAACCCACATACCCCCCCCCTCCTCAGGCGCTGCTACCCGTCATCTTCAACCCCCACCTGCTGCTGACGCCGCTTCTCTCACGCGAGGCTGCGCCGCCGCGACTGGCTGCCGTGTCCCTCCTCCACACCCTCTTCCAGTGCCCGGCTGCCGTCGCCGCCGTCGCCGTGGCCCTGGGCGTCCAGGGCTACAATCACCCCTTGGTACGGCAGATCTCCTCAAATTTTGTCGGGGACTCCGGAGCGGGAGCGTTTTCAGGTTATAGGACGATGGCAGCAGGAGCAGCAGCAGTTGCAAGATCAGGATCCGGGAATTATCCGAACGCCACCGCAACAAACGCACTGACGGCGGCGGGCGCGCATGCCGAGATGATGGATCATGACCATCACCACCCGCACCCGCACCTGAGCCGCCCGATCGTCAGCAATCAGGGCTTTGTGGTACCGCAGCAGCCTTCACCACCTCCGCCGTACGACAAGACCTGCTTGGATTCCACAGCCGCCATTAACCTCATGGCTAGACTCCTAGAAGCACTCGAGCTGGAGGAGGCGGAGGAGGCAGGCAGCCAAGGCAGCGGTGACGGCGCCATCGGTGGCAGCAGCGGCGGCGACGGCGATGGGATCGAGTACGGCAGCGGTTTATGGCTGTCGTACAGCCTACCTCGCCGTACCCTGCAGCTGCTGGCGGCGCTGCTGGAGTTGGGTCATGAGGCTCTGCTGGCGGCGCTGGCGGGCTCACACTGGCTGGAGGTGGGTGAGGTGGAGTGGGGAGAAAATCGGCTGGAGGTGGGTGAGGTGGAGTGGGGAGAAAATCGGGAACAAACAGACTGACTAAATAACTAACTGTGTCCTGACAAGGCTCACACCGGGAGGGTTAGATGTGGGGGGTGAGGGTGAAGGCTGAGGTGTAGGTGAGGGAAGGCAAGGGGCAGAGAGGAAGGTAGAGAAGGGCGTGGGGGTTGTGCCGGCGTATCCCTGCCACCCCGGGGCGCGGCTGCAGCGACCGCATGCCCACATCCGCTGTTGAAGCCATTAGCCCCCTGTCGCACCCCGGCACCCCTCGCCCCTCCCTCACCCGCCCTTTACCTCCCTCTCCCCCTCTCATCCCCCCACCCCACCCCCCAGGGTTACGGTCTGTCCCAGCGGCTACTGGACCTGGCGGACGCCGCCTGCTCGCCACCGGGTGAGGGGTGCCTTGGTGGGGGTGGGAGGGGTGAAAGGGATGTGCGTGGAAGAGGGATGGAGGTTATCGCGAATGTAGCGGCTGCCCCCTACTGCCCCCTGCTATAACTTGTGCTCGCTGCACCCTGTGAGGTCCGGTGCACCCCAACCCTGCCCCCTTCACCTCACTCGGACCCCTCGCCCCCCCACACCCACCCCCCCTCCAGGTTCCGACTCCCCTCTGGAGCCGGTATACCCCGCCCCCTCCAACCCCTCCCTGCTCATCGCTGCCAGCGGAACCCTGCCGCCCGCGCAGTGGCTGCAGGTGGGGGCTGGGCTGGGCTGGGCTGGGGGGGTACGCTAACCGTGACCGTTGAGAGTTATTCATATCGTAACCGCCGCCAAAAAAAGGTGGTGGTGGGAAGCGTTGCTATCGAAGGGAAGGAATGCAGACGCCGCGTAAACGCAAAAAAGGGTTGGGACGGTTGGTGCCTATTTCTGTGTGTGCTTGTGTGCACCTGCCTTGCCTGTGGAACCCCCACGGAGCCCCTTCCTGTCTTGCCTTCCCTTCTTCCTGAACTCTGCCTCGCCAATGTCGCCACGCATGGAGCACCCAGTGGCGCCTTGCAGTATCGGCTTGCCTGCCGCATTTGGCTGGCCGGCCCGGTGATAATCACCTGCAGTATGCTGCTGAAAATGAAACCTCCACTCGTTGCTTACCCTCCGCACCCTTTCTGTCCTCCTTCTTCAATTCTACTATACCTTTCCCTCCCCGCTCCCGCTCCCCCTCCCCCCACCCCTGCCACACACAGCGGTTGCGGTTGGCACAGGAGGCGTTGGTGCTGCTGAAGGAGCTGCTGACGGGGGCACACGAGGAGATGCGTGAGTGGTCTGGGCCGGGGGTTAACTTGGAAACAAAATTGTCTGGTGGTCTGGGCGGGGGGGGGGGCGGAGTGGCGAAAGACGGTGTGAAGTTTCGGTTGAAGACACCTTTGGTTATATGACTGCTGGAAGTGGGCTGGCGAGGTCTGGGGATTGGCCGATGCCACTGCACCCCACCCAGTAACGATCTGGCACCGTGTGGGGTTCTTGGATTGGTCAGGTCTTTTCCGGCATGTGCCAAGCAGGAGCACGCAGGAGGCCCTTCGTACCCCCAACCTCGCCCCCCACCATCCTCACACCTCAGGCTACGCCGCCCTACGCGACCTCACCCACACCGCCGCCGACTCCGACTCCCAACACATCGTGGAGCTGGCCACGGCGCGCCTCACCTCCTGGCCGCACGCGCCTCCCGAGCTGCTGGAGCCGGCAGCCCCCGCCGCATGCGGGCTGCAGCCTCCCGCCCTGGCGCCGTGGGCAGCTAGGCTGGCAGCGGGAGGGGCTGCGGGTAGGGGTGCAGGAGGGGGTGGAAGGGCTGGAGAGGGAGGAGGAGGAGGGGTGGTTGTGTGTAGTTTGGACGCGGTTGCGGCGCTTGCGGGGAGTGTACGGCGCAGGTGGTTGCATTGGCAGCAGCAATGGCTGCAACGGCAGCAGTTGCAACAGCAACGGGAGCAGCAGCTACAGCAAGAGCGATGGGAGTAGTAGCAGCAGCTGTTAGGAACGGCAGTGATATTACTATTGAAGCGCAGCAGGAGGGCAGGAGGGCAGCTTTAGCAGGAGTAGCTTGCGGATGTGAGGGGTGGTCGGCAATGCGCGGCAGGGGCGGCGAAACAAGGGACGCAGTGATTTGACTCGTTGAATACGGGACGAAACCTTACCGGTATGGGGAAGCGTATGGGGAAGCCGTGGCGTGTGTCGGGCTAAGTCAGATAAGGGCTAGAAGCTTGCTGGATCGGACATCAGGGGGACGGGCTTCAAACCTGAAATGTTCATTGACGTAACCGCGAGGGGTCTCTTTCGGCAGAGCCCAAAGGGATGGTTCTACGGTGAATGCATTACCGAAGCGATGTATTGTGACGTCACGTTCAGCTAGCGCGCGCGTGGCCGGGTGGCTTGCATTGCACGTTTTGAGAAAAGAGCCGCGATGTTGGAGGGGTGACCCATGGGTCGGATGGAGCTTCGGCGGGTCTGGACTGCTAAGGGCATGTGTTTGCCTGTGTTACAGAAGCCCTACAACGCCACCACTTCCGTTCACCGGCTGATAGAGTACGCCGATGAGTTCACATGGTCCTCCACAACGAGGCACTGAACCATACCTGCACTTCCGCACCCTGAAGCTGACCAACCCCACCACGGCGGCGAGGTCTCCGCAGTCATGTCGGGCATCACCTGATCGCTAATCTACGCAAGCTCACTGCCAGCGTCTTCCCCTTCCCCCGCTACTTCACCCCCCTAACCAGCTGCAGGTGTTTGTTTCATGTATCGGCGTGCGAGGAGTTTGCTGCTTGCATTGTTATGTGTTGTGCGGTGCAATTGGGGTGGGGTACCGGTATAGGGAATAGAAGATGCGTATCACTGTCATGCAGCGGGATTGGGGTCCTGGCTTGAGCGTAATCATGTTTTCACCTCTGTTGCGGGTAAGCTCGCTCTTGTTGTGCGCCAAAAGCCGAATATGCGTCATTAAGCGTCTTCCTTCCTTCCTCGTAGCAACAGGCTAACCCTTGCGTACTGCTGTTCCTATGCTACCTTCATTTCAGCAAAGAACGGCACCGCGCTATGACAGACGGGTCAGGAATAGCCAAACTGTTGTACAACTCAAGATATTGTCGTACAAGAGAGCGTTATGGAGCTCGAGGACCAATTATATTGAATTGAAGGCAAACGAGTCCCACAATTCTGTCAGCCAGGCGGATTCCCCATCCATACTGAGTGCCCTCCACTCGTCCCCGCTTCACACTGCTTTCCCTGCGACACCGCCTTTCAATCCACATAACCCTTTGCCAGGCACTCATCCGTTTCCATTGCCGCACTGCATGCTCCTGGGGCTCTGTCTCACTTGATCCAAAACATTGGCAGCTTTGAAGGCAGGCGCCGCTTACGAGGACTTGGCACTTTCCTGGAGGCAGATCTTGGAGGTGGGGTTTGAGGCGCACAAGACTTGCTTGACGCTCGGTTGCTGCGGGTAGATGCGGACAAAAGTGTGAGGCGTAGCATGAGGACTAGGTTGAGGGCTTCTCTGTCAGGAGGCAGTGTTGGCTTTATGTCACGTGTACGTTAGGAAGAGCGGTCCTTAGTCCTGCTGAACAAACAATACCGGTTAGAAAATGTCCAGGATACTTAAGATGCCTGGAACAAACATACTAAAAGGAAGCCTCTATATCCATTATCAGCAAACTGTGGGTAATGGGTTGCATTGCTCACCTCGGCACTGGCCATCGATGCTGCCGACATTGCAATGACGGTGGACGCGAGGACGGCCATCACCGCCTGAGCGACCTTGGGCTTCTACGAGCAACGAGACAAAGGAATTTATCATCCAGGTATGTACGCACGGAATCACCTACATGCTCCTCACACCGTTCAATCGTATAATACTACTACTGCGTAACACTACTGCGCAAGGGAAAGCCACTAAGAGGCATGAAGACACTTTAATGAACATAGGACACAGTAACACAGCGTGTTGGGCACCGGTCTACTGAAGCTCCAAAGAGAACCGTCGTCGCCAGTATTTAAGCATGGATGCATGCGATGGTCAGTTAATTCACTTGAGTGCTGGTAACCCATATCTAGCCCTCATAAAATAGGTGTTAATGCGCATTATCTTTGTCTGCTTTCTTTTGCTTACCTGGGCTTCAGTCTTCTGGGCGCGAACGACGACAGCAGCGCGGCCTGGCTTCGCCGCGGCAACAGGCTTGGCTTGGGCAGCGCGCGTTGCAATCATCTTTCGCGAGGTTGTAATAGTTTGGAAGGTGAAGGAACCCAGCAGCACACCGTTGCAGAGAAAGCGTATAATGTCCCGATTTGGCGGTCGTGCACACGTCAGACAAGGCGAGTGGTCAGGCTTATATCGCGACAGCAGCAAGACACAGAGATCCTCATATGACCACAGAATCCTCTGGAATGTACGGTTAGTGTAACGCTTACCCTCGTGTTACGTTGCAACTGCCTTTACCTGTGGGCATGCCTTACATACCCACTTGGTTCTTGCTATGCAAGATGCCTAACACGTATACGTTGTACTTGTTTGAGTTGCCTTCTATATCGCGTGGGCGGCCAATAATGCGGTTGTATAATCTCGCTCGCGGCTCCGCGTCTACCAGCGTCTTCGCTATTCATGACATTGTTTGGTAATGATATGCTTAGCCTGGACGTGTTTACATCTGTTTAAGCCGCTGAGTAGAACAGCGATCCAGGGGCACAACCGCCAACCGAGCCAACCGAGCGACAACGGTGGGACCGCAAAGCGCAGGCCCGCAGGCAGTCAACATGGTACCTCCACGAAACTAGCGTGGAGTGTCGCAGCCGTCTGTGGAGCGCTTGTCTCCCCTGGCACCGTATGCATCTTGGTGGGGGAAGGGGCTGGTGCCCCTTCCCCCATACCCCCATCCCCCCTTACATGCAATGTAAACATGGTGCTACCTTGCAGACGCCTCCGATGCATCAAGGGCAAAACGTTTCCTCTCGAAATACGTTGCCTCTGACCTGAACTTGCACCATTCCCCCATTCCCCTTGCTGTAAGTGCCCTGTTGTTGCAATTCCTTGCTGTTGTTGCAATTCCTTGGGGGTTGTTATACGCCTAGCTTTCATTGTTTGCATCTTATGGATTTTTGCCGTTGTTTCTCTGGATTGTCGCTTAGTTGCAATTTTTGTTGGCAAGGCGTCCATGGCTCCGTGCTCAAGTGCAGGTCTTATGCATGCAAGGTACTGTTGCAACTGGATATATACTCCGCAGCCACTTGTAGACCGATCTTTGCCAGTGTTGTGTGGTCGGGAAAGAGACTGCACTTGTTGAGCGCATGTCGGTGACGTCGATGCTAAAGCTTAGGTCTTTCTCAGCCGCCGTAGCTATGCCTCATGTTAACTTCCTGTTGCAGCGTTTATCAAATGCTACCTGTTGTCATGGGAGGAGCTGCTGTTTGCTGGCTGCAATGCAGTACAGTTAGCCTTTTTGCGACTTTAGCCAGGATCCGCTTTTCACCAGCCTGCATTTATACAACGCAAACTGCCCAACGGCTGCATGCGCTCAATGGTGCCACTTTGCATACCGTTTTCCGTTGAGTGCGCTACGACAAAGGAAGCTGCGCGAAGGTGTCAGCTCGCTTGAGCGACTGAGGCTGCGAACTAGCGTGGAGTGTCGCAGCCGTCTGTGGAGCGCTTGTCTCCCCTGGCACCGTATGCATCTTGGTGGGGGAAGGGGCTGGTGCCCCTTCCCCCATACCCCCATCCCCCCTTACATGCATGCGTACAAGGTGCTACCTTGCAAACGCCTTCGATGCATCAAGGGATACACGTTTGCTCTTGAAATACGTTGCCTCCAACCTTTTGTAGCACCATTCCCCCATTCCCCTTGCTATAAGTGCCCTGTTGTTGCAATTCCTTGGGGATTGTTGTACGCTTACCTTTCTTTGTCTGCATCTTATTGTTTTTTGCCGTTGCTCTTCTGTATTGTCGCTTAGTTGCATTTTTTTGTTGGCATGGCGTCCGTGCTCAAGCGCAGGTCTTACGCATGCAAGGTACTGTTGCGACTGGATATATACTTCGCAGCCACGTGTTGACCGATTGTTGTCATTGTTGTGTGGTCGGGATAGAGACTGCACTCGTTGAGCGCATGTCGGTGACGTCGATGCTAAAGCTTAGATCTTCCGCAGCCGCCGTAGCTATGCCTCATGTTAACTTCCTGTTGCAGCGTTTGCCAATAGCTACCTGTTGTCATGGGAGGAGCTGCGCTTTGCTTGCTGCAATGCAGTACAATTAGCCTTTTTGCGACTTTAGCCAGGATCCGCCTTTGACCTGCCTGCATTTATGCAATGCAAACTGCCCAGCGGCTGCATGTGCTCAATGGTGGTATTTTGGATACCGTTTTTCCGGTGACCCTGGTACGACAAGGAAGCTGCGCGAAGGTGTCAGCTCGCTTGAGCGACTGAGGCTGCGAATAAGTCATACCTTGTGCCGAGCACAGGATAAAGATCGCGCACTACTTAGCGGCTTAAAGACTAAGACTTTGACGACATGTCCTACACTAGGCCTTGCGGGAGGCCTGCCTACAAACGCTGTTACGAAATGTGCGCAAACGCTGCATAGATCCCGTTCGTGAGTTCCCATGCAGTAAGATCTTCCCATGGCAATTACGCACCGTGCTATTATGTGCGCCTCGTCTCAAAACAGCGCAGCCCTGGTTAGCATGGTGCGGGTATCCATGGCTTCCTTATCCACCATCAGCAATTCCTCGGGGGCATTAGATGGCGGCATCCCAGCTGTGTGATAAGTATGCACACGAATTCCTTCGTTATAGGTCACTTCTATGCCAGGGATGGAGCTGGACAGCTTATACCGGATAGCTTGCAATAGGTGGAGAGGGAAGAACGTATTCCTTGATATGAATACCCCGCACCTACAAAACCATAGGACCATTGCAGTCGCTTAATGGTGGCGCTGACCATGACACAACATCAAATACAACTACGAATACAGGAATCTACATTGCATCAGAGCGCCACACTACCAAACCTTCATCACAAATTTATTTGTAGATAATCGCCGGATGGTTCCAGTCCTGCCATGCTTAAAACCAAGCACGCACGTGCACCCGACGACGTATAAGCAAGCAGGGCTCTATAGTATACGATTCCAGATGAATGCATACCACGTTGAAACCCTCAAGGTGCATGGGGTTCTGTAAAGCACTGAAAACACTAGGGAGCAAGGTCCCCGCCAACAAAAGCCCACACATGATGTGACTACACAAGAGCTGTAGGCTGACCGACAGAACGACTGCTTTAAAGCTCTAATCGCGCAAAAAGTAATCATCGTCTTATTTCAAGAAGTAGAAACTCGTTGGGTTCCAACATTTTCTTATCATTAACGGTAGGCGTTCATTGCGCCCACACCCCTTAATCCACATCTTCACACAAACGACAATGACTAAGCCAGGCAACACTTTTAACGCCATCAAACCGTACAAGGGGATCCAAAAGACTACTAAATCAGTCTGCGCTACCAACGCATGTCGTACAACGTTAACCTCTCCCATATCGCACCATCACCATCGTATTCGATAGCAGTGCATCAGCCATGCAAGTGCCTTTCGCACATGAGCACATAAGAATGCCTGTCTTGCATCTGTTCTTATGCCAGGCATTTGCTCCCTGCCCTTTTGCATACGCAAATCACTGGTACTGCAAACCCGCTTTTTACCCCGAGAGAAAGATTCCAAAGTCCCAAACCAAACATAACCAAAGCAGTGCACCAATCAGGTCGAACTATATTTAAGGAGTTTAATAAGCATATACGTAAAACGCAGCGCTTACGCTGCGCAGCGCTTACGATTAATGTGGCTCTGTCCTTGTTCATATCAATTCATGCCCCCATCAAATGGCATGCTCTCTCTCTGCGCAATCCAAGCTTTGCACCGTCGACAACAACACATGACGTCGTCAGCCCGTTGGAACATGCACACAGACCACCAGCCGCGCGCATGCACGCACGTAATGGTGTCCAGGGAACGTTTCAGCCCCACATCAACACCCGGCCCTCCCCGCTCATAACTCGCTCATCTTCCCATCCGCATTGCTAGCACGCTCAAAGCTACATCTCTCCTTTCAGGTTTCCGCACTCACCCACACGCCATAAACTCTCCGCGTTCCAACGATCCACAACAAACACATAGCAGCCACACGCCACCCAACTGCCGCATTACCACCACCGCCACCATGATGTACTACTACCCCCAGCACCACAACCGCCTCCACGCCCTCCCCCTCCACATGGACGATGTCGCTCACCCCCACTCCCTAGCACCTGGCACCTAGCCGCTGCCCTGCTTCAGCGCTGCTGACGCCGCCTCCAACGTCATCAGCCGCAGCTCCTCACACACCTCCGCGAAGGAGGGGCGCTCCGCGGGGTCGCGAGACAGGCAGCGTTCCGTGAGGTCGCGGTAGCGGGGCGGTGGCTGCTGGGAAGGCAGGAAGCGCAGGCCAGTGCTGTTGTCGTTGGTTACGGCGCCTAGGATCTGCGGCAGGGAAGGTGGCATGGCAGCGAAGAGCAGGAGAGAAGGGTTAGCGGTAGGTTGATGCAGCGACTCGGGATGCAAAGAAACTTCTTCTGGCAGATTGGCTTATGCATTAAAGCAAACAGCCGAACGGCCGAAGATCCTTTTTGGGTGTCCGGTCGCTTCGCATGCATCCCAGTCGGAAGGGAAGGTATCTTCATTTGGACTGGGCGATGCAGAGTTGGGCCTAGGGAGCAAGGAAAGGGATACACTGCCTACCTGGAATCGGTTCATGTTGGCCCAGGGACGGGAGCCTGTGAACATCTGCCACAGCAGCACGCCGAACGAGTAGCTGTCCGATTTCTGTGGAGCCGAAAGCAAGCAAGGGAAGCAGAAGGGTTGCCGATGCAGCAACCCATGCAGCAACAAACGTTATAATTGGGTCAACAGAGGGTGCTGATGCGTGTTCAGTCACGACGGCGAATTCGCTGCCAGGAGGTTGTTGCCAACAGTCTGCCCTGTCCTCAGTTGAAGCGGACATGTGCCGTACATGCAGCGGGCCAGTTCAATGCCGTACGCACCTGCGTCTGCGTGTAGTGTTTCAGCGTCTCGGGTGCGCAGTGCGTGATGACTCCGTACGTGGAGCTGATGTAGGGCTTGGTGGGGTCGGGCAGGTGCTTAGCCAGTCCGAAATCAGACACCTGAGCAGTTGTCATAGTCATTTGCCGCTTTAGTGCGCTGGTGCAATGGACAACTAACTGTAGGCGCATGCCCCTTCCTCTAAAAGCTAAGGCAAGCATAGCCATATAAACATCTAACCTTGTTCACGGCCATGCGTGGCCATGCAACGAAATGGGTCCCTGCCATATTTCTGGGACATGTTCTAACCTGCCTGCCCAACAGCACACTCAGCCGCCATCTTACCTTGGCAACCCAGCCCCGGGACAACTGGACTCCTGCACCTCCGCCCTCCGCCCCTCCACCTCCTGCCGCTGCGGGAGCCTCTGTGAGCAACACATTAACCGCTGACAAGTCGCCATGCATGTAGCCCCTGTACGACACAAAGTTGAGTGCACGACAGGATTAAGGAACGGAAAGAGTCGCTTTCGTACGGCTTATATCGAAGCCGTGCGACGGTATATGCCCAGCGGATAGGGTGCTTGTGCTCGGATGTTGGGTGTCAACCATGGACACGAGAAAGCACTGCCCTTAACTGTAACCACCGGCCCGCATCCAAGAAGCGGTAAAGAGCCATGCAACCGACAACCTAGCACAGCAGTAGCGCAACCAAGCAGTCAACAACAACAGCAGTATCTCTTCCAGTGGACATGCCGTAACCCCAACCCACCTGCTGTGCAGGCAGTGCATTGCAGTGGCCACTTCGGTAGCGGTGAGCAGGATGGCGGGCATGTTGGGCTGACCACGAACCCGGGAGGGCTCCGTACGCAGGCGGCCAGCGTCAATGGCGTCCTGTGGAGGCGGAAACGAGACGGGAAAGGGGGCCACATTGGTGCCTGTTTCATGTCCTTCTGTCCTGCATCATGACAGTTGCAAAGAAGACGATCGACACACGCCCTACCGCACCGGCTACTTGGAACCTCAGCTGCTCAACCGCAACACAAAGCTTACGGGACTACAACTGCACACGCGGAGTTATGCTGCCATCCGTGGCAATGCCATACCACGATACCAGCCCAGCTGCCACGTGACAACCCACACACCCTCACGCACCTGCAGCGTTCCTCCCGTGCAGAACTCCTGAAGGATCCAGGTCTCCCCCTCGGGAAGCGCCTCGCCCTCGCAGCCGCGCTGGGGCGCAGTCGCCGAGCCTGCCGCCGCCGCAGCGGCAGCGGCAGCTGCTGCGCCAAACACATCAGCCGTGCTAACGCCGCCGCCAGCAGTGGCAGCCGATACCGCAGCAGCGGAAGAGGCGTCAAAGGAGGGCCTGTACGGCGTGCCACCAGCCGTACTGCCGTTCGCCCCAGCAACGCCGGCGACTAAAGCGGCGCGTAAGGCCCAGCTTGTGGTAGAGACTGCCGACTGCTGTTGCTGGGACGCTCGGTAGTCGGTGGGAATGCTGTGGGCCGGCTCGGCCGCAAGCTGGTCAATCATGCCTCCAATCTGTGCGAGCAAGGTGAGCAAGACGGGGTGAAGGAAACACAAAACTGAGTTATGAAACATGCAAGGCTAAGATATGCTTGAATCGCACATACCGTGGCATGCCTCCCCTAACGCGGACACAGCACACAGGAGTGCGGTGACATATAAGCGCATGAACTGGAGTACAGTCGAGTCGAGACGCTGTCAAGGCTGTAACGCTCACCTCTTCGCCGCCAGCATCGAACGAGTCAAAGTCCTCGTCATCAGATTCATCATGGCCTTGACCTGCGGCGCCAGCGGTGGCGGAGGCAGCGCCTTCCCCGCCATGTTCCCGCGCGACGTTAGCAGCGGCGCTACAGGCGCCACTCGGAACACCGGCGATGGCGGCGCCAGTGCCAGTGTTCGCCGCCGTGCTGTTGAGTTTCGAGACGGCACCGCTGTTGCCACCAACATCAACGCCGCAAGGTCCTGTCGTGTAAGGGCTCGTCGGTAGCTGTTGCATGGCAGAAGCAGCACCGTCGCTGGGACCGCACGGCAGTACGGACATCTCCGACGGGGTCCCGGGCGGCAGGAGAACACTGCCTCCGAGGCCGCTGGCACCAAAGCTCTGCACCCTCGGCGCCGCTGTCGTACCTCCCCTTGCCGCTGTCGACAGAGCTGTCGTACTTAGAACACCCAGCTGAGAAGCCCCGCGAGATGCTGTGGAGAACGGTCCCCCTAAACCTATGTTTCCGTTGTTGACGTCATCGTAGGACCGTACGACGCACTTGTAAGTTCGTACAATGTACGGATGCTCCAGCTCCTGTGCCAACAGCGCCTCCAGCGTCACACCGTTGACGCATCTTGCCGTACGTAGCATAGAGTTGCTCACCACCTGTGTCGCACGTTCGTAGGAATGTCGTACGGATTATACATCTGCCATTATAGGAGTGCGGCAACAGGTACATGCAACTTCAAGGTCTACTCAACCAATTAACATGCGCCGATCCCGTAAACCCTTCCCGCTACTGCAGGCATTACCTAGCAGAATGATAGCGACTCAACCCCATTTACCTTGGCTGCCACTCGTTGGCCCTTGTACGACGCCGCAAATACCCTGCCGTACCCTCCCTTGCCCAGCAAATGCCCCAGCCGCAGTCCTTGGAAGGGCTCCATGCCGTACACCCAGCCAGAGCCGAATTCCGCCCCAGCCCCAGTCAGCATGCGCCTTGACGCCGGCGAGGAGATACCGTTAGTGCCCCCGCCAGCGCCACCTGTACGACGGTACGACAAGAGCGCGCTGCCGGCCAGACTGCCAGTCCCAGTTACCATGGAATTGTTGCCGGGTCTGCCAAGCACGACCAAGCCGCCACTGTTGCTCGGAGCGCGGCTTGTGACTCCGGCTTGTGATGCTTTCAACAAAGCCTTGCTGCTGTTAGAGCCGGTCCAGCCGCCGCCGCCGCAGTTTTGAAGTGACGGAGAGGGCCTGCATGCCGGAGCGCCATGTGGTGCCGGCTGCTGCTGCTGTGTCAGCCTCTGGCCAGGCGCTGTGGCATAGCTCCGCGAGGACGCCTCCACAGTCGCTGTGCCAGCGCCGCTGCCCCGTGCAGCAGCTCTGGCGGCGGAGTCCAAGCTGAGGCGAGATGACAGAGGCGGCGTGCCGGGCGCACCGACGCCGCTGCCGCCCAAGAACGCCGCTCTGCTGCCAGAGGGCTTTGCAGCTGCCCCATGCGGTGAGAACAAGGGAGTTACCCGCTGGTACTGATACAAGGCAGACGGCTCTGTATCATAGGCGTCTCCGTCCTCGCACTCCTGCTCGGCGGTATCGTCCGCGTCGGAAACTGGCGTCAGCGTGACAAAGCAGTAGAATGGCTCCACGGCGGCGGCGGCGGCCGTAGAGGCATCACCGCCACAGCCGCCGTTGCCCTCCACATTGGCATTTGCGCCGCTGCTGTCGCCGCCCGCGATATCCAGGCATATCGCCGTGGTCGCAGTGCCATCACCACCAGCAGCACCACCAGCGGCGGTGATGCTCGGGCCCAGGCGTGAGGGCCCATGAGCAGCACTCGCGGCGGTTGTGAAGGAAGTTGCGGAGGCCAGGATGGAGGTTGGCAGCGCTGCCTGGGGCGGAACACCCACCGGCATGCGCGTCGCTGCGTCCAGCACGTGACAGTTGGCGGACCTGTGGGCACCCCAGATAGCGGTGAGAGAGCAGCTAATCCGATAACGCAAATCCACGGGATGGAGAATTGTTTTATTTCTAAATTTTTTTTAAATGCGGACGGGCTACTGCATACATCCATATCACCAACACTATGGGCACAGCTGCGGCACATGTGGTTGGTGGTGGGGAGCTAGCCATGTTGGAACCCAATAATACCACCCTGTCAACCATTTTCAACGCACCCTTCATGATAACCCAAATAAGCCGGTCCCGCCATATGCATGCCGTACCCATGCAAGCCCACCTGACATGCATCCTCAGCACCGTGTTGGTGGGCCGCCCATCCTCCAGAAGCAGCCTCACGAGCCCCATGTCCACCTCCGCCCCCGAACGCAACGCAGCGCTGCTCCGCTCCCACGGCTCCCGTGCTGCAGCCGACTGCTGCTCCACCCGCTGCCGCCCATCCCGGCGCGCAACTCCAGGCATGGCGCCCAGCGCAGCGCCCTGCTGTCCAGCCCTGGCCACACCCCCCGAGCCGCCACCGCCACCGCTAGTGGTGATATGCTGCTGTTGCTGCAGGTGCTGCTGCGGCTGCTCCTCGCAATCATCCGCCACCAAGGACTGTGCCACAACGTCACCTCTCCTCGGACGATCTGAGCCGGCAACTGCGTCCATCAGGGTGAACGGCTCGGGCTCCAGAGCTACGAACCTTTGCAGCGGCCGCCCGACAATCTGTTTGCGTGACAGCGGGGCACAGCACTGCTCCCATGCCTGCAGGACAAGGAACACCGGGGAGATGCACGCGCACGAGCGTTAGGTGACTTACCAGTGTAGCATCATTAAATAGGATACTGAGTACAAGCATCATAGGTTCATAGCGCACCGGAAGGAGTCATACACAGGCCGGGCAAACCATGCATGTGGGCGCATGTGGGCCCTGCACAATGCGGGCGAGTGTACGGCGTCTCACCTCATTCGCATACATGAGCATCCAGCCATCCGGCAAGCTAACGTCCACCAGACCCGTGATGGCTTCGTAGCAGTCAATGGTGCGCGCCACACGAGCCAGGGCGGTCGTCTCGGCGTCTGTAGGACGACAGCAGCAAAGGTTGAGAGGCTGCCAGTCAGTTCTCATTTCTTATTGCCTAAACGCAACGTTGACCGTGACATTCTATAGGTCCTCAACTTCATGACCAGCACACCGACCACGCAACTTCCGCATGACCCAGAAATCCGATAACACACACGTTATCCCTCAGCACATATCCCTTTCATCGCTCACCGTTTTGACCCGCGGGTCCAGCGTTCGCCTTGTACCGCTCCAATTGCCGTACCATGAGCTCCGCCATGTTGTTGATCAGAGTGCACTGCCCTGCATCGAAGCCAGGGCGCGGCGCCGAATCCGCAAAACACAGCGTGCCCAGGATGTGACCGGAAGAGGACACGAGCGGTGCGCCGCAGTAAAAGCGCACGTGAGGTGCGCCCTGCACGAAGGGGTTCTCTGCGAAGCGAACGTCCTTTGTGGCGTCCGGTATGAGCAGCGTTTGGGGCCGCTGCTTCGTGAGGGTGTAGGCACAAAAAGACCACCTGCGTTGGAAAGGTGGATCGACGGGATCAGAACCAGTGTGCCAAACAATAACGATGATGCATGTCGTATGAAGAACATGGACGCCTAGGGCGGCCCGGCGAAATGCCCCTCCGCCCGTCAATGGGTTATTGGGTCCAGACTGCAAATCCCCATTTAACCCGCCAGCCCATCCCAACCCTCCTGACGCCGCTGTCCAGTTCCTTTCCTTTCTCACCGGTAGGGGAATTCGCCTGGGCCGATGAGCCCCTTTGCGTTGCGGATTACAATACGGGAATCCTCGAAGAAAACCAACATGGCGGTGTTGGCCCGGAACATGGACATGACGTTTCCCAGGATGAGGTCCGCCTCCTCATCTAGCCGGGAACGCCTGCCGTGTGCCACGGAATCCAGCACGTCCAGTGCGCGAAGCGCTTGAACGCGCGACTGCTCGTCATCCGAGGAGGGCGGGCCAAGCTCGAGGGAGTGCGGGTAGCCCTGTGTGCTGGTGAACACGGAGCTAAGAACCTCGGTCGATGACGAGTGAACCGGGAAGCAACATGCCTCCGACGCATCGGATATGCAGTCTCCGTTTGCTTCACACGAGGACACTTTGGCAGAACCGTGGTTGTGGGGCAAAAGTGGCACCACGAATGGTGTTGCGTGGACTACATCCCCATTTCCAGCGAGCTTGGTCACCGGCACGTCAAAGGCGCTTCCGGATAAACAGATGGCAGCGTTAGCGACAGGTAGAGCTCCTCCAAATCTATCCGGAAGAGCGGGTGGCGGCACGAAACCTTCGTCTCCAGTTGTTTCCTTCGGCGCATGAGGTACAAATGACCAGTTGTGGATGTCGCGGTAAGTAAGTAAGCAATCAGCATGGGATAAAGAGGTCCCTACTATACCGGTAGCCCCGATACGCAAGGCGATACGCCCGTAAGTTATCGCCCGCAAATGCACGCATGAAAGCTATAGTAACAATACCTTGTGCTCTACATTTTTAGGACCCCGCAGGCAGGACGTGGACAAGCCCATTCAGTGCCGGGGCCTCCCTCGCCAGGACGCTGCCAGAAAGCCCCAAAAAGAAGCTGGAGGTGGGAGCTGCTATCAACCTAGCAACCTTTTTACATAGCGCTGCTTACGGACCCGCAGGAGGTGTGTGTTCTCGAAATGCTACCCTGCAATTATACTCGTCTAGAGCATGTTACAAAAAATTACATGTACATCAACGTGTAAAGTACGTAAGCGCTAACCAACAAGACGTGCGACAGAAGGATTTGAAGGACCTTGCTTGTACTTTACATCTAACACTGTACGGCGGGGCACTGGCCAGATGTCGTCCTTTGTCTGGCAGTATTAGTAGATAATGCCCAGCTTTGTCCTCGACATTTGCTCCTTTGGCTTCTCGGAGAGCTCGCGTGGCTTGGTTTCCTGGCTGTCTTTACTAATCGTTCCCAGAGTTGCCCTCGGCTGCTTTTCACGCCATATTTATTTAGAGAAGCAATATATGGTTGGGCACGATCGATAACCCAAAGGCTACGCGTTGTGACTCGGACACTCGGTCGACGACCAACTGCGACGGCCTGCTGCATGAGCAAGCTGGATTACCCGACACAGGCACACCACTGGCATCGTTTGTCGACACATGCATAGATCTTTATTGGCCTACTGCGACGATGTAATATCGTGTACGCACTCTCATCCCGTTCGCCCAGCTGCCTCCTGATTCCGTTTCAAAACGCTGCACTTTCCCATTTGTAAGGCCCGAACGGTCCTGACACCAGAGGGCCATACCAGATTTCCCCACGCCGATCCTGCCAGTTGAGAAAATGTAATTCCTCCTTTTGCTTCGTCGGTTGACGCCCTTGACGCCCAGAAACTCCCACAGGACTTACAACTGCCGCTACTGTAACTAACCTCCACCCCGTGCCTCACCGTCACCACTGCTACGTGTTTACACGAGTACTGCCCTCTTGTCGACACTACCAGTCTAATGCCGCTGCTCTGCTGGACCTGCGTGTATTGTCATTGCCACAGCTGTCGCCGCTGCTACAATTGATGCTCCTACCCTTGACACTACAAGGTCAGCTTTCACTGCTGCTGCTACATCCCCTTGATATCGATGATCATGTCATCCTCGAGGTCCAGCTCCTCTGGGGTGGTGTTGGGAGTCTTGGCCAAATCGTCGCCATCGAAGAGGAACCTGGGAACAGGGCGCAAGGGGTACACACATCCACATTCGCATGTGAACGCAACACGGGGATACCGGTACACTGAATGGACGGTTACACGAGGCGATGAACATTACTAGGCGTACAACGGAGTAGTTGATAATCACCTAAGGCACGTAAGGCGAAAATGGACGTCAAGATATCATGCGGAAACAGGTCAGCAAGCAAATTACCACTTCGCAATAAGCAAAAGCAATACCAACCGGCAGCAGCGCCAAGCACAAAGCGCTAACCATATCCGTAACGCCACAGCGCGCTGGCATAAAGCCGACAATGATCCAAAAGGAAAGGGTCAACGCGCCGTCATCCGAAAGCTCTTACCCCGCCACCACTACCATGCTACTCCATCCACCTCCGGTACCGAGGTCAACAAACTTCCTTCGGTAACAGCACGTCTCGCCCCGACCCAAATCCGCCTGACACCAAAGCAGCATCTGCCTACAACCCTGGCAGGTGCTTGATCTGGCTCGTCGTACACTTACTTGATCTTGCTGGGGTCTCGACACAGGTTCCGCTGCCGCGCAATCTCCCGGAACTTCTCAACCAACTTGGAGATCGGGTCCGAGCGCGCCACACGCAGCTTCAGGAAGCCATCCTTGCCGGTTCCCCACACCAGCTTCAGCAGCACTCGATCCTCTCCACCGCCCGCGCCACCATCTGGGTCAGCAGCAGCAGCGCCAGAAGCCTGCGATACCAGCTGTGGCTGCGGCTCCTGCGCCTTCAAAGTGCCCGAGGTCTGAGTACTGCCTACGCCTGCGGCAGCGGATGAGGGCCCTGCCCCGCCGCTGGACCCGAAACGAGGAATACCCGCCAGCATGGATGTAAAGCCCAGGTGCGCTGGCGCTGCTGTGGGCAGCCGCGGGACACTGCATGAGGGCCCTGCGTCAGGTTCGGAATTGGAGCCGTCCGAGTCGTCCAACAGCGGAATGGTGTCAGCGGGGTCCTGCTGCCGCTGCTGCGGCCGAGCTGAATGGGGCTTGCGCTTGCTATCCTCTGGATTGTTCTGCTGCGGCTGCTGCTGTGGTCGCCTGTCCTGCATCTGGGTCACCTGCTGCAGCGCTCGCAGCAGCTCATGTTCCTTGCTCAGCGAGGGTTGCCCCTCTAGGTTTGGATTCCCTGCCGTACCGCCCCCAGCCGTGCCAGTGCCGTTCGTACGGCTGCCTCCACCAGTTGGCTTGCTGGCGCCTGCGGCGGAGGTTTTGGCAACTCCAGTTGCCCCACCGCCGCCCGCGGTGCTGCCTACAGGCGGTGAGGTCACCACCACCAGATCGTCGTTCTCGTCGTCGCTATCAATGACCATGAGCACCGGTGGGGGCTTTAGCTGAGGAAGATGCAGCGTGGAGGGCTCGGGTGTAGCGGAGCCGTTGCGCCGTTTTGGACGGTAGCCACGTGCGGCAGCCGTGGTGGCGCCTTGCGTATCAGCAACGGTCTTGCTGCGACCGCCTTTGCGCTTCTTGCGTGGCGCGCCGTCCTCTTCATCCTCTACTGCTTCCTTGACGGGAGCCGCAGCAACCGCTTCCCAGCCCTTGTCGTCAACCAGGTCGTTTTCATCGTCGTCGTAATCCCAGAGGCCGCTCATGGGTTGGGTTGGGAATGCCGAGCCGGGCTGGTCGTGCAGAGATGGCCTGGATGGGGAGGGAGCGAGGGAACAACCGGGTGAGCATGGAGGTGGCTTGCGATGGTAAAGTTAATGCGCGCCGTGGCGGGACTGCGGCTTGGGGTTGATCACAAGAATGCGGGACTTCGGATGATGTGTGCGGTGAGGAAGAGCAGTGGACGTGGGGGAGGGTGTGCAGAACACAAGGGACTTGGCTATCTTTGGCAATAGTTGGCGATTAAGAGGAGGATCCAACCATGTAAGGGGAGCTTTACTCCAAGAGGTGAGCACGGCCTGGGAGGAAGGGACTATCACGGCGTAAGGGATGGTGGCACCTAGGAATGCGCCGCGCATGATGTGGTGGGCTTCGCCATAGGACGCAGAAGCATTCCTGCTCTGTTGCATAAGCACTTTTGTTCTGCTACTACGAGACGGAGCAGCTGCGCCTCCCTGCTGGCTGTGAGCACCGTTTCACCGCTTACCTTACACCCCAGAGACAGCCACCGCCAAGAAGCAGGTAAATTTCGCACCAGTTGGACTTTTATCACCTTGTGCTTATTATAATTATTATTGTTATAACCGATAAGAACTGACACGTTTATATGTTCGAAAGGCGGTTCGGATTATGTTGGGGAAGGATTAAAACTACAGGTGCACTAAGCAACAAGGGCTTATTCGTAAGGCACAGCAAGTTAGTAAACAGAGCGTCAAACGTCGCGGCTAGAGCCAATCCGGTGACTTCGCTCTAGTGTGCAGGGCAAATAGGTGCAAAATATGCAGAAAGTTAAGGTGAGGCTCCTTATTGCTTAAATATGCAACTAAAGATGTCCCAAGCTAAGAATCGGGCCAGGCCATGCGTGCACCGCCGGGCCCGGCACGCACAGCAGGATCGTGGTACGAGGCGTGTGACTAGCCAACACCTGCCCCTCGGGCCCTGCGCCCATAATTACCTTTCGTGCTTCCCATAGCATTGACACGGCCGCACCACAAAACGGTAAGCGGGCCCTCTTCTGGATGTCCACCATCCCGAAGCTTTTTCTGCCCAGAAAGCAACCCTCGCCGCTTCTTTACATAAAAATATTCTACTACTCAAAGTTTTAAACCATAGCTAATAGCATGCACAAAATCGGCAACTTACCGGTACCCTACTAACCTCACCGTCAAGCCCTGTCAAACCCCTCCTTATTTCTCTCCTTTTTGGACTCCCCGCTGCCAGTCACTGCAACCGTTTACATCCACTTGGAGGGTGGACACTAGCCCAGCCCCCCTCGAGACCCCAGACCGCAAGCACCCTCGCAGCTCACTAGGCGTCCGGCAATACCTGCCGGTCTCTCAAACATCCCCTCTCACACCCAGTGCCTCCTTGGCGGACATTAGGAGGACGGCAGGCAGATTCACCCATGATGGCGCGTCCTGCGGTGCCCAAGGGGCATACCACGAGGCAGAGGAGGTAGCGAGCTACCATATCGCACGCAGCAGGAGTTCCAGCAGCAGTGGGCGGCGCACAGGGCGGGAGGTTGAATTGCGGGATAGGGTTCATTGCTTTCCCTTGGGTGTTGGGCTCCTCTCTTCAATATGTGGGGTCAGGGTCCGGTCAGGGCCAAATAAAACACCAGGCAAGAAGGAAGCCACGTAACTGTCCACAATCCCGTAAAAACAGCGCATGTCATGCATGCGTTAAGCCGCTGCCGTTGTCCTCAGCTCCTCTTCAACGTTAAAATTACAGCTGTCACCTGCCGCCTTCTTCGCCAGAGCCGCCACCCAGCCCTGCACCGCCATCTCCTTCCCCGCTCCCGCCTGGCGTGCCGCCTTCTTCGCCAGAGCCGCCATCCAGCCCTGCACCGCCATCTCCTTCCCCGCTCCTGCCTGGCGTGCCGCCTTCTTCGCCGGAGCCGCCACCCAGCCCCGCACCGCCATCTCCTTCCCCGCTCCCGCCTGGCGTGCCGCCTTCTTCGCCAGAGCCGCCACCCAGCCCTGCACCGCCATCTCCTTCCCCGCTCCCGCCTGGCGTGCCGCCTTCTTCGCCAGAGCCGCCATCCAGCCCCTCACCGCCATCTCCTTCCCCGCTCCCGCCTGGCGTGCCGCCTTCTTCGCCAGAGCCGCCACCCAGCCCCTCGCTTCAAAGGTAGGTCCTGGCGTGTCAGGGATCATGTGCATGCATGTGGGGGCATTTAGCTGCATCGTACTAGGCATGTTGCATGTGCATTGAGCATTCATTGGAGGGCCTACCGGTGGCGGGCTCGCACCTGCTTTTCCTGCTGATCCTTTCTCCCCCCTACCTTCCTTGCTCCTGCTTCCTCCCCCCGCAGTTCTGGGGGGCCGGCACACGGATCGGCGACGGCCTCCGACACAGGAGCGGGGAGCCAGCGGCGTGCGGAGCCAGCCGCCGCTGCCGTACCGCTGCTATTCGCCAGTACGGCCCCCACCCGCATCCATTTCGCCTAGCGACAAAGGTGAGTTTGTTTGCTACAACGTGTCACACGCGTGCCTGCCCTGTTCGTAGTTCTGCACCCACAACTATCTCGAATTATCTCAATTAGTTGGGAACCTATAGACGACGGTTACGTTTTGCCCAAGCAGCCGGCCTAGTTGGCATGCCGCATGCATCGCCTGGCCACCGGTGCATGTGGCATGTCTATTAGGCCGGCTGTGTGGTCACGGCATGTTGCTCTGAGGGCCCGTTGCATGGGGCTGGAGTGTCTCCGGCTAGCTCGCTGCCTGCTTCTAAACGTGCCTTGCCCTAGTGTTCCATCCGTTCTCTCATCGCCACCAACCCATTCCCTTGCCCCCCCCCTCCTTGCCCCCCCCTCGATCTCCGCATGAGCCTCCGATCCTGGCTCCTGCGCTTCGTCCAAGTATATCGTCGGCATCAGTCCCTTGCACCCAGCCCCTCACCGACATCTCCTGCACCGCTCCCGCCTGGCGTGCCGCCTTCTTCGCCGGAGTCACACCCGGCCCCTCGCCGCCATCTCCTTCCCCGCTCCCGCCTGGCGTGCCGCCTTCTTCGCCGGAGCCGCCACCCAGCCCCTCACCGCCATCTCCTGCACCACTCCCGCCTGGCGTGCCGCCTTCTTCGCCGGAGTCACACCCGGCCCCTCACCGCCATCTCCTGCACCGCTCCCGCCTGGCGTGCCGCCTTCTTCGCCGGAGCCACCCAGCCCCTCACCGACATCTTATGCACCGCTCCCGCCTGGCGTGCCGCCTTCTTCGCCGGATCCGCCCAGCCCCTCGCCGCCATCTCCTTCCCCGCTCCGGCCTGGCGTGCCGCCTTCTTCGCCGGAGCCGCCACCCAGCCCCTCACCGCCATCTCCTGCACCGCTCCCGCCTGGCGTGCCGCCTTCTTCGCCGGAGCCGCCACCCAGCCCCTCACCGACATCTCCTTCCCCGCTCCCCCTGGCGTGCCGCCTTCTTCGCCGGAGCCGCCACCCAGCTCCTCACCGCCATCTCCTGCACCGCTCCCGCCTGGCGTGCCGCCTTCTTCGCCGGAGTCACACCCGGCCCCTCACCGCCATCTCCTGCACCGCTCCCGCCTGGCGTGCCGCCTTCTTCGCCGGAGCCGCCACCCAGCTCCTCACCGCCATCCATTGCACCGCTCCCGCCTGGCGTGCCGCCTTCTTCGCCGGAGTCACACCCGGCCCCTCGCCGCCATCTCCTTCCCCGCTCCCGCCTGGCGTGCCGCCTTCTTCGCCGGAGCCGCCACCCAGCTCCTCACTGACATCTCCTGCACCGCTCCCGCCTGGCGTGCCGCCTTCTTCGCCGGAGTCACACCCGGCCCCTCACCGCCATCTCCTTCCCCGCTCCCGCCTGGCGTGCCGCCTTCTTCGCCGGAGCCACCCAGCCCCTCACCGACATCTCCTGCACCGCTCCCGCCTGGCGTGCCGCCTTCTTCGCCGGATCCGCCCAGCCCCTCGCCGCCATCTCCTTCCCCGCTACGGCCTGGCGTGCCGCCTTCTTCGCCGGAGCCGCCACCCAGCCCCTCACCGCCATCTCCTGCACCGCTCCCGCCTGGCGTGCCACCTTCTTCGCCGGAGCCGCCACCCAGCCCCTCGCTTCAAAGGTAGGTCCTGGCGTGTCAGGGATCATGTGCATGCATGTGGGGGCATTTAGCTGCATCGTACTAGGCATGTTGCATGTGCATTGAGCATTCATTGGAGGGCCTACCGGTGGCGGGCTCGCACCTGCTTTTCCTGCTGACCCTTTCTCCCCCCTCCCTTCCTTGCTCCTGCTTCCTCCCCCCGCAGTTCTGGGGGGCCGGCACACGGATCGGCGACGGCCTCCGACACAGGAGCGGGGAGCCAGCGGCGTGCGGAGCCAGCCGCCGCTGCCGTACCGCTGCTATTCGCCAGTACGGCCCCCACCCGCATCCATTTCGCCTAGCGACAAAGGTGAGTTTGTTTGCTACAACGTGTCACACGCGTGCCTGCCCTGTTCGTAGTTCTGCACCCACAACTATCTCCAATTATCTCAATTAGTTGGGAACCTATAGACGACGGTTACGTTTTGCCCAAGCAGCCGGCCTAGTTGGCATGCCGCATGCATCGCCTGGCCACCGGTGCATGTGGCGTGTCTATTAGGCCGGCTGTGTGGTCACGGCATGTTGCTCTGAGGGCCCGTTGCATGGGGCTGGAGTGTCTCCGGCTAGCTCGCTGCCTGCTTCTAAAAGTGCCTTGCCCTAGTGTTCCATCCGTTCTCTCATCGCCACCAACCCATTCCCTTGCCCCCCCCCCTCCTTGCCCCCCCCCTCGATCTCCGCATGAGCCTCCGATCCTGGCTCCTGCGCTTCGTCCAAGTATATCGTCGGCATCAGTCCCTTGCACCCAGCCCCTCACCGACATCTCCTGCACCGCTCCCGCCTGGCGTGCCGCCTTCTTCGCCGGAGTCACACCCGGCCCCTCGCCGCCATCTCCTTCCCCGCTCCCGCCTGGCGTGCCGCCTTCTTCGCTGGAGCCGCCACCCAGCTCCTCACCGCCATCTCCTGCACCGCTCCCGCCTGGCGTGCCGCCTTCTTCGCCGGAGTCACACCCGGCCCCTCGCCGCCATCTCCTTCCCCGCTCCCGCCTGGCGTGCCGCCTTCTTCGCCGGAGCCGCCACCCAGCTCCTCACCGCCATCTCCTGCACCGCTCCCGCTTGGCGTGCCGCCTTCTTCGCCGGAGTCACACCCGGCCCCTCACCGCCATCTCCTGCACCGCTCCCGCCTGGCGTGCCGCCTTCTTCGCCGGATCCGCCCAGCCCCTCGCCGCCATCTCCTTCCCCGCTCCGGCCTGGCGTGCCGCCTTCTTCGCCGGAGCCGCCACCCAGCCCCTCACCACCATCTCCTGCACCGCTCCCGCCTGGCGTGCCGCCTTCTTCGCCGGAGTCACACCCGGCCCCTGCCCGCCATCTCCTGCACCGCTCCCGCCTGGCGTGCCGCCTTCTTCGCCGGAGCCGCCACCCAGCCCCTCACCGACATCTCCTGCACCGCTCCCGCCTGGCGTGCCGCCTTCTTCGCCGGATCCGCCCAGCCCCTCGCCGCCATCTCCTTCCCCGCTCCGGCCTGGCGTGCCGCCTTCTTCGCCGGAGCCGCCACCCAGCCCCTCACCGCCATCTCTTGCACCGCTCCCGCCTGGCGTGCCGCCTTCTTCGCCGGAGCCGCCACACAGCCCCTCGCCGACATCTCCTTCCCCGCTCCCGCCTGGCGTGCCGCCTTCTTCGCCGGAGCCGCCACCCAGCCCCTCGCTTCAAAGGTAGGTCCTGGCGTGTCAGGGATCATGTGCATGCATGTGGGGGCATTTAGCTGCATCGTACTAGGCATGTTGCATGTGCATTGAGCATT